TATTTGAAATAGAAGTAGCAGTCGTAGCAACATTTGAAGTAGTAGTATTATTTGAAGCAGTAGTCATTGAAGTATTTTAAAACAGCAGTAGTACTAGTAACTGTGTAATGTAGTAAGTAATGGTGGTATTTGAAGTAATAATAGTAAGATTTAATAGAAGTATTTCTAGTAATGTTTCAAGTAGTAGTATAATTGTTGTAGTATAATTTGAAGTAATATTGAAATAGTAGTAGTAGTAGTAGTATTTGACGTACTATTATTTGAAGTAGTAGTAGTTGAAGTTGAGGTAGTAGTAGTAGTATTTGAAGTAATAATAGTACCATACACATATGATGTATAACACAAGTGCAGCCATTGGTTCTGATGGAAGCACTGCAAATGCATTACACATGAAGATGGCACCACCAAGTGGTGTTTAAAGGTACTACAGGAATTTTGCACACAGGTTAGTTAAGCATTTCAAACATAATGCTTGTTTTTTAATAATTTTAACATACGCCTAGTGAGATCTATTTTAATTAATGACATTTTACACACACGCACACGCACACGCACACACACACTTGAAAATTCTTGATGTAATATAATAGCTTTGGAGACTAGATATTCACAAAAATTTAACTTAAAACTGAAGTGGTAGTATTTGAAATAGTAGAAGAAATATTTTAAATAGTAGTAGCAGTACTTGAAGTAGTTATAGTAGTAGCAGTATTTGTAGTAGTATTTGAAGTAGTAGCATTTTAGGTAGCAGTATTTGAAGTTGTAGTAGTACAAATATTTGAAGTAATAGGACTGGTATTTGAAGTAGGAGTAGTAGGAGTATTTGAAATGGTAATAATAGTAGCATTTAAAGGAGTAGTATTTGAAGTATCATTAGTAGTATTTGATATAGTAGTAATAGTATTTTAAGTAGTAGCAGTATTTGAAAGATTAGAAGTAGTATTTGAAGTACTAGTAGCAGTGTTTGAAAAAAGTAGTAGTATTTGTAGTAATAATAGCAGTAGTAATATTTGGAGTAGTAGTATTAGAAGTGGAATTAGTATTTAAATTAGTAGGTAGTAGTAGTAGAAGCATTTGAAGAAGCAGTAGTATCTGAAGTAGTAGCAGTAGTAGCAGCGTTTGAAACAATAATAGTAGTAGCAGTATTTGAAGTAGTAATAGTAGCAGTATTTGAAGTACCAGTATTTGAAGAAGTAGTAGTTTTTGAAACAGTACTAGCAGTATTTTAAGTAGCATTTGAGACAGAAGTAGTAGTGTTTGAAGTATCAGTAGTGATATTTGAAGTAACAGTAGTAGTAATGGTGGTAGCAGTAGTTCAAGTACCAGTAAGAAGAAGAAGAAGAAGTAGTAGTAGCAGTATTTTAAGTAGTACAAGTGGTATTTGAGATAGCAGTAGAAGTAGTGTTTGAAGTAATAGTTGGGATATTTTAGACAGTAGTAGTATTTCAAGTATCAGCAGAGGTAATATTATTTGAAGTCTTATTCCGAGCATCTGAAATAGTAGTAGCTAGCGGAGTAGTAGCAGTATTTGTAGTAGTAATAGTGGTAGCAATATTTGAAGTAGTAGTATTTGAAGCGGTATTAGTAGTTTTTGAAATAGCAGTAGTAGCAGCACTATTTCAAGTTAGAGTATCTGATGTAGTACTAGAAATAGTAGTACTACTTCAAGTAGTAGAAGTAGTATTTGAAATAGTAGTTGTAGTAGGAGCAGCATTTAAAGTAGTAGTACTTGGAAGTAGTAGTATTTGAAGTATTTGAAACAGTAGTAATAGCAGTATTTGAAATAGTCTAAGTAGCATTTGAGATATTAGTACCTGCAGTACCTTTAAACACCACTTGATGGTGCCTTCTTCATATGTAATACATTTGCAGTGCTTCCATCAGAATCAATGGCCGTACTTAGGACAAACATCATCTATACATGTGGTTAAGTTGTACCTGTTCACTACACTGTATGGATTTACAAACACGTTTCCCCAGTTATGGTATTTATACATAATGACATCGTAATTAAAACTATTTGAAAGAGTAGTAGGTAGCAGTACTTCAAGAAGGAGTATTTTAAATAGCAGTGGTAGCAGTATTTGAACTAGTGGTATTTGAAGTGGTATTAGTAGTATTAAAAGAAGTAGCAGTAGCAACATATGAAGTAGTATTTGAAGTATTTAAACAGTAGTAGTATTAGTTTTTGAAATAGTAGTATTAGAAGTAGTAGTACTTAAAGTAGTAGTGTTTAAAATAATAGTAATGGTATATTAGTAATTTTTAAACAATAAACCATCTATAAACAGTAGTCAATCAAAAATAAGATGATCAGAAATTACCCTAAACCTTAAGAAAAGACTGTATTTTTTGTAGTAGTATTTTAAGTAGTGGTATTTGAAATATTTGAAATATTAGTAATAGTAGTAGCAACAATATTTGAAATAGTAGTCATAACAATAGTAGCATTTGATGTAGCAGCAGTATTTAAAGTAGTATTTGAAGTAGTACTAGAAGTAGTAATTAAAGTAGTATTAGTAATATTTGAAATAGTAGTAGTAGTATTTCAAATAGTAGTAGTAGTAGTAGTACTAGTAGTAGTAGCACTGTTTCAAGTAATATTAGTATCTGAAATAATAAAAGTAGTAGTAGTGTTTGAAGTAGTAGTAGTAGTAACAGTAGTAGCAGTAATTGAAGTAGTAGTATTTAAAGTGGTATTAGTAGTATTTGTAGTAGTAGTAGTGGTAGTGGTTGAAGTAGTAGCAATAGTAGTGTCCCAAATAGAAACAGCTGCCTACATAAGGAGCAGGAGTAAGCAGAGATCAAAGTTCTGTAAATCAGTCAGTCCTGCCCAAAAATTAGCATAAACTGGCAAGAAAAGTGCATAAGAATAAATGTGGAAATACATGCGTGAAAACATAAATGTGGATATAACTATAACAAATAACAAATAAATAATGTTCGCATGAATAAACGAGGGAAGAAAAATATTAAAATAATTAAAAAATGCAAATTAATAAAAGAAAAAAATAAAACACTTAGAAATAAACACACGTAAAATTTAATGATGCGAAATTATATATAATATATATAATGTATTCATTTACACATTGTGTGTATATATATATATATATATATATATCATTTACACATTTACATTTTTTCACAATTGAATATAATACTTTCTAGCATTTATTCCGCTATTTATTTATTTGTAATTATGTCATTTTTGGTTCTCCATATGAATGTAGCTAAATAACATGCAAAGATAAACCATTGCAACACTATAAAGTTCACTGTTTAAAAGTCATGGAGCTCCTGTGCGCGCGCAGTGAATCTACGACAAAGTCTGTCACGTCATAGCTCCACACTAGCTAGCTGACCTAGCCTTGGAGCACGTGCTTTTTGCCTTTAGGTCAACTGGCGCTGAAGGCCCCATATTTGCAATAATATGAAAATGTCATCAGTCGGCTTCATTAAAGTCGTTTTGAACATCTGTTAAAACTGTTCATGTATTTAGGAAGGGTGCGGATAGTATACAGTAACATAAATAAACGTGGTTGCCAGAATACAAATATTAATGCATTAATTACATCGCACTCAAGGTCAGACCTGTTAGCATCAACTTAGCGCATCCGCCATCTTCAAACGCTATTTTCATCCTTTTAGTATCTTTTCAATCCACACGTTAAACTCATCTACTTTAACATTAAATGAATACACCACATGTAGGACTTTGTTTAAGATAAAAATTTGCAATTATACAACAAAAGTGAAGGGCTCCAATGCCGTAACACCAGAATATGCCTCAGAATATAAGGAGCCATGCGCACTGGTTTGGGGCCTACCTCGATTCGAGCCTTCTTGGTCCATGTTCCAAACTTGTCCAAGATGCAGTCAAAAAAGAAAAACATACATCTAGTCCTCATCGCAGTTAAGAAGGTTTAGTCTAACATTAAACTCCGCTCCGTTTCCGGACGTCCTTTTGCGCAACCATTGTATGAGCTCCACTTCAAACTTTGCCTTAACTGTGTCTGCTCTTGCTTTTATACCGCGAGCAACAATGAACTGCGGCGCATATCCTTGCGCTAAGTGAAATAAAATAATATTTTTGCGCTAGGGCCTATACCAGTAGGGTAGATGGTCAATCATTGCATAACTGAGGAACTGGCCTGATGCTGACACCACTTGAAGTTGAGACTACCTGAAGTTGATCAAAAAAAAAAAAAAAATAGGGTTCCCTGCAGTAGGAATTTGAACTGTGCTTATGCTTCTCATTATTATATAGAAATTACTTATTGATTAATTAATTATGACTTACTTAGCTCATTCTGTAATCTTCTGTCTGATTGTGTTGATCTGAATCAAACCTGTCATCTGTATAACTGATTAACCAAACTCGAATTTTGAGGAAGTATGGTGGGCCTCTTTAATTGCCTTTTGGCTACATAGGCAACTGCAGTGTCAGAGTCTGTTGGCTACAGATATTTTTTAGGCTTTATCAGTTTAGTTCGTTGGACAAATGTCTTTAAAAGTATGTTCAGTATTCACTGATGATAAATTGATCACTCACTCCAGCCTTGTAAACCCAGCACGATAGTGACGTGACGCGCGTTTGGGTTGTCGGTTTCCATAGAAACAAGCCTCCAATACATCCTGCAGAGTTCGTGTGCACGAGCTGCAGCTCGAGGGAGGAACGCATCCAGCTATCAACGTTCTTTCTTTTTGGTGAGTTATCATTAAATGTTCACGCATTTCGCTTTCACTGTAACTGTTACAATGCGCAATCGAGTAGCGTTCAACGTAAAGGTGGTTTGTTGGCATCGAAACATATAAACAGAGGATGAACTAGCCTTAATTGCTAGCTCTTGTTGGCTATCGTATCGACTTGCAGAGCATCAGTTTTATGAAGTTACTTTTGACCTTAGCTATTGGCCATATACATTTTAGGGATTTTAATACAGGAATAAGAGGCACCAGATTTATTGGTTTGACCATAAATTCTTTTCAGCGTGATCATGTCAGTAAACAAGAATGGGATGCTGCCCTTTCCACCACCCATCAGCAAAGACAGAGTCATCTGGGATTTTCCAAAGGTAACGCTGAACCAGTCACACTGTCTAACACTTAACTAGGTAAATATGACTTGAATGAAAACACATTACTACATTATTTTGTGCAGTAACTGTGAATTTAGAACTGAACGTGGACACTTGCACATGAAGCCCAGAACTAAATCTGGACCAAAAACTGGTCGAAAACAGGACCCAACTAAATCCACATCTGGACTAAACTGGGCTCAAATCTGGACCAAACCAGGACAAATGTGAAAGCACTTTCAATCATGACCAGATCAAGAACTAAGCACTAAAGCACTAAACCAGGTCTAAACAAAAACTATACCTAAAACAGGACAAATTTGGGACTAGACTAGAAATGTACCTCCATCTTAAACTGGAAACAAAAGTTGAACTAAATAAAGAACACACCTAAAGCAGGGCTAAACAAGGACTAAATACTAAAATTTCAAATTCAATTTTGATACTGAGGAATAGACTTGATACTCAATACCACTTCTGATAAAATGATGATAATAAAAAAGTATTTATTTAGACAATAGAATGTCATCCAGAATTTAAACATTATATATATATATATATATATTTCTTCTCTGGTTGTCTGTGGGTCCTGGCTGTTTGCTCCTTCATCACATCTCTCTCATTTCCTGTCAAACTGCAAACATGTTGGCGCAGATTTTAGCATTTCTTGTTAAACTACATGTGGACAGGTCCAGTACAGCTTTACTTTTACTCACAGGGGAACTTAAGATTCACACGTACTACCACACATAAGGAAGGAGTCAGGCAACTTCATTCCCCAGCCTGGATTAACCAGGCTCCAAAGTCCGTACTACGCAGCCATCCTCCTCTCTGTCCACAGAAGGACCAGAAAAGGAGGGGAAGCGACCAGGAGAGGAGGGGGTAGTCATTGTCTTTCCTCTCGCTCCTCAGAACAGAATGACCAGAAAAGTTAAGTGTCCCATATCGAACTCTTGTCCATGTGTGCTGTGGTTCCTCACTCTAATCTGATCCTTAAAAAAAGTCACATTTTGAGCCCATTCTCTGTGATATTTTGCTCTATTGCTCTGGCCTTCTCAGAGTTACTGCTAGCACGCGTAAAGTACAACTTTAACTTCCGGCCTGAGTTAGCTTTGGTCAGACTCAGGCTTATTTCTGTCATTAAACAAGTTGAGGCTTAAACTGGAGATGGAGCTAGTTTCAGCTCAGGATTTTAGGATAAGCCTGGACTTGCTAAGCAACTTCGATGGAATATCCCCTAGTAATGAATGTACAATAACAGAGTAGCTGTTTATACACGACACTAGGCCCAATTTAATATAGAACACAACTATATGCAATATATATTGTAGGAGGTCCCTGCTACAGCTCTCCCTCAGTTTGGGAGTCTTTGGCCTGAAAAACGTTGAAAACCCCTGTTCTGAAGCTATTCAGGAAAGGTTCATTTCTGTTCTTTCAATGTGACTTTTTTAATATCGATACCTGCTCAAATGAGTATCTATTTTCAATACTAGTTTCAGTATCGATTAGTATCTAATTTTCAATCCAGCATGCAGTCTTTGGTCATCATTAGTCTCAGAGCAGTGGTGGTCTTCGTACTTATTGGAGGCATGTGACATCTGATGTAACATCTTGATGAACCAAACAGAAAATTGAATCAGGGTCAGTCACAGCAGAGGACTAAATATAGAGCAGGGACATGAGTGTTTAACAGGAGCCTCAAAGGTGATGTTGTGCTGAGCTGTGGGGCTTGATTTTGATGACTCTGCTATAAAGAGCACAGACAAAATGAAGACATAATATGTAACTTACATAACATACAACTGAAACAGACTGAGTCTAAGTCCAAGATTGTGGTGTCAAAATGTAGGGTACACAACAATATTTTAAATTTTTTTCATCACAGGCTCCTGAAAATGTGTTGTTTGAATCCAGGTTGGGATTTTTCTTGAGTTTTCATCTTAAATCTTTAATGATCTTGAGCTGTATCAGAACATGTATAAGAGCACATAGACTAGTGTTACGGCCATTTTTGTCCTACATTGGTTCAAGGTGTTTGGGGTGGAGCCTTGGGGGTGGAGCCTGGTGGCTCATAGCCAGGTGGCCTATGTGGCCTGATTATTCTTTGTGTGGAAGCTGTAGGGGGCTGAGGCCATACAGTTTTTTTTACTGTGTGATCCGAATATATTGTGTTATCTTAAGTTGTGGAGGTTGCATCTTTTAATTGAACCTCATAACCAATATTTTGTAAATTTGGACATTGAATCTTTCCGTTTTCATCTTAGACACATGAGTCAAGCTAAAACCAAACAGCCCTCTCAGCTATAGTGGCAATCTCTGGTGTTAAACTGCCACTACAACTAGTATATGGACTACTATGGAACCTACCTGGACCACCGAGGGACTACACAGCTATAAGGCCACATGGGAATAGAAAAGAAAATACTGCGATGTAATGTTGAAATCACTTTCTATTGTTTAAATAAAGAGTGTTTTTATTATCATTGTGATATCGGAATCAGTACTGAGTTTTGAGTCTGTTTCTTTGTATCAAAATCAAACTTGATATTTTTTGTATCATAACAACAAATTAGAGAAAAAAAAATTGCATAGTTGAGTTTAAACCAATATTATACAATTAGGCATTCATGTATCATTATTACCTCAGTATTATTTGTGTGTTTTCAGTGTTACATTCCTGAAGCCAGTCTGCAGCTGAAGCAGGACTGGGACCCTCAGACCAAAGAATCTTGTAAAGACAGAGCATGCAGAAACCAACCGTGAGTCCTTCCCCCTTTTTAGTATTATCTATTTTATAATTTTTATATTCTGATTTACAAATGTTTTTTTGTTGTTTTTTTTAAGATGGGATAGGCAGAAGATGTCGAAAGTGGTGGTTGTTGGAGACCTGAATGTGGGAAAAACATGTCTCATCAATAGGTGAAGTCACATAAGTGATTTAACAAGTACAAATGAACAACAAAATCCAAAAATATATATAACATAAGCTCATTTATACTGGCAGAGGTGGGTAGGTGGGTGTCAAAAATACAAAAAACAGATACTAAAACTAGTATTGAAAATAGATACTCATTTGAGCAGGTATAGATACTTAAAAAGTCCCATTCACAGGACAGAAATTAAGCTTTTCTGAATAAGTTTAGAATGGTCTTGAGCTTTGTCAGAACAAGTTTAAGAGCACATAGACTGGTATACGCCCAGGGACCGCTATGGAACCTACCTGGACCACTGAGGGATTACACACATATAAGACCACATGGGAATATAAAAGAAAGTACTATGATTGAACTCTCTGTTGTCAATTTAAATACTTCTAATTATATATATTTGATCGTCCAGTTTGTCATAACTTCAGAACAACTATCGCAATATTATACATTTTCCAAGATATTTTTCACCTCTATTTATTTACAAGTATGGAAAATAATATTGGAAAATAACAAAAGAAATCAGTTGTACTTTGCTATAATAAAATGTCCTATTTTGTTGTTTCAGATTTTGTAAAGATGTTTTTGAGCGTGACTATAAGGCCACAATAGGAGTGGACTTTGAGATTGAGCGGTTTGAGATGTCAGGAGTCCCTTTCTCTCTGCAGATGTAAGTCATAAAAGTCATAGAAGTTCTGTTTTCTTTCTCAACGGAGTTAAGTGCGATGTTACTTCCGATTCCATCAGCTGATTGAAAGCAATGTTTACAATTTCCTCTTATTAGCAACTACACATCTCACGTTGAAAAGAAATTGTAGTCATTTAAAGGGAAGAAGGTCATAAGTATGGATCTTCATTATGTTATAACTGTAACAGAAAGTGTAGGAGGGAGGCTAGGCTAGGCTAAGATAGCTTTAGTGGTGACCATCAGTTTTAGTTTTACTTGTACTTGTACACTTATATAATTATGCCTTTTTTGACACCTGTCTTTTGCTATCTTTTTTGCTACTTATCTAGAATGTATTATTACAATTTATATTTTTTACTCTTTTTATTATAATATATTGTGATGTCTGACCTACTGTGTCCAAGTAATTTCCCTTGTGGATCAATTAAGTATGGTAAAACACTGGTAATCTTATGTTATGTCATTTCTACAATTACAACTACATTATTTACATATTCAATGTGATTTTTGGTTAAACATGCACTTTTGAAAGCTAACTGATTATTAAACAAGTAAAACAAAGCTAGAAATCAACTGTTAAGTTTTTGGTTGGACCTAGAAGTCATCATTCAGTTAACAACTCTATAATTCCTAATAACATTTTATTTGAATTTTCTTATAGTTGGGACACAGCTGGGCAGGAAAAGTTTAAATGTATAGCTTCTGCTTATTACCGGGGTGCACAAGGTAAGATATTCAGTTATTTAGATCTTATTATGCAATTATTCTACAGTCAATTTCACTCTGATTTTGGTTTCCAGTTATCATAACAGTGTTTGACATGGCTGATATCAAGTCTCTGGATCATACACGGTGAGTCAAGGTTCTATTTTATACACGCTTTACTACTACTGTAGTTCAGTATGGAGCCAAAAGTGCATAGTAAGATTACTAATTTCACAAACACATATTTAATATAACTATATTTGAAAAAAAAAAAAAAATACTCTATAATAAAAAAAATAAAGTATTAGTCTGTTGTCACAATACCAAAATTTCTAACTCAACTCAACAAATTTAGATATTAAGAAATGGACTTGATACTCAGATTCTGATACTATGATGATAATAAAAACATGTTTTATTCAGAAAAGAAAGTAATTTTCAACATTAAATCATATTACCTTCTTTTATATTACCATATGGTACTACCTTTGTAATTCCTGAGTGGTTCAGGTAGGATCTATAGTAGTCCATGGCATGGGCCTATACTAGTCTATGTGCTCTTATGCTTGTTGTGATACAGTTCAAGATGATTCTAAAGCTATTCAGGAAAGGTTCATTTCTGTCCTGTGAATGTATCTAGTTTCAATACTAGTTTAAGTATCATCAGTATCTGATTTCTGATACTTGTGACAATCCTGTTTACAGACAGTGGCTTGAAGAGGCCATGAGAGAAAACAAACCAGGCTCCTGTTTTGTCTTCTTAGTGGGAACCAAAAGTGATCTACTGGTGAGCTATATATTAAAGTCTATTGGTAATAGTGGCTACAGAAATACATTTTAACACTGTTAAATGTGTATTAATTACATTGACTATAAACCAAGATGTGTGTTTTATTGTTTTTGTTTTTCTATATTAGTCCTTAGAGGAAAGGAGGAGAACCGAGAGAGATGCTGTCAAAATTGCGATGGAAATGAATGCAGAGTTTTGGGCAGTTTCATCCAAGACTGGTAAAGAGTCACTTTCACGTTTGGTTGATTTCAGATTTTAGAATGGGATGATGTCTTGCTCTCAGAAAGGGTCAAGAGACAGATTTTCATTCTGATAAATTGTACTTTGTTATAAAAATATCCAAAAGGTAAATTAACATTTTATTAACCTTATCATTTCTATTATTGACCAGACCCACGACCATGTTATATTACAGCAAAACTTTGCAGCTGAACAATATATACTTTAGCTGTAGCCCATTGTATTAAATCATATTGGCCTATAGGATACTGTGATGTCATTTGAAACCTAGCAATTGATAACATTGTGTTTTGCCATGAATTATCCAAAAGGTAAATTCACAAATGTTTAACCTAATCATTTCTATTAGTGACTAGACCCATAATCTCACTGCATTACAACAGAACGCTGCATTTTAACAAAATAATTTGCTTTGCTTGAGTATGGCAGGATTAGAATTATATATCTTGCATTAACTATTAATTAATTAATTCTATTAATTATCTATTACAATTGTTTTATTGCTAAAATACTCAACTCAATGGAGTCTCCATGGAAATAAGTTTAATGCCATATTGTAGAACATTCCAGGCAAAGTCATTACATTATTCAACCTCCCCTAGAAAAGTTCCATAGTGCAGCTATAACTTTAACTCAGTTTCTGTTTCATGTTCAGTTCATGTTTCTTCTAACATTCAGGGGAAAATGTGCAAAGATTTTTCTTCCGAGTAGCAGCTTTGGCCTTTGAGAGCTGCATTTTGAAAGACCTGGAAGATGGGACCCCTGCCCACATTGGCCTGGGCAACAGTATTAGTGAGCATTATTATTATTATTAAAATGTTTCATAGATGCACACAGTCTGACCATATGACTATGATGAATAATATGTGCTTACTTTTTTAGAATTTGATAGCACAAATCTGGAGACAGCCTCAGCACAGGATGTGAAGACACACTGCTGCTGACAGACAAGACACTCAGCCAGGAAAAAGAATGCACAGACTGCAATTTAGACCAGTGGTTCCCAACTTTTTTTTTTTTACTTGCATGCCCCCAGATCTCACACTCTTATGTACCCTGTCCAAATTATTATTATGCTATTTTCTGATATATGTTATGTTGTTTCCTCATCAAAAACATTCCCAGAGAGGTGATTTTCTTTTTTTCATTCACACATGTTTAATGCACAAACCCAGTGTATTTTCCTCTCAAACAGAAAACCCTCTGTTCTACTTTGTGATCTCATAATACAGGAAGTGCTCCACTGTGTTTTGAAACTCTATACACCTTTACGAGAATATTTTGGATGATTTCTGCCCTTGAATTGCAATCTCTACTAAACTAAAGGTAAAAGGTAGCTGTTAACTTTTAAAAATCGCAAGGTAGAACAGAACTTCTTGAGATTTAGAGATAGAGACAGACTAATAAACCAGGATTATTCAAACATGTGAATGAAATAAAACACAACTCCAGAAGGTAATAACATTATAACATGGCATAAAGCTCACAAGAGTGAACTTTGCATAATAGAGGACATTTAAGGATGTAAAAATGTATTAAAATGAACATTTTAGATTCATATACTATTCATTTTAAACTTTTAAAATCTGAAACCATTTCAAGTACCCCCTGACAATCCTGTACCCCTGGTTGGAAAACAGACCTAGACCTAACTTACTGATAAGCATTCACTAGACTTATTATGTGCCTTAAGGAGGAATGTACAAGAAATTGTACAAAAATATGCATTTTACTGTTCAGTTAGAACAATGAGACAGCAAGACAGAGGCAGAGCTTGTGTAAAAAAGAACTGAAGTGAAACTTATAAAACATGTTTATATGTTGTTTACACAACACACAAGGATTACACAAAAATGACTGCTGAAAACTTGAGTCTTTTTTTGTTATGGTTTATATAAGATTTAAGTCTACTGCACTTAAATAATACAGTTTAGGTCAGTATTGTTTTATAAATAGAAGCCAAAAGCGTCCCCGAAAAGTTCCAGTTGTTGGGCAAAGGCAATAGAAAATAAACATGAAAGATGCCTAATGCTATTTTATATGATATATTACTACCACTCTGTGGTAGAGATGGACCCTCAAATGAGAATCTGTGCATTTGACAATGATTCTGTATAGTAATTTTACCTAATATATTACATTGCACAATATTGAGATGCAGAGCTAGTAATCAACACTGAATTGGAAATGGCATCAAATTAGCCTACTTATTATTACAATGCTGAAACAGGTCTGTGTATTTTAAAATCAGATGACAATTGATTCTTTTCTTTTTAATGAATTTCACTGTGTTCTCATGGAAGAATGTGTCTGGCATTTTAAAGTTTTCATTTTAGAGTATGGAATGTGGTAACTGCATTTAAATGTTACTTATTAGTTATGTAGATGAATCTCACTGCCATGTAATTATTTGTGACAAAATATGTTTTTTTTTTCTATTGTTGTGGTAGCAAATAATGATATTATATTATATTTACAGTTATATTACAAATATAGTTGTACTCCCTGACGAAAATGAGTGCGTATATGGCATCGAAAATAACGGCATATGACAACTAAGCCCCACACAAAGTTCTGGCCTACCAGCGTTCTGGCCTACCAGCGTTAGTAAACAGTATTTCTAATGTTTTATTGATCTATTCAAATTAACGAAATTGGGAAAATTGTAACACTGTAACATAATTGTATTTTATTTTGTTTAAGTTGGTTTACTTGGCTACAATGATGAATGTTTTTTACAGATAAAGCGAAGTTTGTAAAAACAGTATCCTCTTGAGTAAGTTGAATCTCTTTGTACATTTTCGGACCAATCACATCTCTTCTTTGTTTTTAGCCGGAAGTAAACAGTCACAAGCTTGTGCGCCTCTCCACCGCTGACTACAATCTGCTAACAAACCAAAATACTTGTCCCTAAACAATTTTTTACGGCATAGTGTCGTTGTTTGGATTAATTAATGAAGAAACAGTTTCTGTGTACATTGTTTTACTAAAATATGGCGTAGATTTGCGAAATGCTTCGTGTGCAGGCTTCCCTATCTCGGAGAAGTGTCCGATCCATGCTCCTGTCTGCTGCAAACTCAGGCTGATGACCGAGGATTAGTATCAGGTACATTTGTGTCATTTGTGATTAAATGTCATAGTTAAATTGATTCAATTCAAGAATAGGTTTAACTTTTTATACTGGCTATCGGCTAGAGAAACGATCATACTTGATGCATGTTTACAAGTTTGGGGAAGTGTGCAAGGCTTTCGTGGGTTGCATGTCTGCGTTTAAAAACCAGTGAAAATCTAACGATCTAAAATGTATGGTATTGTGTTTTGTTTCAGCTGATTTAAAATGAGGACTAACAAATCATACAAGCTAGTGCTCCACAAAAAGGGATTTGGTGGAAGTGGTAAGTAAAATAGGGTGATTCAGTAATGTAGATTAATGTAATGGCGACATATTACTTTTGTTTCTTTTGAAATAGTACCTGTATTTATTACTCAAAATTGTGTCAGATTTATAGGTGCACTATGCAACTTTTTTAGGTGGAGCATCTGCTCACTTCTTAATGATGTTATTGCCTTTTCTGAATGTTTTACAGTGTCGATTTTGCATTTATTAAATAACATGTTTTTAATGCTAAAATAAACCTTGTAAATGGAGATACATGGAGATAGATAAACTACACACTGTGAAGCATTCTAGGCAAAGCAATAAAGCCTACATATAGACAAGCCTGTCCACTAGAAACTTTTAAGGACCAAGACATGTTTCAAATAAGTCTGAAAAAAACAAAAACAAAAAAAACAACATTATTTTATTTTGATAATAATCACTGGATACAGTAATAACTAGACACAAGTGCTATAACAAGAACAACTTGTCCAGTGTATGAATATATCCACCAAGAAAAATTGTATTGTTACGTTCATGACAATTACAGCAATTTTATTTACAGTACATATATATAGCAGCCATATCTGACAGTTGTATAACTTGCAGATGATGAACTGGTGGTCAACCCAAAGGTCTTCCCTCAAGCCAGTCTGGGGGACCTTGTTGAGATTGCACACCCCACTGACGAGTACAGGTGAGACAATCTGCATACTTGGTAATGCACTGTGGTAGTGGTAGAATTTGTAGTAAAAACTACTGTTTATGATCAGTTAGGCAAGTTCAGCTTTATATACTGCGTTATACCTTTATAATTTCTGTATTTGTTTCTTTCACATTTTTCAGTCCTCTTCTGCTGCAAGTTAAGAGCCTGAAAGAAGATCTTCAGAAAGGTAAATTATTTCAGTTTATCAGTTTATCGCTTTACAATAATCAGTAATTATTGTAAAGAATTGTGGAAACACAGTTTAGCAGGATTAGCTCAACAGTTAATAATTCAGCCTTCTCCAAATATTTATCCAGCTGGAATTGTTTAAATGTGCACTTCGATTTCAGTCTTCACATTAAAAGATTTTGATGTGAATATCTGTTTGTTATATGAGCATCACCGGCTGCAGCTACATGCACACTCAAAATCTGATTATTAACAGATTTTTGGAGTTCCAAGATTATTAAAATGACATGTAAACAAGCAAAATATTTCTTACTGATCTTAGTCCCTCTGATCACTCACATCAGATTTTATCTTTTGCATGCAATTTAAATCATGATCTTAAAGGTCCAGATATCTGATAATAATCAGACCTTGGTTCATGTAAACAAAGCCACTGACATTGTACTGTGTGTTTTTCTCAGAGACCATCAGTGTGGACCAGACCGTAGCTCAAGTCTTCAAACTGCGAGCCTACCAGGATGTCATAGTCAACATTGTCGACCCAAAGGTATCAATTACTACTACAAAAATGTCATAGATTATAACTATATAGCATATAAAAGTGCAATATGTCTCCTTTAAAAGCTGAATTGGCTGCATCAGACAAAGCAAGTAAGATGTAAATCTGATGTTTGATTTTCCCTTAAGGATGTGACTTTGGACCTGGTGGAGCTGACCTTTAAAGACCAGTACATTGGTCGAGGAGATATGTGGAGGCTTAAGAAAAGTCTGGTGAGACCTCATGAAATGTATAACACAAATATATCTGTTTTAATGGTTATAAATTGGGCAATTTTAAGCAACAATGCCTGCTGCACTGAATGAAACAATACATTTATTTTAAAATTGTTTGAGCCCTTGAATTAACCCAAACCTAACATTTTTATTTAATGTATTTTTAGTTTTGTATTTAATATTTTTGTTCTTTCAGGTGAGCACTTGTGCATATGTGACCCAGAAAGTGGAGTTTGCGGGAATCAGGTACAAACTAACGTAAAAAAAAAAAAATTTAAAAAAATCTATTTTAGTGTATTATCTAGTATTATTATTTGGCCAAACGGTACATTCCAGGGCTTAAAAAGTAGCTTCTTTTAAGTCTGTGGTCTACATAAACCTCCCTTCTATGTTCCAGAGCTCAGGCCAGTGAGCTGTGGGTCAAAGGTGAAAAGGTCACCTGTGGATACATCAGTGAAGACACCAGGGTGAGGCTCTGACAGTTTAGTTTGTGAAAGAGACATTTTGAATAGTGAAATATTACACCCTTCAAATACTGTCTTAACAACAACTAGAAAAGTGATATAATGCATTAAATTAGTATAAAATACTAAAGATACAATGTTAGTGTTCAAGCAGAAGTAAAGTAATACATACATGTAAAATAAGTAAGGATTAATCGGTGTAATGCACTGATCAAACTTGTTTAATCCACTCATACCATGGTCCCACAAACGGGAAATATTTCAAGAGACTTCATGATTTCATTTAGATAGGTGTTTGGTATTCAATATAAAAGGTGAGAGTGACAAACTAAAAAAAAATTCTTTGCTAATGTTATTTGAGATGGACTCGTTTAACAACACAAAATCAAATCAGCTGTTGTAGCTCGACCTTAATCACATCTTTATTGTCAGATTGTGTTCAGACAAAGCATTGAGTCTAGTTGTTGACAACATCAGCTGTAAAGCATTAATAAATGACAGTTATATTTGCATGTGTGTGTCAGGTGGTGTTCCGATCCACATCAGCAATGGTGTACATTTTTATCCAAATGAGCTGTGAGATGTGGGATTTTGACATCTATGGTAAGTAGGGCTGTCGAAAGTATCAAAGTATAAATATATATATAAAAACTGAGCTTGTGTGGATACTAAAAATAAAATCACATTATCAGGACAAAATATTACCTCCAGTTTTGTTGACTTTTCAGATTTGTCCATGTAATTGTTGTGTGTTTTATTCTGTTTAGGGGACCTTTATTTTGAAAAGGCAGTGAATGGTTTCCTGTCTGACCTCTTTGCCAAATGGAAGGTGTGTATTTATGTCTATGTAAATATAGAAAAATCAAGATTCTTTACTATTTATGGAATATTTACAGGAAAAGAACTGCAGTCATGAAGTCACTGTGGTCCTGTTCTCCAGGACTTTCTACAATGCCAAGTCTATAGGTAAATATCTTTGCTTTTCAACCACTGCTTTTTTAATGGATATGAATATAGTATGAATTTTAGCTGTACAATTTGTTAGGCGTGCTCTGTCAAAAATGACTCGACTCAATCAATTTAAATCACAAAAAAATGTATTCCCCTACCAATACAATCCTAATACAGAGCTCTGGGTCAAATCGCTACCCCTGATGGCCTACATCTACACAGGACTTAAATCAGGCGATCTGAACACCTGTGTTTCCCTCAACTCAGAGATATAAAACAACAGTATGAATATGCAAATAATATGTTGAGCAGGTTCACACCTAGGATCCTTCTTCAAGTGTCTCTGCATTTCTTCTCTGTGAGGAGATGACAAGCCTGGGATGTCTCCACAGCCTCAGCTCTGCAAAGGAATTCCCTTAAAAGCACATGTTTCACACAGTAGTACCTTTAAACATGTATAACATTTCAGTGTTTAAGCATTAACTCAATGTGTAACTTCATTAAACAATATTCAAACAAATATTATAAATTCAAAGTTTGATATGCACATGTGGTGCACTCAAGAAACTTCATCACTTGATATAGCCTTCAAATTATACAGAAAAGAAATGTAATCATAATTATTTGAATATTGGTAAATGTGTCTCCCTATTAGATCATTTTTGCAAGTAAAAAATAAATCTCTATACTGTAGATTTCTCAGTGTATATTTTAATTCTCTAGATGAATTTCCTGAAGCACTGAGAGGATCAGTTCGCCAGGATCATGAAGGGCGGTTCTGTGAAGATTTCTACAGGTAACTGCAAAACAGAAACAAAACCAAATATGTACAAATGTTGAACAAAACAATAAATCCACTTCTTTCCCAATATACTTAACTGTGTGTATGTATATTTTAATAGCATTATCTACTGTTCCTAGTAATTTTTTTTAGCAATTTTAGTGCAAACTAGGTAAATTTGCAGCTTTCTGGTCAAAAACGCCTAAATTTAAGTTTGTGCTGTCTTCAGTGGCCTCTGCAATTTCCTGCCCCTCCTCCCCCTCACTCTCCCCTTTAGTCCTCCAGGTACTGCCCAGTTTAACAACTCTGTTTGACATGTGGTTGTGGGAGGAGTATAGTTGTTTTTGTTTTGTTAATTAAAATTTAAATCACTTAAATATTTTTAACTTCTCCCAGAGTTGTGGCTCAGAACGAGAGACGTGACGAGTGGACGTCTCTACTGGTCACTATTAAGAAGTTATTCATTCAGTATCCAGTGTTAGTACGACTCAAAGAAGCAGGTAAGAGGAAATGTTTAGTAATAGAATATACACTATGAGTGAAAAGTTTGGACACACTAATTATAATTTGTATGTTTTTCTTCATTTCCATGAATATTTACATTAGAGATTCTCAGTAAAAGCATCAAAACTATGAATGAACATATATGAAATGTACCAAACAAAAGATCAACTTAAAAAATAAGTTGCTCATTGAGAGAAGGCCAGCTTTTTTTCTTTGCTACATCATTCCATTCATCTTGCATCATATATTTGCTTTCTTCTGTATGTATGTAGAAAACAGTAGACAAAGTAACACTAAATGAGAAGGTGTGTCCAAATTTTTGACTGGTAGTGTATGTCTAGTAAATGTTGAAACCAAAAGCCCTTTTTATTTTACAGATGGGTTTCCTGTTGGTTATAACTCCACAGCTGTTCAAGGAAACTACCTGGAAGCCATCAACCTCTCCTTTAACGGTGAGTTCTGTTCTGTTTGTCAGTTTGTCATATGGGTACCATGCTGCTCATTTGCCCTAAAAAATTCCAAACTCATAATCCTGATATTCAAGGTAAAATAATGAAAGGTAAAATAATTAAAAGATAGTTTCCAGTTTAAAGTTATAAAACATACTATCCATAGACTTAGACAAACTTTATTTATCCACAAGAGAAATTACTTACTCACACATCACAATATATTAAAAGATAAAATAAAGAATAAAACAACATAAATAATAAAGTAATAATGTAATAATACATTCGAAATAACTAGCAAAAATGGCAACATAGTGGTGTCAAATAAGGCATAGCTATAGAAAAATGTATATGTACAAATAAAAATTAAATCAAATAGAAATAAGTAATATCCTAATCCCACAGTTGGAAAAAATATATATTTTAAAAGCTGTTTGACCTCTTTTATGTGCTGTTTGTAACTAACATTGGGCTGTTTGTTGTTTAGTATTTGATAAGCACTACATCAACCGTAACTTTGACCGGACCGGGCAGATGTCAGTGGTGATCACTCCAGGGGTTGGAGTGTTTGAAGTGGACCGTCTGCTCATGATCCTCACCAAACAGAGAATGATTGACAACGGTAAAATCTTTCTACACGCGGCCTGTCACGATAAATACTATATTGACATCTGTCGTTCAGTGCATGACAGGTGGAACTATGGTCATCACAAGTAAATCAAAAAGCTAAGGCTATTACAAGCTATTACATATTAGCTAAAGCGCATCTATTCAAAAACAATTTGAGCAAGTACCAGTACTAAAAAGCCACGTTCACAGGACAGAAATGAACCTTTCCTGAATAGCTGTAAAATGATTTTGAGCTATATCAGAACAAGTATAAGAGCACACAATATATGCCCATGGACCACTATGGAACCTACCTGGACCACTGAGGGATTACACAGATATAACATGGGAATAGAAAAGAAAGCATTATGATTTAATGTTGAAAATCACATTCTATTGTCTGAATAAAGTGTTTTTATTATCATCATGGTATTTTAATCAGTACTGAATATCGAGTCTATTCCTAAGAATCAAAATCAAGTTTGTAGTAGTATTGTGACAACACTAGATGGAACAATAATTTTTGGGGTGCAATATTTATCGTGGGTACTTTTTCTTTGCACTAGTGAGGAACTTTTTGGGGTTTTTTTGCAATATGGTAGATTTAAACAGTGGTGGATTTAATACATAATTTTTTTGACTCACTATGAATTCCAATTAACTACTTAAGTGTTTCATTCTGTTAAGGGTTATTGTGTCAGTGACATAAATTCGGTTAATTGTCTATATTTTCTTCAGCACTATATCATACTTAAATATATGTTAACATGACAGGCATACACACCACAAATTTATCTAACCTCAAAATTGTATCTATACTTGTTTTATATTCTTTCAATTATGTTTTTAGTTCTAACAGAGCTTCAGACAGAGTAGAGCCTCCAGTTAGCATCACACCTCCAGTGAATTATGATGACGACAGCAGCTCCAAAAATATCAGCAGTCTTTAAATAATAATTCACATGCACTTGCAGGTATTGGTGTGGACTTGGTCTGTATGGGAGAGCAGCCCCTCCACGCTGTCCCTCTGTTTAAGGTAATGACCCTGATTCACTCTCATTTTAGTGTCACATGTTCAGGTCCATTATCACTGAGTGTTTTTGTAGCTACACAACAAACCAACACCAGGAGACTCTCGAGTGGGAGATGACTACAACCTGCCTCACTGGATCAACCACAGGCAAGAACGACCTCTGTAGTAATAATGCTGTTTAAACGAGCATGAAAGGCTTACTACATTTAAAAATGCATTGACATATCCATAGAAACACCAAACCAATGGGTTACATAGTGCATCTTTAAAATTAAAATTTATTTTTAGTTTTCCCTTGTTTCACAATTTTGGTGAGGTTTATAATTTTACTTCCTGGTTGGACACAGGTGACTAATACATAAGCAGAGGTAACGCCATACCTGTTACCTTTCAGCTATACTGTAAACAAGGGTTAACATTTGTTTAATTTACACAAATACAGTGATTTGACAATACTATTGATGCTATGGCTTTACGGGCTTTACGTATCTGCCAATACCCACTATCAACTGATACCAGTGTAGAGGCTGAAAAGCATTAATTTCCTTAAAACAAAGTTAACATGAGACAAAACTGATCCAAATGTTGTATGCAGCAAACATGAGACTTTCTGGTTCAACTAAAACCAATAAATAGTCTTTCTAACAACAATATAGATGTTAAATCCTATCATATATTAATAAAAAGAGAAAAATCAAAACAATCAATAAGAGATATATAAGGTATAAAAAATGAAGTTCTATAGTAATAATATTCTCTCCATCTGCAGCTTTTACACATCCAAAAGCCAGAGCCCCTGCAGCTCCTTCACCCCTCGCATCAAACTGGCAGCACGCAAAGTAAGCAGTTTAGTAACCATGGTAACAACAGTGTGGAAATGTCACATGTGCATGAAGAAACTAAACAATATCAACTCTCATTTTCAGCTCCACGCAGATAAAATGAAGTCTCACAGGGAGCACAGTGAGTTACAGTAGTTGGTGTTTCGGTAGGATTTAAAGGTCCTATATTACACAGTGTTATAACGTTGTTACTTCATCAGAAACATACATGGAATTGTGGTTTGATTCATTCACACATGATTGAGTTATCCTTTATTATTAGTCTTTCTACATCTCCAAAGCTCAGAAGCTCTGTTCTACCTTGTGATGTCACGAAGCAATAGTTTTCAAGATTAACAGCTACCTTTTACCTTTAGTTTAGTAGCAATCAAATTCCAGGATCATCTAAATTATTCTAGTAAAAGTGTATGGAATTTAAAAAGACAATGGTGCACCTGTATTACCACATGACATCACAAGGTGGAACAAATGTTTTCTGTATGAGAGAAAGTGCGTAATTATGCAAGGTTTGTGTGTTAAACATATGTCAATGAAACAAAGCACATCTCCAGGTATGTTTGTGATGAGGAAACAATAACACTGATCAGATAGCATAATATTTGCTCTTTAAAGCAGGAGTACTCAATTTATAATGTGTCTGTGTGTGTGTTTGTGCGTGTGTGTTTGCAGCTCTGTGTGTTCACAAAGAGCCAGAGAACAGCCTGCCCATTCAGGTGGACTATGACGCTTATGATGCTCAGGTGTTTAGACTTCCTGGTCCATCACGGGTCCAACGCCCCACTCATTTCAGGTGAGTGAGCACAGTACAAACAGATCTTTCATACACTTACCAGTATATTTTTAAAAAACAGTTGCAATAAATGCAGTCTTTATTACATAACTAATCTACTATCACTAATATACTAATGTAATGTATATAGAACTACTTAACACACCCAAAGCTTGGTACAGTGCAGTACAGTTCTTACTGTTTACACTCGGTGGTGCCACAGCTGCCTTGGGACAGACTGACAGAAGTGAGACTGCGAGTCTGCATCATCCGTCCCGCTGACCACCACCCACGCAATGCGGGCTACAAATGGAAACCAGAAGTGACCAAAACATTTTCAATTAGACTGTATTATTTTTTTTGTTTTTTTGTTGTTTTAGTAAATGTTTGTTTGTATTTCCTTTTTTAATGTATGTATTTACGTACATGTTTTTGGTTATATATTTTTTCCATTATTATGCTCAAAAGGAGTATAATAATAAAGTAAAAAAAGTATAAAAGTAAAAAAAATAAAAATACACTGTTGTCGTTTCAGGATGGGTCGAGACAGAGAGGCCAGTGCGAGGAAGAGCTGGGTAGATGTGGGGCCAGGGATAGGTGCATCTCCTCCGGTCAGATCTGCAGACGAGCAGCGCAGTCTGGCCTCGGACGACAGCCTGGGCCCTGTGTCCAACATGCTCCTGATCCCCAGAATCCAGGGACAAGGCCAGTACGAGGTCAGCAGCTCTTTGGGATACACCAGCACCAGAGGTCAGTATGGGGACAGAGGAGGGCTGCTCTTGTTTATGTGTCTGATTAGATTAATTAAGCATTGGCATAGAAACTAATGATGATAGACATTCATTTCCTTGTTTGCCAAGGTCTGAATTAGAAGTGGTATGCAATGTTGGAATATTGACTAGTTTGAGATGTTTGGTAGAAATGTGCAGTGTAATGGTCCACACAATGGAATGTGCACCTTTGTGTTAAATTATTCAAGAAAATGTAGGGGTGTTCCAATACCGATCAAAGTTATACTATTTACTATTATGTTGTCAAGCAAGTTTTTTGTCCATTGTCCACTGTTACAGCCACACAAAAACATCTTTCATTTTTGTATCATAACTCTGTTTGCTATTGTGTGCATTATATCACCATGTATACCATGTATACATACACGTAGAACACCCCCAACAGTATCAGTACATCCATATATATTTTTATTCTGATCCTGTCTCTGTCCCTCACCTCCCTCACATTTGCAGATTTGGTGGAGAAGATGCTGGACTCTCAGAGGGATAACAGTGCTCCAGGCCGGTTCACTGTGGGTAGTGCTGAGTCGACTCTGCACATCCGCCCAGGAGGATACACCCCCCAGAGGGCGCTCATCAACCCCTTCACCCCATCCCGGATGCCCATGAAGCTCACCTCTAACCGCCGCCGATGGATGCACACCTTCCCCGTCGGTCAGACACTGCTGTTTAAACACCACACTGATTGAGAGATAGATAGAAAGAAATATACTGAACAAGATGGAGAGAGACAGAGAGAGAATATTGTCATCAAAGTGCACATTCCACCTCCTTTTCTGCAACTAACATCTTGTAAAACTGAAAGAATTCCAATAAGAAAAAGATGTCCCGCGAGATTTCAGGTTTAAAGAGGGGATATTATGCAGAATTGATTTTTGTGAACTTTCTACTATGTTCTTTCATCAAAAACATGCCTGAAGAGGTTTTAGATGTCATCCATGCATGTCTGAGTAATTTAGAGATCTCTCCCGGGCCCTACAACATACCATGGTCATCTAAATATACTATGTGTTAGTAGTCAATACCTTATAGATGTAAAATATCTACTGTATGTCACTCAGGTCCCTCTGGTGAAGCTATCCAGATCCACCATCAGACCAGGCAGAACATGGCGGAGCTTCAGGAGGAGAGAGACCCTGCCCACACGTCGGCAGAGCTGCTGGAGCTGGCCTATCATGAAGCCACGGGCAGGTCAGGCACGGGGAGTTTGGAGGTTTTCTTTTATATATTAACAGATTTGTGGCTGACAAGATTGTTTGTTTTTCAGGAGAGCCACGTTGCGTTATGGAGACAGCAGCCTGTACATCGGAGGAGTTGTGGAGGAGTTTAGTGGAAGTCCAGGGAGTCATGCAAGTGGTGAGCTCTCAACACAAGAGAAGTGGCAGGCATTTTAGGAACGATAAAGACAAGATAAGACAGGACAGACATGAGACCGCACCATAAAAACTATACTGCTACTATTTTAATCACCTTGCTGTAAATCACATTGTAATATTGCTAGTTTAATACTTCTGTAAAATAGTTGGATGTTTAAAGTTAATTTTGTCTACTATAAATGTCATAGATACAGTCAAGTTATTAGGAGCTCCCACTTGCAGAAGGTTTGAACTCCTCCACTGAGCAAACAAACCACTCATTTTAATCTAGAAGAGATGTAATGTCACCTAGTGCTGTCAAGCGATTAAAAAAATTTGAGATTAATTAATTATGATCTGTAATTAATTAATCTAATTAATCTCTTTTTAATCTCACCTAAAAATTGCTGAGAAAAGCCCTCAAATTGAGGCATTTTCATTTAAATTCATTATTACATTATTGTGGCAGATCAAAAGACTGATATAGAACAAAAAAAAGTGACTTTATAAAGTCATTTGTTGATTAACAAACTTTAACAGATGGAGTCACTTACATTCCACAGTATCATCATTATTATTACTATTACTAATCTGCAGTGTTGGGAAGGTTACTTTTAAAATGAATTCCCCTACAGATTACAGATTACATATCCCAAAATGTAGTTTGTAATGTAATCCATTAAATTACTTAAAGTGAGTAACGCAATCTGAATACTTTGGATTACTTGATATTGTCATGCTTTTTAAAACTACATGAATGCAGCAACCGCATCCTGAAAATTCTTGTTTGTTCTCTTCAAAATGTCTGTTGAGCCCAAGTCTCCATGAACAAGCAACTGTTTGCTGTAAAGTAGTAAAGACTAGGAAATGTGAACATAAGATGTTTTGTCTGCTTAAAGACAATAAAAAGTCCAGTCTTTCCTTAACCATATTACAAATATTATTGATAGAGAAATGCTTTATATATGAGATCACTGGTTTTAGTCCTGGTTTAGACCTGCTTTAGTCCTAGTTTAGTCCTGGTTTAGTCCCGGTTTTAGTCTTGGTGTTAGTTCTGGTTTAGAGGCTCACAGGAGGAAACACGGTCTACGCAGCGTACGCGAGAAAACACAGTCCACACGCGGCGCACGGGAGGACGGCGGTGTCTGCGCAGTAGCTACGGAAGGAGACGTGGTCCGCGCGTTCTCAGGTTGATGACGATGATGACGATGATGAAGGTGTGTGTTTGTGGGTGTTTGTGGGTGCGTCCCCTCATGTGGCAGGTCACAATAGGACAGTAGTGCAGATTTCATGAGCCTATGCAGTTTGTTTTCACCAGCGCCAGTAGCTCCGGTTTGACATTTAACTTGGAGGCGATTTTATATTTGTTGTTTTGTTTTATATCTCACGTCGGGAGAAGAATTTCCAAGACACGAATGCGTTTTTACCTGTTTACTGCTGTCTCTGTTCTACTGGCTCTTCGACCTCGTCCATTGTTGCGACTCACACCGCCAACGTTAACATGACGTTTACATCGCTCTTACTGCGCGCGTTTTGTGTGGGTTTCTGGCATGAGTGGAATTACTGAAATAAAAAAATAAATAAATGTGGGGTTTTTTGTGTGTTGTCTCAACAACACATAAAAACAGATTTTATAATAAGGCAACTCGCATACAGAAACAGTAAAGTTAGAGATTAAAAATGAGATTAACGTGATTAAAAAACATAACGGGCTAAATATGACTGTAATTAATTAATCGCAATTAACGCGATAATTTGACACCCCTAATGTCACCATTTGTTTAATTACCACAAGAGTAAACAAAGGATTTGGGATATCTATTCTATAAAATGCAGATATTGAGAAGACCAAAGTTGCCCAAATTTGTACTAATACTCAAGAATGGTAACAGTAGCTGTGTTCTACTAGCACATGATTTTGTGATTCTAGCGCCCCATACTGTATTTTAACATCAATACTAGAAAATGTTTTTAATGCTTCCTGCCCACTCACAATAAAGGCTTTTAATATTTTGTAACTGAATGCCTGATATTTAGCTTTTTCTCAATGCATCAGGAAACATTTTAAAGAGGGAAAAAGGCGACTGTGTATTTCTTTGAATGAGTTTACATCCATCTGTCCACAGGGTCTTTGACAAATCGCGGGTCCTTTGAAGACTTCTCTCTGAGCGGCAGTGATCCGAGTGAGTCCTCCTCTTTCATAAACAATCGCATCATAAATTCTGATCACTCCTGGGTGGGACCTACATACAGACGAATGATTGGTGATACATACAATACTTATTTAACCTGCGGTGCCTGTAACAAATGAGGGTTTTTACTGTCGGCAGAAGGTGTCTCCCTCCATTGGGTGTTCTCTCCCAAGTCGCAGGTCCAGTGTTTGGTTTGGGACGCCCCCTCCTCCCTCTCTCTCTCTCTTTTTCTCTTTTTTTCCCTTTCTCCCTCTCCCCTTCCCCCTCTCTCTCCCAACTTTAAACTATATTTTGTTGCTATTGCTGCTGATCACCCTAAATCTCCCAACTATTTTAATCTGGGTCCATCATCATTTTGGTTATAGTTCCAACTTCCAAGTACTGTCAGTAACCCATTTTTAGTAGTCAGTGCAGAGTGAGCGAAAATATCAAGGCTCAAGTCTAGGGTGAGGAATTTAAAGTGGAAATTCAGTAGAAAATATAGATAAGATAATAGTTTTAAAGTAGTTAAAAGTAGTGCAAAATTGGAATATCCATTATATACAATAACGCGGTCAAAAAGATAAAGAAAAAAATGAAACTCTTGATCTCTTGATCTTTCAAACAAGATCAGTAAGTGATATTTCTGCACTTCTGTGGTTTGTACTTGACCTAAACCAAAACATTTAAGACACATTCTAGCACAGATCAGAGGGATTGCAAAAATATGGTGTTTTTTTTATCACCAGTACTGTGTAGAAAAATATATAGGTGATTAATGTGTTTATGTTTTTGTTAATACATAAAAGCATGATTTGAACTATTTTTTTGCTTTTTTTTTTTACACTTTGTCCACTTAAAATGCATGTGTGATGTAAACTCACTTTTTGCTATGACACTTAACACTTGCATTTAAATTGGTGCACTTAAAGGGCCCATATTACATGATCTATTTATTTTGTTTTTTCCTCATCACAAACATACCTGGGGTTTTCAAACACATCAGGACTCCAGGCACTCCAAAGAAGTAAAAAGAGTTAAAAAAAAACACATGAGGAAAAATATAGTAAAAGGCCTTTATTTAAATTACCAAAGCCAACATGTTTCGACCTTAACTGGTCTTCATCAGGGCTTAATCGACAATACCTGGAGTTTTGTTTTATTTTAATTTCACACATGTTTAACACATGTTCTCCACAAAGAACACTGTTCCACCTTGTGATGCCATGCAGTAATACAGAAAGTGCTCCACTGTGTTTTTAAACTCCATACACCTTCACTAGAATCATTTGATAATTTCAGCGCTGGAATTGTCAAACTACTGAAAGGTAAAAGGTAGCTGTTAACTTGAAAACTTCTACTAAATGCCATCACAAGGTGGAACACATTTTGAGACAGAATAAAAATAAAGGGTAAACATGTGAAACAAAACAACTGCGAGTATGTTTTTGAGGAGGTAACAACATTATAACATGACTTAAAAGCTCACGAGTCAGTTTTCTGTAATGTAGGACCTTTATCTATGCCGTGATTTATTTATTTTTTTACCCTTTTTGTTCTTTTTAAATGCCAAAAGAGGAAAGCCTTTAAGACGTAACACTTATTTTTAATCTCACTTCAGAAATGGGTTACCTGGCAGTTCACTGTTCCCTCACTGTTCTTTAACCACCACTAGCATGTCAGCCCCCTGCATGTCCAATGGCACAATAGCTTTGAATGTAAAGTATATGAGCTGTTCTCCCTTTGGTACACCATAATAAAAACCCAATCACGCTTCTTTATGCATGGTTGTATTTTCTGCTTAAACCTTTGACAAAAATCATTGGGAAATCACTTTTTTCAGGTCACACACGCTCCCCTCACTTCTGTTGACTGCCACCAAGCCACAATCTGCATGTTCAGTCAATCTACACCTCCAGGCTGCATCTGAATCGGCACAAGTAACTCTGTTTTTTCTTCTCTTCCTCCTCCTCCTCCTCCTTCATCATCTCTCGTTTCCCTCCTGTCCCTGCCCTCGCTCGTGTACGTCCCCATGTACATTGTGTGTGGGTTTGCCTGTTGAAGTCTTGGTGCTGTCTGCGCCTCCGACAGTGCCTAGCTTTTGCTGCACGGTGGGAGTGGACTGGAAGTCTCTGACCACGCCCGCCTGCCTGCCCCTCACTACTGACTACTTCCCCGAGAAACAGGCCCTGCAGAATGACTACACAGAGGGCTGCTACGACCTGCTGCCTCACAGTGACCTCGACAGGTGCGGGATCACACACACGTCAGACTGTAATGTATTATTGTTTAGTTTTGTTGGATGTTTTCAGATTCTAAAATGTGATGATGTCATACTTCCAAATGGAGGCAAGGGCCAGATTACATTACATTACATTTTACTCTGCCCTGAAATCCAAAATTCTCAAATGTTGAACCTGATATTTTCAATTATTAACTAACCCGAAGAACTCACTGTATTACAACATCAATTAGCATTTTAACTATTTTAATTTTAGCTGCCCCCCATCTTTATTAATTAATATTAGCCTGTGTTCTGATGTCACCTGGAACCCAGCAATCCCTTTGTCAGAGACCATGTACAAATGCGTAATCTCACAAAAGAAAAGATGAACTGCACTAGATTTAGCTACTGCTACTTTCCTTTTGCAATCCCTGGGCAGGTGAAAACATTTAAAATACACGTTTCATTATAGTTACACAATGAAATGTCACCGTGTCTAGAATCAACTGTGTTTAAGATTCCAGTTGTTTTGAGAGTTTAGATTTAGTTTATCATCATTTTCGTTATTTATGAGGTCAGTGAGTGTTTTAAAGGGTTGGAAACAACATTGTAAAAAAAAAACAATTTGTTTTGTAAAATTTGTGAAAAAACTAACAAAAAAACTAAAACTAGATTAAATTAGGATTAAAGTGGAACTAAACATGCAATCCACCTCATTACTAAACTGTGTTTTAATAGCATTATCTACTGTTATTTACTGTTTAACAGCATTATCTACTGTTTGTCATTTTCTGGCAACTTTACTGTAAACTAGGTAAATGTAGGTAAAAAGTTGGTGGCGTTACAAAAAGACTGCCCCTGATTACAGGCAGGTGTTTCTGATACAAACACCTGACTGGAGGGGCAGAGTTTGAAGTGTGGATACCTGTTAGACCAATCACACTGCTCCTTATACCTCCAGACTCTGCCCCTCTTCATTCCTCACTCTCCCCTTTAGACCTCCATGTACTGCCCATCTTAGCAGGTCTATTTGAAATGTGGTTATGGACAGAGTTTGGGTGTTTAGTCCCACTTTAACTCCCTCTTGTGGGAGAGAGAGAGTGGAACAGGAGTTACTTTTAGATGGTACCATGTATTGAGATATTGAGACACTGACAATTCAAAATCTGCAACCCGGTAAGTTCAGCTAGTGCATACAAATGTAAATATTCATTGTATGTTGTAAGTCCCCGGGTTATGTGTTCCCTGTGTGTGTCAGGCGTGAGGACGAGGCTCCCTCCATGAGTGCAGCTCAGGTGTTTGAGGAGTTCATCTGTCAGAGGCTGATGCAGGGGTATCAGATCATAGTGCAGCCAAACAACAGGAAGTCCCAGCCCGCCACAGCCCCGCCCCTCGGCAGCAGCCCGCTCTACTCCAGAGGTAACGTCTCCTAATGAGTGTGTCGTTTTTTGTCCTAGTTTAGTTACAATAATTTGAATCCAGGATGTGAAAGGGCGTGTACCTGATTTCAGTTTATTCTAGTTAAGCTAAATGCTCTTAACATCGTACATCATGTAATAAAAGCAGCTGAATGAGAAATGTATTGAGATTGTTATATATATTCCCTGCATTTTTACAAGACATTTCATTGTGTATTAACTAAGATTAAGTTAAAGTTAAGTTAGTGTTGTTTTATTAGTTATTAAGTTCTAGTAATTTTAACTAAGAATAGATTTTTTTAAAAGTATAGTAGTTGTAGACTGTATATGTATTAAAAAATGTTGCCCCTCTTTGTAACTGTTTCTGAGCCTCATCATTTTGGTCTTAAAATGTTCATATTAACGTGCTCTACATGATCCTGGTGTTTTTATTTCACAATTTTTTCTCTAAATTAGAAGATATGAACATTAATAACAGACCAATCTAATGCCTATTTTCCCTGAGGTTGCTCTCGCTAGGTTTGAATGACACAGCCGTTGGTAAACACACGTACCCTTTCAAAGCAGCAGTGCGGGAGGGGACATGTACCTTCAACATCCTCACGCCTGATTGTTTGATTTCACTCTTGGATTTCCAAATATGGTCCCTGGTTGCAGATTAGTCACTACAACTGCTAGCCTGGACGTCATTTGGTTGCCACCAAACACTATGGGTGGCATCACACTAACTCAGTCCACTTCTATTATACAGTCAGTTAAGTTATACAGTGAGTTCTTCACCTGATTGTCACCTGATTATTTCTTTCCTTGTTTAGGTCTAGTATCAATGCGTCGCATGGAGGACGAGGAGACAGTTTACTGGCTGAGCATGGGACGCACGTTTCACAAAGTCTGCCTCAAGGACAAGATCATCACAGTGACGCGCTACCTGCCCAAGTGAGCTCCCACAGCGCCCCCTACGTCAAACCTCTGTAACTACCGCTAACTGGGCCTTGTGTTTGCAGGTACCCCTATGAGACTGCACAGATCACCTACAGCTACAGTCTGTGCCCACCTCACACAGATGCCCAGTTCGTGTCCTGCTGGGTGGAGTTTGGGCATGAGAGGCTGGAAGAGTACAAATGGAACTACCTGGACCAGTACATCTGCTCAGCCGGATCAGAGGACTTCAGGTTAATACCAGTGTTAATTTTATAGATTAAAAATATTTTCAGCATAGTTTTTGACCATTACTCATCATGGACAGGATCGATTCCCACTCGGACAAAGTTCTGTCATTGTGTCCTTCACTTATGTCCACTACCCATTGGACTACCTTATTAACTTGCCCTTGTTTTTTATCATCTGTGCTTCTTCTTACTTTATTATTGTGTATACTTGATCATTTATATTTAGTAGGTATGCACCGATCCAGTACTGATATTTGATATTGGCACTGATCTTGAAAAAATTGCTGGATTGGATCAGTTTTGTCTCATTTTATTTTTGTTTAAAGTCAATAAATGCTGTTTTTAGGTATCTGCTGATTGGGTATTTGCAGACACTTAAAGGGGCACTTTTCTGGTGGATGGTCTGTCAAAGAGATTAAATCTATCAGTCCCCAGGGAGACAACTAGGCTAAATTACAGGTCAGATCTGTGGAGAGGCAACCTTGCTCACAGTCAGAATGCCTGTTTTAGTAGGTATTTTTGAGCTATAAAATCACCTGTAATTTAATAAATGTAAAGTAGAGCTGTTTAAAGACATACTGTGTGACATTCTAGGCAGAGCAATGACATCTACATGGAAACAAGCAGGTGACGCACCCCCAACCAAACCAAAAAGTGATTGGTATCGTAACTGAAAATCTGTATTGGTGCATTGATACAAAGTCTGAGTCTTTACACACTGAGAACTACAAAGTGTTCAATATTGATTCCAGTAAAAAACAGAGGACAGAGATCATGTCTTTATCTTGTGTGTTTTAGCCTGATCGACTCCCTGAAGTTCTGGAGGACTCGGTTCTTGCTGCTTCCGGCTGGAGGGGCCCGGCGTGTTGGGGACATGGAGGGCCCCTGGGACGTGTATGGAGAGGGCCCTGGGGTCGGGGCTGGGGGCAGCGGGGAGGGGGCTTTACTTGACGGGTTCATTCGCTTTGTGGAAGGACTGAACCGAATCAGACGTCGTCATCGCTCAGACAGGATCATCAGAGTGAGTGTAGCAGGCACAAGACTTTTTACATTCATTTACATTTAAAGTACTTAAAGTGGACCTATTATGCGGAATCATCTTTTCAGAGCTTTTAACTATGTTATAGTCGTTTCCCTTCTGATTTACCCTCTAAATTGTATTTAGAGTGATTCATGCACATTTCAGTAATCTTTACTCTTGTATTCAAAACATCATTGTTTCAATTAACCCCTCTGCTCTGTACTTACTCTAATTGTATTTTCTTAATTGTTGATGGGTGCAAGATTCGGCAGCATTACATAGTCATTATGGAATGAAAAATGAAAAAAATTTGCTACTCGCTAGTGAGATCCCGGACGTCAGCAGACTTGTTTCTTTTATTAAGCTGTAAACAGTTTGAAACAGTATAGATCAGAGCTGGGTTTGTTTCTGTCCCACAGAAGGGGACCCCGATGAAGGTGTCTGCCCCCCTGCCCTCGTACCCCCCTGAACCTGTGGCCCCCCCTCAGGGCAAGAAGGGCACCTCAGCCTTATCCGCGCTGCTGGAGATGGAGCAGAACCAGAAGTGAGTCATCTCAACTGGAAACAGAAGCTTCCATAAGTCTTTGTAATTTTTCTGGAAGTCAAGTAATTAGTCGACTACTGACTAATCAACTATGAAAAATAATTGTAGTTGTATTTTGATAATTGTAATTGTTGGACTATACAGACTTTTAAACTCAGTGACATTATTAAATCAAAATGTCAAAAAAAAGAATAAACTCATTTCAGATTTTTATCAATAAGACATTTTATTCAGAAATATTCTCTAGTTAGAAGCCATCAGTAATTTTAATTTCCCTAGAAGATGTAATGACCTAAGGTTAGAAATGTCTTTTCAAAATCTAAATTTACAATAAAATAATCATTTCACTAGTAAAATAATCCTTACTTGCAGCCTGACAAAAACAGTTTTTTTTCCCAGCCTAACTGACCCCATCCCCTTTTCTTCTTTCAGATGTTTGGAGGAGCAGCAGTCTAAGCCCCCTCCCCTGACCCCTGACCCCACAGCAGTGTCTGTAGCCCCCTCATATGTGGACAGCCCCCGGAAGGTGAGCCCTGTGTGCTCCATTCTGACTCTGCTCTGGCCTTTAAAGAGACATATTATGCTTAGCTGTAGTTTTTTAATAAGTATGGAACATTTGCTTAGACATTTATATGTAAAGAACAGACGATCAGAAGCTTTAAACACATGGTGCAGTACATTTCAGTTCAGTGAGTTCAAATGCTGTTAAAAGTGATTTTTGTGAAGATGACTTTAAAAATACACAATATACTAAGTTTGGGTTTCAAATAGTTAAGCCATGAACTGAATTTTCAAGGAGCATTTCCTGTTGTTCAGAAGGATTTTTAATGTGTTTAGTGTTTCACACTTGACACACTTGATACTCAGTACTGATTCTCATGTGGTTTTATATCTGTATAATTCCTCAGTGATCCAGGTAGTTTCCACAGGCGTATACTAGTCTGCTCTTATACTTGTTCTGATACAGCACAAGATCATTCTAAAGCTATTCAGGAAAGGTTAATTTCTGTCCTGTGAATGGGACTTTTAGTATCGATACCTGCTCAAATGAATATCTAGTTTTGATACTGGTTTTCGTATTGATTATCTGACTTTCATTACTTTTGACAACTCTACCGTGCACAAATACAGCCAAACCAAACAATTTCAATATTGTGGTTTATGACATGACAGTTTTTGCATCATATGTCTCTCTTCATTTTGACTCTGTGCTTGGCTGTTGTCTGTCCCTGTCTCTGGTTTGACTTTGGTGTTCTGGGTGTTTCTTTGCTGCTGGCCACAGGACGGTGCCTTTATTTTGGACTTTATTCGTAGTCCTCGCTCCTCGTACATCCACCACTCGCAGGTCAGTGTGGAAGAGTGACCGCTGCTTCCTGCATGTGTTTTCCTTTTCCTTTTTTCGTCTCTCTGCAACATTGACTTTACATGTTATTAGTAGCTTGGAAGACCGTCATCCTTTTACTCATCGCAGTTAATTGGTGATTTTCAGATTCTAGAATGTGATGATTTCATACTACCAGATTGGGGGCAGACATATTTCCCTATTTATAAAATTGCACTTTGTCATAAAATATCCAAAAAGTTTATTCACAAATGTTTAATGTAATCTTTTCTGTCGGTGACTAGACCCATTAACCTGCTATATTACAGCCATAGACTGTATAAAGAAGTGGACTTGAGTGACCCATAGCATTTGGCTATCAAATCAAATGAAACTTACAATCCTAGCGGTTACAGGGACAAATTTGGAGCCAGCCTCTTTATTAGAAATAGGATTTTTTTTTAACAGACAAAATAGTAAAAAAAAACAAAAAAAACAAAAAAAAACAAACAACAACAAAGCACCAGGATCATGTAGAGTGGGTTAGTACAAACATTTCTCAATATGCCAATGTAAGTCAATGGGAGCCAGGGTCAGAAGGAGCCAGCAGTACCCTCATGGAACAGTCTATGATTACAACAAAAACCTACATTTTAACTGTATTATACATTATACTGTATATTATTTCAGCTGTTGCTGTATTAAATATTATTGGCCTATATAATGTTGTGATGTAATCTGAAACTCAGAAATATGTCTTGTATAATATGGCACTGTTGCAACAAAATGCAATTAACATGTGTATGGATGCATGTGAATATTGATACTTTGCAATGACATCACACTGAAGGTCTACTGATTGGATTTCTGTTTTCATTTACTATGGTGACACAAGGTTTTTAGGTAGTCTGAAAACTCATGAAAAAATACTAAACTACACATTTTTAGGAGTCTTCGAACAATACAAGGCTTGTGGCTGTAATTGTATGTGTAAGAGACATGCTAAACAGCACAAATCGCACTCACTTTTGCAGTTCCAACTAACTCAGTTCTTTTTGGTCAGATTGTGTTAAAACAAAGCTCAGATTAAAGTCTAATTTGAGTAAGGGAGCTTCAGATAGAGCAGAGCCCACATTTGGCATCACACTCCCAGAGAATGTTGACGACATCAACTGTAAAGTTGCAATAGAAACAACAAAAGAATTCTTTATAATTCAGCTCTTAAAAAGGTGTGGTGGTCCAAGCTACATTTTATTATTAACTCAACCTTGTCTTTTCCTGTATAGCAACCTAACATTTAATTTGAGTCTAGAAAATGTGTGGAAAATGATCACTCTGGAACTTTTCTGATAGAGGTCCACTACCTGCTTGCTTGCTTCCATATTATTGCTTGATCGAAATGTTCCACGACATGGCATTAGACTGGTTTCCATTGACAAGCCATTGACACACACCTGTTTACTAAAGCTTCATTCTGTCTTCTGTTTCAGGCTTAGAAATAAACAACTCTCCTGTCAGCTGTCGTGAAATAAATTTAAATAAATACAGTTTAAAGGCCTACTGTGGAACATTCTCGTTAAAACAATGACTCTATGGAGACAAGCAGGTGGTGTGTGGTGTGTATATATAATATATATATATATATATATATATATATATATATACATATACACACACACACACATATATATACACATACACACGCACGCACACACACAGTCCCTGACAAAAGTCTTGTCGCTTATCCATTTTGTAGAAACAAAAGCTTATAACCTGACTTTAAATTAATCGATTGGTTTTAGAAATGTCTCATATGAAAGCTAAAACCCTCCCAAATTATGCTCAATATACTAAAATAAATTTGCTTCACTGAAGAAAGAGATTGATCATTTAATGAACACAGAAAGGTCAGATTTTGGCAAGACAAAAGTTTTGTCGCCTACAGAAAATTGAACAAATAATTTACTTCAAATACAAAAATATGTTGCATAACGTCAGTGAATGAAGTAGTGGTGCTGTGAGATCCATATTTAATATCTTGTATGACTTCCATGAGCTTGAAGGACTGCATCCATGCAGTTCGACAATGATTCATACAATTTGTTGATGAAGTCATCAGAAATAGCAAAGAAAGCGTCTTACATGCCTCCCAGAGTTCATCAAGATTCTTTGGTTTTGCCTTCCATGCTTCCTCTTTCATTCTACCCCAGACATGCTCAATGATGTTCATGTCTGGTGACTGGGCTGGCCAGTCCTGGAGCACCTTGATCTTCTTTGCCTTGAGAAACTTTGATGTAGAGATAGAAGTATGCGATGGAGCACCATCCTGCTGCAAAATTTGACCCCTTTTATGGTTGGGAATGTAAGAGGAGCTAATACTTCTTGATATTTTAGGCTATTGATATTACCTTCCACCCTGCAAATGTCTCGCACACTCCCATACTGGATGTAACCAAACTTAACTGTTTTCTGGGTGAATCTTGGATCCATGCGGGCTCCAGTAGGTCTCCTGCAATATTTGCGGCGGCTGTGATGCAATTCACCCGAGGATTCATCTGAGAAATCCACCTTCTGCCACTTTTCCAGTGTCCATCCTTTTAGCAGGCTGTGGGCCTTGGCAAATGCCACATGGTTTTTTAATTGCCTTTTGTTTAGTGCTGGTTTCTGTGCACTGATTCGATCATGGAGGCCATTTCGAGACAGAATTCTACAAACTGTTGTGGTTGACACAGGGACTTGAGGTGACCAGGCCTGGTGGAGTCTGCTGCAGTGGAAAAGGGGCCTTGGATTTTCAAATCAACAAACGGTCCTCCCGAGCAGTTGTCTTGCGGGGTCTGCCGGACCTGGGCTTGTCAAAAACATCTCCAGTCATTTCAGATCTTTTTCTTATTCTTTGTACTTGACGCTGAGACACATTGAAGGTGTCAGCCACCTCAGCAGTGGATCTGGTCTTCAGCCTCTTGATAATTAACGCTTTGGTCTCAGGGTGGATCTTAGGCATGTTGTCAGAGGTCAAGTTGCAGTTGATGTGAAGGTCTGGTGTGCTGGGGTTCTTTTTATACACACCCACTAACTGACTGATCTGTAACTGATCACAGGTGAGGCTGTAATCTAGGATTGGGTGCATCATCATATGACAAGGCGACAAGACTTTTGTCTTGCCAAAATCTGACCTTTCTGTGTTCATTAAATGATCAATCTTTCTTCAGTGAAGCAAATTTATTTTAGTATATTGAGCATAATTTGGGAGGGTTTTAGCTTTCATATGAGACATTTCTAAAACCAATCGATTAATTTAAAGTCAGGTTATAAGCTTTTGTTTCTACAAAATGGATAAGCGACAAGACTTTTGTCAGGGACTGTATATACACACACACGCACGCACACACACACACATATATATACACACACGCACACACACCACCTGAAGTGCACCTCAAAAGTAGAAAGGGTGTTTAGGTTAAAATGGGTTTGGGCTAAAATGCATGCTAAGTTTTTAAGACTTATTTAGAAAACATTCAGAATTTTTGGTTTTCTTGTTTGAATACTGTGTCATATTCAAATCTATGATATCTAATCTGTCTAAGAATAAGTGCATGTGTGTGCAGCTTCCCCCTGAGTCCTCTGATGCTGCAGATAAATCAGGACAACAGACCCCCGCCCAGACCACAGCAGAGACTGGAGCCCCAGAAGCCAGGTACAGGTTGCCCTCTGCAGGTGAGAAGGGCTTCTGTCTCACTCTGTATGTGACCAGTGTGTTTTTTACAGTGGACAATCTGCTACTGGAGCTTTGTCTCTGTCCTCCTCCCCGACCCCTCTGGAAATTCTAGAGGCCATCAAACATCCTACGTGAGATTTTAATTTATAAATGGAACTCTTCTGCATGTATTTATCCATCACTGTTTAGTTATTAAAGGGCCCATATTACACTATTTTCTGATCTATGTTTTAATGTTTCCTTGTCAAAACATATCTGACATTGTGTTCTGTTTCATTAACACATGTTTAACACATAACACATATATCCTGCACATTTACACTGAGTTCTTCTCTCAAAAGAAAAATGCACTTTTCCACCTTGTGATGTGTGTGTCATGTTGTAATACAGAAAGTGCTTCACGGTGTCCATAAACCTTCACTAGAATCATTTGGATGATTTTAGCCCAATAATTGCCAATCTTTACTGAACAAAAGTTAAAAGTATCTGTTAACTACTGCTTCATGACGTCACAAGTTGGAACAGAGCATTTAGAGCTTTGGAGATGTAGATAAAATAAAAAAATAAAACAACTGTAGGTATGTTTTTGATGAGGTAACAATGTTCTAACAGGGCATAAAGCTCAAAAGTCAGTTTTGCCTAATATAAGACCTGAAAGTATGAAATGAGAACTAACCACTTCTCTCATCGTGTTTTTAAATGCTATTTATAATGCCTAGTACTGGGGTGCAGCTCCTGCCAGAACAGAAGGGTTTGCCCCCAAACTGCTTCATCAGCGCAGAGGTGGTTCATTGGCTCGTGAACCATGTGGAGGGCGTAGCCACTCAGGGCATGGCTGTGGACATCATGCAGGTACACAGCACAGTGCTGACTGATGCTGTAAAAATGTGGAGTATTTGACTGTGACTGTTACTGTTACTGCTGTCACAGAAAATGCTGGAGGAGGGATTAGTGGCTCATGCTTCAGGAGACGCCATGAGGACCTTTGTCTATGGATTCTACTTTTACAGAATCGTAGGAGACAAAGATGGTGAGTGGTCACACAACACCCACACTCCATCTTATATAAACAGATAATGTGTAGAGAAGCCCTATGTACTAAACAAGATTCATCTAGTGGTAACTAAACAAAGCTCTTACTGCTTTTACTACAACAATGTACATTTCTGTAGATCCTTGTCTATTTGCTGGGCCTTACTTAGAATAGACAAGTAGTTAGAACAGCTGTGTGTGAGACTTACCTCTTGTGTGCAGCCTCAGCCTCCCAGATGCCCCCTTCAACTGGGGGAGTGTGGTCCACAGCTGCCCTGGAGGACTTCGCCCTGTTCCAGAGGAAGTGGTTTGAGGTGGCGTTCGTCCTGGAGGAGCGCAGACCATGTGACCTGCCGGCCTTTCTGTTGCCATGGTTACCCAGTAGGCCCGCCTCCTACGCAAGTAGGCACAGCTCTTTCAGCCGCAGCTTTGGAGGACGCAGCCAGGCCGCCGCACTGCTAGGTACAGCCGCCACCTAGAGCCCTGGAGGAGCTCTGGGCCCATTCTGAGAGGAGACAGAGCCAGGGGTCACACAGCAGGGAGCGCTGTTCACTCCTACATAAATATACATCCATCAACATTATGGCTCAACATTTCAGTCATACATTTTTACTGTTGATGCTTTACTGGTTTGTAAGCACTGCTCTGTCTGAGCTGAGGTGTTAATTAATTAATGAGTTCATTCATTAATTCTCATCAGAATTAGAGCCATCAAAAAACACTCCTCATTTGTCTGATCAAATTTGTACCAGATAAAAACACAAAATCCCCAAAGACTGAACCACTGGGCCATTGTATATCCATCTTCCATTATCCAGTACTGAAATATATAATCCATTAAACATCCATGTAACATCCCACATCATCTCCTTCTGGTCCCTGCATCTGTGACTACTGGTCACGGTCTCCTCTCTCTGTTTGGTGTGTAGTGTGTAGTGCATGAAGTAGAGAAGCTGGACTGTGATTGGCTGATGGGCTGATCCAGTGTATGGTCCCTGCCTCTATAGTGTGGCCCCGTGATTTTGATCCTAAGAAATAGGCTTGATACTCAATACTTCTATAACATGATGATAATTAAAACACTCTTTATTTAGACAGTAGAATGTGATTTTCAACATTAAATCATAGTACATTTTATTTATATTACAATGTGGTGTTATAACTGTATAATCCCTCAGTGGTCCAGGTACGTTCCATAGTGGTCCATGGGCATATACCAGTCTATATGTGCTCTTATACTTGTTCTGATACAGCTCAAGATCATTGTAAAGCTATTCAGAAAAGTTTAAAATTCTGTCCTGTGAATGGGACTTTTTTTTTACTATAGATAGATGCACAAATGAGAATCTAGTTTTGATAGTAGTTTTAGTATCTGATTTTTGATACTTTTGACAACTCTATAGTGTGGTCCCTGCCCGTAGTGTGTGGTCCCTGTCATAGTGGTCCTGTTGCATGTTGGTTGTGGGGCTGTAGTTCAGTGGTGCTGTGGTCTCTTGCTCCTCGCCTGTCGCGCTCGGCTTTGCCTCTGTGTTTGCATCAGCTCCAGGTTTGTCCCTCACCGCTGCATGCTCTGACCAGGCTCGCTTCTCCCACCGTCAACTGCATAATAAAAATGCAATTTTAATACACCATTTTGTATATTGTAACACAATACTATACATTCGATGATATGGTGACAGAAAGCATATTCTCCACTTACATATTCATTAATAATCAATAAAAGTGGTGGATCCTTTGTTAAAGGAACTGTAAGATTTTGTTTTCAATTTCATAAACATGGATATCTATCTGTGTTCCCAGATACTAAGTAAACATGTTCAAAACAAACATAAATTTTACTGATTCTGATTTATCCTTAATTATAGAAACATAATGTCCCATTTATTTGATCTCACGAGTCTCTCACTTAGGCTGCCAATTTCAAAGCTGAAATCCAGTTGGTTTAAACCTAAAAAAGACCCTCTGATCTGAATCCTCACTACCTTATTACAGCTTTCATCATAAGCTTTCATTGGACACATATCTCCTTACCAGGCTTGCATATTTGTGGATATATGGAAGTACGCACGTCCTTAAAAACAGTTTAGCTTGCTGCTTGAATATTATTGCCTCTGGTACCTCCCACTTCCTCCCCTCCTCCTCCTCCTCTCCTCCCCCTCTCTCCTCTCCCCAGCGGCCACAGTCCCAGAGCAAAAGACGGTGACCCTGGACGTGGATGTGAATAACCGTAGTGACCGCAGTGAGTGGTGCAGCTGTTATTACCACGGCAACTTCTCCCCAAACTCCGCCTTCGAGATCAAGCTGCACTGGATGGCTGTCACTGCTGCCGTGCTTTTTGAGATGGTAAACAGTTTTAGATTATTAGACTAGTGACTCAAAGTTTTGAGGAGCAATAAAAATGGCTACATCATTCAACAGAATTTTATATTTTTGTACTTTTTTTCTGAAAAAGAGCTATAATATGAATGGATTTAAAGTAATTGTGAAAATATTTAAAGCTGATTATTCAGATGATTCAACCCCTCTATGTTGTTGCTGTCGAACACTGAATTTCAATAAGGTGTCTATCATAGACCGTATGTATGAATGGACATAGATATCCGCTGTATATCTATCCGCTGCTTTCCAAATAGGAAGTGCGCCAGGCAGCTCTTCCGGCCCCTCCTGACTGAGAAGGGCAGGCACATTTAACAATCTCAATCATGATTGACTCTTGTGGTTGCTATGCTCGCGGTCAGATTTCCAAATATGGAGCCTGGCTCCAGATTTGCTCTGTTAGCATCTGGAGTTTCATGGTGTCTATCTGTCTTATTCTCTGTAAAACCTTGGCAGCACGGTGACTGTGTGGCTAGCATTCACGCTTCACCCCCAGGTCGCCCAGGCCTGTTTTGTGTGTAATCTCCCTGTGTTTGAGTGGGTTTTCTCTGGACACTTGAATTTCCCAGATCAACCCAAACATGCACCAAATGTAAAATCCTCCAGCTAAGGTCGTCCTGACCAAGACTAGCAACAAGATCACGGAGATGTGTCTCTGAGCACTGTGGTGTGCACTGCTCCTCAGGAGATGCCGCAGTGGCATTGAAGGATGAGTCAAATACAGAAGACAAATTTCCCTACAAGGACAATAAAGTGTACCTTAAACTTAACAAGTTAATAAATTACTGACAATCAATTATTGAAATAGTTGTCAACAAATTTAGTATAATTCTTGTATGTCTGGTGTATTGAATCATGTTTCCATTTTTAACCCCAAATGAATTGTCTGAATTGTGTTGTTGCTCAGGTCCAGGGCTGGCACAGAAAAGCTGCCTCCTGTGGTTTCCTCCTGGTCCCGGTGCTGGAAGTTCCTTTTGCTCTGACCTCGTACCTGTACGGAGACCCCCTTAGAGCGCACCTGTTCATCCCCCTGCACATACACTGCCTGCTCAAGAACGCCACAGACAACCTCTTTGAAGGTACACTTTGGGCCTCATTCATGAAGCATTCTTACAAACAAATCTGTACTTAAGGCCTTTTTACAAACTTTTTAGCATTCACAAAACTTTTTCTTAACTGAAAATGTTCTTCTGGAAGAACAACTCCTACGAACAGTCAGGAACACTCGTAAGAACACAAATTCTAAAGTTTTAAAATATTATTACTCTGATAATGCAACAAAAAAATTCTAATTCCTCCATCATTGTAAGTTTTATATTTTCTTAAATAATAAACATATTACTGTGTGATCCAATAACATTTATGAGGCGTTTTATAGAGCATGTGTCTGTTGGGTCTAACAGACTTTATACAGGCTGCAGTGAGCCTAACTCCCTCCCATCACCCCACCAACACGCCATGACCAGAGCGCACTTTTATAGACCCCCAACCAGGCCCCCTCCATCGCTATTTACCTCGGGTCAGTGACTCGCAGAAAGAGCGATAAATATGACGAAAGAGCCCGCCTATTTCAATAACTTTATGACTTAAATATTCCCTCCCTGAGTGCGTTCATGTGAGTTTGGACATTTCAAATCCCTGCTGAAGCTGTAAAACAGCCGTAGTCGGTAGACGTGCTCCATCTCACTTCCTCAGTCACTCTCTCCCTTGCACTTTCACATGTCATAATGTCAAACCCATATAGGCCATATTTGGAAGTTCAGAGGGCGTTTCCAATCAAATAAAATTTCATTTTCTATGTAGCTGAAATGCAAATGAGCATGGAGGTGTTCGTAGCTGAGTGTTAATGAATTAGGCACAACTGTTACTTAAGAAGGAATTCGATTGCTTAAGAAGTTACAAAAATTTTTAAAGAAAACATTCAAGAATGAGCCCCATTGTTTGGACTAGTACTGTCATACTAAAAATTTAAACTTGATTTCCATACTAAGGAATAGATGTGATATTCAATGCAAATTCTAATACCGTGACAATAATAAAAAACACTCTTTATTTACATGATTTTCACCATTAAATATTTATAGTACTTTCTTTTCTATTCCCATGTGGCCTTATATGTGTGTAATCCTTCAGTGGTCCAGGTAGGTTCCATAGTGGTCCATGGGGGTATACTAGTCTATGTGCTCTTCAGGAAAGGTTCATTTCTGTCCTGTCAATGTGACTTTTTAGTATTGATACTTCAAATGAGTATCTAGTTTTGATAATAAATAACAGATTTTTGTTACTTTTGAAAATCCTTCTACAAATGCTGTCTACAAATCTACACAATTTGGTGACATTTTCAACATTGTGGTTTGATAGTTTGGTTCAGTTTCTCCATGCGCATGTCTCTCTTTCTCTTAGGATTTGAGCCGGAGACATACTGGGATCGCATGCAGCTCTTCCAGGAGGCCATCCTCTACAGATTTGGCTTTGTTCATGATAAGTTTTCTGCCTCAGCCTTCAACTTCCCCTCAGAGAACAAGCCCCAGTACATCCACGTCACAGGTTTGGGCTGACATTTTGAGGACATTTCACCATTCAGAAGATAGATGGAAATATTTAGTTTAGAATTGTTAAAGGGCCTATTTTACATGAATTTGATTTGATCCATGTTACAGTGTTGTTTACTCATCAAAAACATACCTGGAGTTGTGTAGAGTTGTGTTTTATTTCATTCATACAAGTTTAAAACAAATCCTGCATATTTAGCCTGAGTTCTTGAAAACATTTGGTTCTCCACTGTGTTTTTAAACTCCATACACCTTCACTAGAATCATTTGGATGATTTCAGTCCTGGAATTGCCAGTCTCTATTGAACTGCAAATAAAAGGAGTTGTTAACTGAAAAACTACCACTACATGACATCACATGGCGGAACAGAGAATTTGGAGCTTTGGAGATGTAGACTAATAATAAAGGGTTACTCAAACGTGTGAATGAAACAAAACAGAACTCCGGATATGTTTCTGATTGGGTAACAAGATTATAACATGGCTTAAAGCTCTCAAGTCAAGAACCTTTAAAGGTGTACTGCGTAACTTTCCGGGAGGAGGGTTGTTGCTTGGGCAGGAATTTTTCACAGTATGATATTAAACTGGTCTATTTCCATGGAGACAAGCACCAAGCCAATTTACAGGACTTACAGAGGTGGGCACCTACAGTAGAATACATATTTTTCAAAGTATATGTTTTTAGTGTAAAAAAAACATCTATAATTCAATAATAAGCACACTTAACACCATACTGTGGTACATTTTTGGGAAAGCAGTCTCTCTAGCACGTCTCCATGGACACAACCAGGTGCTAGGCTTGTAGATAAAAAGTTTTGAAAACTGAGTTTTGAGAGAATGAGAGCCTCGCACATCAACTACTAGAGACGGGTGCGTTGGAGGAGAGGGAGCAGCCCCAGAACATACAGAAAAATCCCGCACACCGTCTTACTTGCAAACTGTGAAATTTATTAGGACAAACCGTGCAACGTTTCGGCACTAGGCCTTCGTCAGGCAAACAGAATGAGAGCTCAGGTGGCCATCTTAAATAGGGTGTGGCAAGCACCCAAGGGTGACAGGTCATAAAGAAACAGTGCACACAAAACCCCATAATTCAAAAAACAAAGACAGTCAACATATAGTGTAATAATACAAATAATAATAATGAAATCATCATATAACGGTCATAGAAAAGTAAGAAGAATATATGGATACATATAGACATAGTAAAACATTCACCCAACTATAAAATAATGTTGTCGTGCCATATACACATCTATATATATACACAATGAATCTTAAGCTGTAGCCCATATACAGCCCACCCAAAAGAGTTTTGAAATCAACTAATCAATACACATATTAGTTGACATTTACTACTTTGTATTAGTATTAAACATACAGGTCTAATTATACCGTTTTAACATATATTTCTGTGGAAAAAAAACATGACAATATTCTATTAAATGTCTCCATGGACAGAACCAGGTGCTAGGCTTGTAGATGAAAAGTTATATAGTGCACCTTTAAAAGTTGTCAGTGACCCCTGTTTCTTTTCTCCCAGGCACAGTTTTCCTGCAGCTTCCCTACTCTAAGCGTAAATACTCTAACGCCCCCCAGCGTCGGCGGCGAAACTCCATCACATCCAACAACCAGGGTCCGTTTGGAGGAGAGGAGCGCGTGGGCTTCTATTGGGCCTATAACACGATGCTGACGAAAGCGTGGCGAGCGGGTGTTTTGGGAGATGAAAGACTGGCAGACCGTCTACTGCGCGATTTCACTGACTTCTGCGCCAACAAAGACAATAGGCTGCTAAATTTCTGGGACAGCTGTGTGGAGAAGATGAACGCCAGTGCACCCTGACAGGTCTGATAATGGACTGTGAAGTGCCTGCTCTGGTATGACAGGTTTTAGCACTTGAAAGACTTAAAGGCTCACTGTGTAACTTTTCTAGTGGAGGGTTCGTCACCTGCTTTTCTATGGAGATATCATTGCTCTGCCTGGAATGTTCCACAGTATGACATTCAATAGCGCTACTTTACATTTATTCAATTATAGTTGGTTTTATAGCTCAAAAATCCCTAGAAAAACAGGCATTCTGACTGTGAGCAGAGTCTCCTCGCCACAGATCTGACCTGTAACTTGGCTTGGTCTCCATGAAGGTAGAAAGCTTTAATACCATACTGTGGAACATTCCATACAAAGCAATAACATCTCCATGGAGAAAAGCATTTGACGGGCCCTCCACCAGAAAAGTTACAAAATGCACCTTTAAAGGAGCCAAAAATTTGACTCAAGTAAGAGTAACGTTACTTCAACAAAAAATACTACAAAGTACTATCCAACTCTGCTCTTCAGGCACATTATGTAACCTCTGCAGGACATTTCCTCACCGCCTTTTTCCATGGAGATGTTAATGCTTTATCAGGAGGAAGTATGGCATTAATTAATTTTATTTATTGTCATTGTCAGTGAACAAAATTCACTAACTATGAACTTGCTTCAGTGGTTTGGTGTACCATAGAACAACAAATGATATTAGTAAATAAACTAACTAACTAAAATATAATTAAGGGCATGCATTAAAATCAGGTGAATAAAACAGTAATTAAAACACTAACTGAATTAATCTCTTGCATTAATTCAGTTAGTGTTTTCATTGTTAAGAAAACATCTTGAAAAACATGTATTCTGAACAAAGCAATAACATCTCCAGGGAGATAAATGTTACAGTTTACCTTTTTAAAGAACAAGATTCCAGCACATAGAATGCTTGTCTTGGCATCTGCGCCCTCTGCTGGTAACAGTGGGAAAGAATTTTAAAAATGCATGTAACTGGAGCAGAAGTGGACAGTGATACCTTCATAATGGAGACGATGAAAAGATTCAGGTGAAATCTGTCAGCTGCCGAAGTGCCTTTTAAATTGTTCAAGTGAAAGTACTTTTTAGTAACAACAGTGTGCTTTGGAGAACTGTGAGACACATACAGAGACATTAGAAACAGAACATTTCTCCTCTTTGTAAAGTTACATGTAATGACTGAAACATGAAAATGTTTTAAACTAATTTGTGGTTGTGTATAGTGTAAAGTTACATAAATAATGTCACACCTATTGAGTTTCATTTTGTTATTGTTTAATTACAGAGAAACCCCTGCATTTCCATTTGATCTGTTTTGTGAACGTTTTTGTTTCTGTGAAAATAGTTTGTGATCTGGTAATAATTGACCTTTATCTCCAATTTGGTCTAATATTTATATTACATCAACAATTTGGTCTAAAATCAACGACACAGACCCATGATTCCCAAGGTGTTCAAAGCCCCCAAACTGGCAAACAAGCTTAAAAGAAATCAACTTAAATACACTTATTAGTTGACATTTACTACTTCATATTAGTATTAAACATACAGGTCCAATTATACTGGTTTAGCATATATTTCTGAGAAAAAAACATGACATATTCTATTAAAAGTAGTGTAAATTGTATTTATGAGTAGGGGCCCATGTGGTGTTTGCATTGATACAGTGGAACTGCAGACTTTAGGAATGGCACTCAGTATGGAGGCTTTTATAATTTCATTTTTATAATTCCAATTCACACAATGACTCAATCCACAATGTAGTGTTACAATCCCTTTATTTACAAATGGTTCACTGAATAATCCCTCTTATAGAAAACATTGATTATATTGTAAAAAAAAAAACAACCCAAAAACATTGGTTATAATAATAAACAAGTGTGTGCGCGTGACAATTCCAGTCATTCTTATATTTCAGAACATGTAAAGCAGTAACTATGCGTAGTAGTGGTAGTTCATCCTTAAAAAGTGGGGTGCATGTAACTTTTCGGTTGGAGCTCCGTCACCTTCTGGTTTCTATGGATGTGTTATTGCTCTGCTTAATTAAACAGCTCTACTTTAGGTTTATTTAATTACAGATGGTTTTATTGCTCAAAAAATAGACATTCTGATGGTGAGCGGAGTCGCCTCTCCACAAATCTGACCTGTAACTTGGTGTGGTTTAGTTTCCATGAAGATAGAAAGCTTTAATACCATATTGTGAAACATTCCAGACAAAGCAATAACACTTCCATTGAGAAAGACCTTTGACAGACCATCCATCAGAAAAGACACACAATGCACTTTTAAGCAAATACCGGTAGTTTTCCTAAATGTTTTTTACTTTATTGTATAGTAATCATATAATTCTTATGGTTTTACTTTAGCTGTAGCAGAAATAACAGCTTATGGCCATGTCTAAATGTTGATTAAACTTCACCCTCAACACTGTTAACATAAAAATAAGTCAGTTGCGTAGTGTTATAATGTGTTTCAGGAAGTTCACTGTTTGCATGCTAGTTGTTGTTAGTATTACCATGACAACAAGACTCCGCTCGGGTCTCTGAAAGTTGTTTAAAGCAGTTAGAAACTCATCATGGTGAATAAATAGACTGCTCGGAATGCATAAGGTAACTGAGGAATAACTCTGGACCACTGCAAATAAGTCAAAATGAGCTAGTTTTGTTTTCCACTTTTTTAAAACAGTAAAAATCAATCAGTTGCAGCGGCTTTAACATACAAATCTAAAATAATCCCTGAAATGAAGCTTATGTATGATTTCAACCTCGCTCTTCTCTCTTGTCACATATCAGCCAATCACAGCCCTGCTACCTCTGCCTCTCAACCAATCAGAGCTAAAGACAATCAAATACACAAATTCACTCTTGGTCCACTTTTCCATTTCAGCTCCTACTCTTCTATCTCCACCACAGCAGCAGAACAATTAATCTCCTCAGCCTCTCCATCTCCTCTTCACCACCACCAGTTAAAAGGTCCCATACTACGCAAATCCTCCTCAAAAACAGACCTGGAGTTGTGTTTTTTTTTTTTTTCATTCACACACGTATGAGTAACCCTGCATTATTAGTTTGTCTATATCTCCAAAGCTCCAAATGCTCTGTTCCACCTTGTGATGTCATGTAGTGGTAGTTTTAAGGTTAACAGAATGTTTTTTCCCGAAATTATCAAAATAATTCTTATGAAGATGGATGGAGTTTAAAAACAAAGTAGAGTGCTTCTTGCATTACCATTTAATGACACATCACAAGGGGGAACAGTGTTTTCAGTGTGAGAGAAAGACTAAATATACAGAGGTTGTTTGTTAAATGTGTTTTGTTTCATTCACATACAACTCCAGGTCTGTTTGTGATGAGGAAACAACATTAGAACAGACTGTTTAACGGGCCTGTGTTGCACCATTTCTGATCTTTCCATTCAAACATCTATTCATTCATTTCTTTGGAATTCTGTCCCATTTCAATTTTCCTTCTGTTATCCGTATAATATTTGTCCTATTTTTTTCCTACATTCCATTTGGTCACAATAAATTAAAGAAGCACTGTATAACTTTTTTCTGCTTTACTACTTTGCTTGGAATGTTCAACAGTACGGCATTAAACTTTTGGATCTCCATAGAGACGAGCAGGCGGCTTCCTGAGGCCAAGTTGCAGATTGGTGGAAATGCCAGATGAGTTTAATGCCAAACTGAGGGACATTACAGGCAAAGCTATAACATCTCCATGGAGACAAGAACGCAGCAGACTCTGTAGTCAAGCAGAAGAGTTACATAGTGCGCCTTTAATAGACTTATGCGTGTTTTGCTTTCCTTGTAAATCCATTTGTTCGTCTTGAGGTATAACTTAAATTACCAGTCAAAAATTTGAACAGCCTTCCTTATTCAATGTTTTTTTTTGGTATTTAAAATATAGAAAGTAGTAAACATATACAGAAGACTACAAATATGACACGAGGTATATGGAACTGTGGAGCAAAGATCAAAAAGTTAAATAACTAACTAAGGATTTTAATTTAAAATATTAAAAAATATTTAAAGTATCGACCCTTTCCTTTGTTAACAGCCCTTCAAACCTTTGGCCTTCTCTCAATGAGTTTCTTGATGAAGTCTCCTGAAATGGTTCACAGCTGTGCCATGTCAGGGTCAAGAAATGCCAAAAGTGCAAACCAGGACTCAAAGCAAAGGGTGGATATTATTTAAAATCTAGAGGAAAAATCCAGCACACTGTCTTACTTGCAAATTGTGGAATTCATTAGAATAAACCGTGCAACATTTCTGCACTGAGCCATCAAAAAGGTTTTGCCTGACGAAGGCCCAGTGCTGAAGCATTGCACAGTTTGTCCTAATAAATTTCACAATTTGCAAGTAAGACAGTGTGTGGGATTTTTCTCTATGTTCTTGGTCTGCTTCATCTCCTCCAACGCACCCGTCTCAAGTAACTGACGTGCAAAGTTCTCATTCTTTTATTATTAAAAATCTAAAATCTCAGTTTGGAATTATTTTTTGTTTTTTTTAAGACTTTTTTCCATGTGTCCATTCATAGTTTTGATGCCTTTAGTGAGCATCTACAGTGTAAATAATCCTAAGAATAAAAGAAGAAACAAAAATTAAAAACTGTTCAAACTTTTGACTGGTAGTTTACATGATTTGACCTGGTTAAAACATTTCCAGAGTTAAAGCTGATGCACTAAAATGGCCTTTAAAAAGACTCTTCAAATATAAAAGACATTTGTTTTTACAGAGATCAGCTCCAAGTGCTGCAGGAACTCTTGGATTTCCTTGTTCTCTCGTGTTATCAGCAGTTTGTCCTCTGCTGTAAAGTGCACTCTTCCTTTCTCTTCTCTGTGGTTTAAAAGTGTTTTTCTTTGATCAAAGTTAAAATCCCTGATGTTAGTTCACTGTGGAGTTGTCTTCAGTGACCTCCGGTAGATCTCCTGGAAAAACAACAAAATTAAATAACCAGAAGGAATTTTGCGCAAAAAATTTTGTAAGGTTAACATTTGAAGTGGAGGGTCTGCCACCTGCTTGTCTTCACGGAAATATTACTGCTTTGTTTGGAATGTTCCACAGTATAGATTAAACCTATCTATCACGAAGGAGACAAACAGGCAACATTACAATTCAGATCTGTGGAGAGGCGCCCCTATTCACAGAAAGAACTTTTTTATTTTTGAGCAATAGAAACACCCGTAATGAATAAATGCCAGATGGAACTGTTTAATGTCCTACCATGGAACATTCCAGGTAAAGTAATAACATCTCCATGGAGACAAGCAGGTAGCGGACTCTCCACCAGAAAAGTTGCATAGTACACCTTTTAAAGAGCGGCTGTTGCACTTTTATGGGGTATTAACTGCTAACACATAACATATTTAGATTACAATGTTAACTTTTATTTTGTTTTAAAAATGTCACAGAAAACAACATATTAACATGTTTAATGAGTTTCACCTTTGTTTTTTTCCCCCCTCACTCCTCCTTCAGAGTGCCATCACATTACAATCTGTGGGCATTTCACTAAAACTACTGCACATCGCATCAGGTTTGTGAAGTTGTAGTCTATTGTTTTGTATCATGTTTTTATATATTTATGTAGAATTGTCATGCAGGAGTGTGGGGGAGAGGTCGCTAGATTACCCAAACATGCATGGATGACATAAAAACCTCTTCAGATATTTTTCAGATTCAGATATTCAGATATTTTTGATGAGGGAACAATGTTATGTTACATGTAGAATTAGGGATGGGCATGATTAGTCGATTAATCGATAATTGATCATTACGTTCATTTTAATCGACAAACCGAATGTAGGTTGCTGTGCGTAGCGTAGGGCGACCAAACGGGGGACTGTACATGTAGCTCTCTGCACTCAGAAGGAGCGAGACACAAACAGTCAGTCAGCCTCCAAGGTGCCAAAGTGCAAACGAGTATTTAACGATGACTTGTACAAAAAATTCCATGCTTTCCGTTCCGGTCGGGACAAGTGGGAGGCCATGAGCACAGTGTACAAAGCAGGAACATGTGTTTCAGTGTCCAGTGGGAAAAAGCTCACCAGGACACTGAAAACATGAAAAAGCTTTGCCAGGTGAGAGAAGCGCAATGTCGATGACGAGGCCCCACCTCCCATCCCCCCGTAAGGTGTCCTGGTTTTAACAAACGCAAATATGGTCACACTAACCTGAATTCCATTGATTCGTGCCGCATCAGTGCACAAGAGCTGTTTTTTTTTTTCTTTGCTTAGTTTAAGCAAATTAGCCGTGTGGTTTTAAGTTTTCATTTCTGTGAGAGTTGCAAAACTGAATTAAACACATTATAATGTCAAACGGATTGATGTGGCTCTAGAGTCGTTACGGTTTATATGTCGTAAAGTTGAATTTATTTATGCAGATTAGTAGTGCAGATAGTAATAATAATGATGATAATTTAAATATTAAAACGTTAATGATTAATCGATAATCGATCGTTAATTCTCCTGACGATCGATTAAGAAAATTTAATTCATTCATTTAATTCAGCATTCTACATCCCTATGTAGAATGCTCACAAAACTTTTTTTTCCATCCATTTTTCCATCGATTTTGGAATTACATTTATAGGTTTTGTGATCATTAGTTATACAGCTGGTTAGCCCCATGCAAGCTTTCAAACTTTTATTTTTTTTGTTAAGTCTGTGGAAAACAGAAATGGATATCTTACTTTTGGAGTCAAATGACATGCAGTTGAACTCTATTGTGAATTGGGTTAGGATTATTCTCCGGGAAATTCATATAACTCAATATAACGTCCCCAAAAACCCCACATGTCTGTGTCTGTGCGGTGTGAGTTTAGAATGGGTTTATGTTGTCATAAATGTAAATCATAGGTCATGTGACTCACGTGCACGGATCTTGATTGGCCAGATGAGGATGGAGCAGAGAGCCAGAGCCGCCACAAAGGCCACGCCCCCCGTCACGATCACCATGACGTAATGATAGAACCAGACGCAGGCTGGACAGCACACCACAGTACTGTAAGAGACACATGTTTTATTTTACACCCAATGCCTTTCCATGGTTTGGCACTTCTTATGACATTCAGTTCAATGTCTTTTCCAGATATTGTATTTTTGATTTAAGTATTTTTCCTCAATTCTGAACATCTGTGCTCAGCTCAAGGGATAGGTCATATATCGTTTACAGTATTTGTATCGGCCGATATCAATAACGGTGTATATGGCCCCTGTTTGTATAATTCTTTAATTAATATAATTATTTTATATCGCTGATGAATACACTGTGTTTATGATTTTAAAAAAGTGAAAAGTAAGTTGAAGTAAAGTTATGTTATCGGCAACAGACGGCTAAAGACGTACTTCATAGCAGTAGAGTGACCAGATGAGAATGTCTGAAATCTGTGCTGATGTGTCCAAAAAAACACACACATACTAGAGATGCGTGGATTGCGGTTATAACCGCGGTATCCGCGGTTAATCCGCGGGTCGGGCGGATGACGTGACGAAAAATTATATTTTAATTAAATTTGGGCAGGTGGCGGTTTAACTACTAAAAAAAAAAAAAAAAGTTCTTGTTAGTATTGTTACCTACATCTGAAAAGACGAGTCTCATTGTCTATGTTTGTAGTATGAAGTGTACGTCATATCCTTAATTAGCCCATTTGACCTCGTTTTTATGTTCTGAAGGTTAAGGTTGTGTCGGGTTATTGATGCCTAAGGTTTACGAGGCACATATTATATGCAGTTTATTTTATTATTTCTAATTTATTTCAGCTGTTTGCCAACACATAAGTGGCTATATTTTTTATTTTATGCATATTTTTTCTTGCCTATTTCAATTGGAATATAAAGAGGGCATTGCTTGATTTCAATAAAGGTTCATTTGGATGAGATGATCTGTCTATTTTGTTTCGATATCAGTTATATTTTAAAACACGCAGACATTATAGCGTAGACTGCCACTCGGGGTCTTTAAATCTTAAAGAAAGACCAATGGAGTGAGGCTATGACTTTGAAATAACATCGGGCAATGGCAGAATGTTCAGAATGTAACAACATCCAACACGAAGGCAAGAAGGTTCAAAAATAGCCTAGTTGGAAAACGTTGTCAATTAATTAGCTGCGCAAGAAAACCAGGTAAGTTTGGGGTTGTTAAGGACAATTAAGAATGCGAACATACACGCTGAGCCAATTTTGGAATGAATGAGCTATAGAGTTTGCATTTTTATCAAGGCTCCTTAGTTTGTTTGCTGTATGATTGTTCTAAAATCTAAAATCAATGTGCGGATGGCGGGCGGGTGCGGTTTTGAAAACCTTGGGTGCAAAATGGACAGCGGGCGGATGATGAGTTTTGTGTCGCGGTTGCGGATGAAAAAATAGCCCATCCGTGCATCTCTAACACATACACACAGCGTTACTCACTGACAGGGATGCAGGCTCTGGATCAACATGACCGCCAGCCCATTGGCCAGTTTATCTGTAAAGCTCATGGCTCCGTACACAAACGCTCCACTTTGCTGCAAAAGAACAAAACACAGTTGTTGTTTTAGTAAAATTAAATAAATTTTTTTTTACTTTGATCCTCAGCTCTAGTATAAATGTCATAGATGTAGGCCTGTAGTTACCGTCTGGTCAGAGATGAGCTCAGCAGTCATGGATAATGAGATGACCAGAATAGTCGCTGACCCCGCTCCTAGCAGCACTGCGGCACCGTACACCCTCTGACCCATCGCCTCATCCAGGAGCACCCAGTACGAGAAGGTCATGATCAGGAGCAGGCCCAGAAAGTACGTCAGCTGTAACCAGGCAACCACACAGGCTTTTATTATAATAACATTTGGGTCATTTGGTATTACATGTTTCATAAGCGTTGTCTCTTATTTCAGCTCACACTCATTAACAACACCGTATAGTTAAAATATGTTTTTTGAGGGAGGGGCCTGCTTTAGAGTGATTTTGTCATAGGCATTCACTATTATCGTTCATCATTTATATTTTCTTCAGTAATACATCACACTGTAAAATAAGTTATCGTGACAGTCCCACTCACAGATTTCCCGATGAGTTTACTAACGGGCTTCATGATGAATGAGGAGAGGAACCCGCTCAGATACATGACCAGAGGGATGGTGGCGATGAACTTCTGTTAAACACACGAGACGACACAAGGATCAGAACAGGACACACACACACACAAAGAACTTTAGAGCAGAGTTTAACCAGAGGACACAGGCTACTGCTTATCTGTCATAGGGATGCACCAATCCGATTATTTTGCTGAATGGTATACTGGCATACTTTACAAATAACAGTTAAGCCGATATCCAGATTGGACAAATAAATGTATGTAATAAGACTATTTACTGGTCAACTTTATATGAAGTTTTTCTGACGTTACATGAGGGATAAAGAACAACTACATAACACATTTGGATCAGTTTTGTCTTATATTTACTGATCTCAGTCTCTGCACTGGTAACAGGTGATGTCGGATATCAACAGATATTTAAAACCATAGTATTGAAATTGGTATCGGAGCTGAAAAAGATGGATTAGTGCATCCCTAATTTGTCGCACATTAATCTTTTATGTATGCTACTTGAGGCAAAACCAGATAAAGTTAAGAGTCGGGTGTCTGGAGAGGCAAGCCTGCTCTGCAATGTTTGTCAAGGTTTTAGTGAATTCAGACACCCATAATTAAAGCCACACTTTTATGACCAAAAATGAGACCAAAATAAAAGAAAGTATTATTATTATTGTACTGAAAAATGTGTAAGCAGACTTGCATCTCCACAAAACTAAATCTGGTGAAGGGCCTTCTCCTGGTTGTCTCCATGGCTATAATATTCCACAGTATGACATAAACTTGGTTGTAACTTTCTATTTCCATGGAATCATGCAGGTGATATGCCACTTAAAGAAGGTTACATGGTGTTGCTTTAAATTAAAGCTTTCATGTACAAAAGCAGCAAACCTTGTAGTTTAGATCCCTACAGACAGGTTTTGAAATGCATGGGAGTTCTTGTATTCGTTTAGCAGCTCAGATTTCCATCTTCTTTCAGTTAAATAATGACTTTTTAAAATAGTTTATAAAGGCAGTGAAAGCATAAAAGCTCACAGTGTTACCTTTTCCAGCCCCAGAGTGTTCACCAGGTACATGGAGATATAAGTCTGGGACAGATTCACTATCAGCCTGGTGGACATATACAACAGCGCCACCTGGGGACAAACATCACACAGATTAAAAGAAAAAAATACATTTATCATTATTTACACTAAATGAGAAACTAATGAGGCATTTTTTGGCTCTGCAGCTTTCTTAATTTGAGGTACTGAAGACATTTTATAGTTTTTACTACAGCGTACAAGTAGCTCACAGTAAATAAAATTTGCACACAAACTACATCAAACCTGGAACTAAACTTGGACTACACCAGAACTCAACCAGGACCAAACCAGGACTAGTGTGAAGTCACCTTAAGTTATAGTTATCATTTTAGAGTGACTGTGTGCACAAACAGAGAAACTGGGTTATTTTAAACAGATTTTGCTATTACATTTCAATAATCTGATAACTCCAGAAATCAGGTAATGGTCAGATTTATGGTGTGTATGTAAAGTTAGCCCCTTGTTAGTTCTTTCTGGTCAGATTGTGTTAAACTAAAGATCAGATTAAAGACTAACTTGAACTTCAGTTAGCATTACACCTCCAAGGAATGTTAATGACCTCAGCTCCAAAGTATCATAGAGCAGAATGAGTGCGGTGTACCTGGTAAAATGAAGGCTGCTTGAGCCAGCACTTCCACTGCAGCAGAGTAGACAGTGTAGTGGTGCGTGGGGCCAGTAGAGGGCTCTGTTCCCCGCTCTCCTCTGCTCCTGTTCTGCTGCGGTGCTCTGAGGTGCCGAGGTGGAAGAACAGAGAGAAGACCAGACCTATGCCCAGGACTAGCAGAGCCAGGTTCTGAAAGAGACACAACAAGAACTGTTTAAAAATGGATGATTTGAAGCACTGGACTGGTGTAGGATTGTAAAAAGAATCGAAAATCAGATCCTAATCAATACTAGATACTCATTTGAGCAGGTATCGGTACTAAAAAAAAAGTTTAAAAAAAAAGTTATATTCACAGGATAGAATGAAGCTTTCCTGAATGATTTTGAGCAGTATCAGAACAAGTATAAGAGCACATAGACTAGACACATAGACATTGTTTCCCTGGATCGCGACGATCACACAGTCAACAAAAAAATATCCTCATTAATGTTCAATAATGGTCACAAATTTATTTTGTCATTTACGAATAATGTCCATTGACTTGGGTCACGAAGATTTGTGACGCTTAAAATATGGATCCCTAGAAAACAGTTTGGGAAACAGTGGACTAGGATACTCCCATGGACCACTATGGAACCTACCTGGACTACTGAGGGATTATACATGGAAATAGAAAAGAAAGTACCCTAACCCTAATCTAATAGTGGTCACAGAATGACTATTGAGTCTCGAGTTTTATCTAAATCAAGTTTGAAATTTTAGTATCGCTAGACTCTCACCCTGAAGACGGGGATGTCCACAGGTCCCAGTGCGTCCATGTCCTCTCCACTCTGCATGTGGAACAGCAGGTAGGCCAGAGCGTACACTGTGATGTTAGCCATCACTGTGAACGCATACCTATGAGAAACCCAAGCAAAACAGAAAACAGTGAGGCGTATGGCATTATTAAAGGTCTTATATTATGCAATGGGTTCTAAAAGATGCATGTGAACTAATACCACCATGCACCACTTTTCATTCTCTTTCAGTTTATTTAAAGGTCCTGTATTACACACATTTGATACTTGTGAGTTTGAAGTCATGTAAAAATGTTGTTCCCTCCTCAAAAAACATATCTGGAGTTGTGTTTTGTTTCATTCACACATGTTTGAGTAATCCTGCATTATTAGTTTGTCTACTCTACGTCTTCAAAGCTCAGAATGCTCCGTTCCACTTTGTGATGTCATGAAGCAGTAGTTTTCAAATTAAGAGCTCCTTTTACAGCTCCTTTTTCAGTAGAGATTGGCAATTCCAGAGCTGAAATTATCCAGATGATTCTAGTGAAGGTGTATGGAGTTTAAAAACACATTTGAGCACTTCCTGTATTTTCAGCGTGCGAGAAGAACACACCTAAATATGCAGAATTGGGGTGTTAAACATGTGTGAATGAAATAAAACACAACTCCAGGTTTGTGATGAGAAAATAACATTACAACATAGATCAGAAAATAGAGCGTAATGTTACTGTAAATGGGTGTTCCTGCTATCTGGAGAACTATAGTGACCAAACAGATCATTTCCTTTTCAAAAGTTTATATATTAACTAATGAAACCGGTTTTACGACGCACACACACTGAACTATAATTTCTCTTGTCATTGGCTTTAACTTCTGACAAAACAAAGACTTCACCAAATGCGGATCCTCCTCTTCTCCCTGACACACTGAACCTGTAGCACTCACAAAGCATTTTTTGTCACGGTTATCAAAACAAAATGACTGCAATAAAATGTACATAAAATACATTATTTACTCTTGGTTATTTTCCCTCTGTAAGTCTTTAGCTGAGGTGCCCAGCCAATAGAGTCATAGTCTACATTTTATTTAGATTATAAGAATTTATATGGGACAACAGCAGAAAGAAGTGAGTAACTGAGTGAGCTGAAGATTTTGTATTTTTGGGTATTTATATGTAAAAAGGCAGATCAAACTTGTGATTCATAAATGTACTGCCTTTATATAAATAAATAACTGTTTTTTTAATAGACTTCCATGCAGGTGTAGGCTTCTGTGTGCAGACACGTCTTTAGTCAACCAAGAATTTCATTAGTCAGCCTTAATTTTACTCAACATACAAAGATATGTATTTGAAACTTTTCACAAAGTCTACAGCAGCCTGTGTCAACAGTTCCACACTGGTACTAATGGAATTCCACAATGAGGTGGTCAGTTTGTGCATTTGTCAGCAGCAGCATTCTCATTTTATAAAGGGCACTTGTGTCGACTGAAATTTCACAAATGACAGAACAATGAAGTTCAGTTTTGTGGTTGAGTTGAGTTTTTTAAGAGGCTTTAAAATTCTGACATAAACTACATTAAATTATAATTGAGAGTAAAATTTTATATTGTGACATTCGTTTACCAACATGACCAAAAGTGTTTAAAGGGCCCATATTACATTGTGTTTTTAAACTCCAAACACCTTCACTAGACTCATTTGGATGATTGTCAATCTCTACTGGACTAAAGGTGAAAAGGTAAAAAAAAAAAGTAGCTGTTAACTTGGAATTCTCCATGACATCATTCTGAGCTTAGGAAACGTAAACAGACTAATAATAAATGATTACTCAAATATGTGAATGCAACAAAACACAATGCCAGTGTATGTTTTGAGAAGGCAAATACATTATAACTTGGTTTAAAGAGTCAATTTTGTGTAATGCAGGTACCTGCTTTTTACTGTTATAAAGGAGCTGTATGTTTGCTTGTGGTACTTTATACCTGTACGCGGTGAGTTCGACCTTGGCGTGCTCACAGCGGACCAGCTCAGGGATGAGGGACAGGTGTGAGATCTGCACAGCAGCCCATCCAAACTGAAAGACGATGATGAAGGGGACAAAGTAAAGCACACTGGCCCACTGCGGCGTCTGCGGGGAGCAGCCCAGGCACTGGTTAAAGATGAAGGAAAATGACAGCGCCACACTCAGGCAGCCTGGGGAAATACACACAAAATGCCATGTTAAAGGAGCTTTGGGACTTTTGTGGTGAAGCCACCTGCTTGTCTCCGCAGAGATATTACTGGAATGTTCCACAGTATGCCATTAAACTTCTTGCATTTATTCAATTGCAGGTGTTTCTATCACAGCAATAATATCTTGAAAACATGCTTTCTTTTGCTGTGTTTTAAGTTTGTGAAGACGCATGTCCAGGCTGGTCCTGAAGCGTCTGAGGCGTGTTTCAAGCATCTGACACAGTGAGTCAGGTCTCAGGTGTCAAACACTAGTGATTTTGTTGCGATAACTCTCTGAAGGAGAGTGACTTTGCATGGGGAGCAAGAGGAATGGGGACCATTCAAGGGACCTGAGCATCAAAAATGTATGTAATAAGATGTTATCAGCAAATATAACATTGCGACCTAAAGATGTTATATGTTAGCAGTCAATACCTCACAGAAGTGTAATATCTTCTTTAAAGCAGAAGTAAATTTGCAGGTTTATTTTCATTTATTTTTATCAGTAAATGGCAGATGTGAAACCTACTGTAGTTTTCACTGTTTGAAATATGGAACTAACTGTTTTTAACTCAGTCAGGTCAGGTGTACTTGCAGATCACCTGACAGTCAGCAGGTGAGACTTTAACAATGAAGATATAAGTGAACCATAAACAACTCATCCATAAAAAGTGGCAAAGTCTTAATTTTCAGAGCAGTATATTTGCCCTCTGTACACTAAGTCTACATCGACTAAAAACGATCAACTAGTCGACTAAAAATGGGGTGTTTCAAAAGCTCTCAGAATTATTTACTCTGTGTATCTGACTCAAACTGCACTGACAACACTACACCTGCAGTGGGAGTTCATGCAAAAAACACTATTTATGCTGAAAAAAGTACTAAGAAATTATATAACTTGTATAAAGACAGATTAAACTTGTGAATCATATGTTTCATCTTACTTTTTACATATAAATTCCCAAAAAATCATTATAATCTAAATAAAACAATAAAGCAATTAATACAAATTTTGGTTAAAGGTGTACTGTGTAAGTTTTTGGTTGGAGCTCCGTCACTATCTTGTTTCTATGAAGATGTCTTTGTTCTGCCTTAAATGTTCCACAGTATGACATTAAACACCTCTGCCTTACATTTATTCAATTACAGGTGGTTTTATAACTCAAAAATAACTACAAAAACAGGCATTCTGACTGAGAGTGGGGTTGCCTCTCCACAGATCTGACCTGTAACTTAGTCTTTGTTTTGGTCTCAGGGAAGACTGAAAGATTTAATACCATATTGCGAAACATTCCAGACAAAGCAATAACATCTCCATGGAGAAAAGCGAGGGACCCTCCACCAGAAAAGTTGACACCTTTAACCGACTTACAGCTTACAGCCTTAGAGAGCACCCTCCAGCAGACAGACAACAGAGGCTGCTGAGTCTAGCTGAGCTCACCCACTAGGTGCCAGGTCTTCCTCTTGCCATAGTTGCCACATCCAGGGGTTCTGTCAGACTCATAGCCAATCAGAGGAGTACAGATGCCATCCGCGATCTGGCCCACAAGCAGCAAAAGACCTGCACACACCACATGAACAGTTAGGACTTAAATATTAGTATGGAAAAGTCATATCTTATAATCTGTTTGTACTAGTGTTGTCACTATTCTGACATTTCAAACTTGAATTCAGTACTAAAGAATAGACTTGATCCTCAATAACGATTCTGATTCCAAGACAATAATAAAAAAAACATTCTTTAAGACAAGGTCAAGATCATTCTGAAGCTATTCAGGAAAGGTTCATTTCTGTCCTGTGAATGTGACTTTTTGTAGTATCATAACCTGCTCCAATGAGTATCTAGTTTTGATATTAGATTTGTTATCAATTTGTATCTGATTTTGGATACTTTTGACAACCCGGTGAAGCAATTTTCACTGCAATATAAACAAGGCTGTTGTCCAAAAACAAGAGTAAATTTCAGAGTAAAAACTTTGATGCAGTGATAAAGAAGTCAATAAAAAGTGAAAACGCTGCTCACTGGGACAATGTGGGTCACTATTGATTGGTCAATTCAAGTTTAGAAAGGCTGATAAACAGGGGAGAGGTCATCAAAACAAAACATTACACATGTGCTGTCAGCTTTATGCAACAGGCCAGCTCCTTCAAAGCTCATTCATAAAAATGGAGAAATAAGGGAAAAAATTTAGTTTTAATACACATTTTCAGGGCTTTTCAAATTTTAAGTATCGTACCACTTAAGGGTATAATCACAGTTTAAACACACCATACCTAAGGAGGAACCAAAATGAGACTATACCTGGACAGGACTGGACAGGAGTCGTCACACTGCCATACAGAAATAAACCTGGATCAAGTATGGACTACTGGAGACTACTAGAGATAGGCTGATATTTTGGGATGATATTTGCATTTTTTATCTTATCAGATATTGTCATAAATGTCCAGTAAAAGCCGATATTTTGTTTAGGCTGACCAGAATGCTTGAAGAATAAGAATATGGTTTTATTTGAGCACTTTTTTGTGATGAGGACACTGCACAAAAGGTGACTCAACTGCTCTTTTATCCAGTTTGTCATCAAAACAAGGTCGTGGATGAGTTTGTACAAAATTTAAATTACATTATTTGGTTAAAATGTCCAAAATTGTTTCAAAAATATCGGCAGAACTTATGGACCATCAGTTTTTTCTGAATTCTAAATAACTGGTATTTGTATCGGCCCTGAAAAATAACAAAAAACATAATCAATCGCTACTGTCTACAGAGAATAATTCCACTTCATTTCAAAAGTATTAAATTATTTTATTCTAATTATTGGGTTTTGCCATTTTTCTTACATCCTTACAACTAATTATGTAATTCTCTCGAACTACAAATGTGTGCTCAAAAGCTGTTCAAAATATACTTTTTTTGGTAACTTCACATTTTCACAGTGTTTTAAAATGCTATTATAATGTAACTAACGGCTGTTATGATGTACAGTCACGCATATGTCAGGATTATAGACCCATAAAAATGTAGGAGCAGGTTTCCTCGAGTTGCGTGAACACTACTTAGTTCTGCTGCTACAGGCTCACAATGGCTCCACTGCACTTCTCTAAACCGTGAAGGAAAACAAGTATTCTTCACTTTCTCCTAAGTCTACTAACTGGCACTGATCAATTCCAGCCCTCTCAAAAGTATCGGGAATTAAATACTACAACTAGACTCAAAACTAGATATTTGAGCAGGTATCGATACTAAAAAAACAATCACATTCACAGGACAGAAATGAATAAATGAATGAGCTTGATCTGTATTAGAACAAGTATAAGAGCACATAGACTAGTATACGGACATGGACCACTATGGAACCTACCTGGACCACTGAGGAATTACACACATATAAGACCATATGGGAAAAGAAAAGAAAGTACTATGATTTGATGCTGAAAAAAATATTCTGTTGTCTCAAGAAAGCATGGTTTTAATTATCATTGTGATATCAGAGTCAGTATTGAGTATCGATCCTTGGTATCAAAATCGAGTTTGAAATTTTAGTAACATGACAACACTATTCACATAATGTTAGAGAACTAGGGTGACATCAAATTTTTAGTATTATCATTATATTTTGCATAATTTTAGAACTTGAACACAGGATATGACAACTCTACCAACTATATTTATATAGTCTGAATTGGTAAAAACTGGGAAAAAAAGGAAAACAGGTTGTAACAGGTTCTACATTTTTACACATATTTACTTACAGGATTTTTAAGTTTAATTAAATATTTGTAAAGACATTTCAGGCCACAACAACTGCTTATTATTATTTTCATTATTTCAGTCTAATCAACAATAGCCAAGAGGCCAATATATTTAAATAACAAAGCAATGTTTTGACAATATTGTGACTGCCTTAGCTGCTTAGCAAATGTATGTTTGTTTTTTTTAGATATTAGTATGAGATAACAGGGGTGAGATGAGATACAATTTCCACAATACAAGATGAGAAATGAGATTGGACCTACGAGACAAGACACAAGATCATTTTCAGCATGTGTGAACAATCTCGTGGCAATTTTGTCTCACAAAATCTTGTGGCATGAGATCTTGTCCCGTCCCTATCAGACCTATGGTGTAGAGAAGCACTTATAGAGTTATAATTTAATATAGAAACTACATATTATCTTTCACATCAATAGTATTTACAGTGGATACTTTTACTATCACTATATTTAAGAGCAGGATACCTACTTTCTACTCAACTCAAAAGTACATTACAAACTATGTGAGAGGGGATTTTTAAGCCAATTTGTGGACCATGGCCAACATCCTGACTAAAGAGTTTGAGTTCAGGTTCTGGCTTTGAGCAAACTAAAAATCTATATATAAAATTAACTACAAAAAAAAAAAAAAAAAAACCTGCACAATTCTTTATCAATATCAGTACAATATCATTGTATTTAACAGTTCTCAAAATCTGCATGAATTACTTTTTACTCTTAAAGTACGATTTGAACTGGTACTTTTACTCCATACTTTTGATACTTTTACTTAACTTTAACTTTTTGCCTCTTTTTTTTAACTTAAGTAACAAAATGTAGTACTGTTTCCATCACTGTTTGCAATAGAAAAAACTGACACGATGTGAACAAAACAAAAAAAATTACTTTCGCTTTTGTTTCACGGGTTGACTGCATTCATTTTACCCAGTTAGCTCGCTATTAAATATTAAAACATCTTTACGTTTCAATGATATATGCAGTGGTGGAAAGAGTACTGAAAATTTGTACTCAAGTAAAAGTTCAGTTATTTAGTTACAAATAATATACTCAATTACAAGTACAGGTACTGCTGCCAAAATTGTGCAGATTTTGGAGTTGTAAGACTTAAAATAGCATTAAAAATGCAAAATAATAAGATTTATTTCTGATCATTGTCCGTCTGCAATTTTTATACTACAATTTTGCAGTTTGCGTATCATTTATAATAATAATCATCTAAACGGTCCAGAAATCAGATTATAAAGTCAAATTTTGGGTTGCATTCAAACAGCCACACTGTTGAAGTTGCAGCATTGCCTAAATAATACAATTCCCTTACCTGCATACGTGTTCTGGAAACCGAGCACGTCGTGGTAAAACACCAGCAGGTATGTGAACCACATGGAGGCGCACAGATCGTTGAGAAAGTGCCCGACCGCATAGCTCAGTCTCCGGCACAGAGGCAGCGACCTGTCCGGGTCCGACATGATCACGGAGGAACCCTAAAAACACTGGAACTGGAATGGTAATCTTAAAACGCCACGTCTCCGGGGCTCCTGATAGGGTTTTACGGCATGTCTCTACGTGGATCTTTGCCTCTCCTTTACTGGGAAAACACGAGGACGTTGTGGTCGATACCTTACGTTACATATCCCATTTGTCAGTTTCCTCCCCGAGTCAGGTGACAGTGACAAGTCGCTTATAAAGTGGAGACCAGCGAGACAAGGGAAGAAGAGGAGGAGCGATCCAAAACAATCATTGACTGAAGCGCTACCTACCGTGTGATCTTACGGGTAACTGCCTCAAAATACCCAGAAATGCTTAAATAATTGTTACTTAACCCCATTCCCATGCTGTTTAGTTCAAAGTAAACATAATTCATCGATTACAATCAGCGAAAACCGTGAAATTGTTCCATTACTAGCTAGCAGCGCTAACACACCTCAGGCGAGACGAGACAGATGATGTAAACACACCGGTATTGATGATGTCAGCAGAAAAACGGACCAATGGGATCGCAGATGAAAACAGTTCAGCCAATCACAGCGCGACCATGCCACGACTTCATCACGTGACGAAGAATTAGGCGGACAGATGTGGCAGGAAAATAAAATACCCGAAAAAATAATACTATAAAAAATGAATACAAATAATAAAAAAAAAAAAAAAAGTAAAGAAGAAATTAAATAAAGAAGGAATAATAAATAAATAAAAATAATTAATCAAATAAATACTCGATTGTGAACAGGCAAAAAACTTTAAAAGAAATAAACACAGCACAAGATCCAGTCAACAATCATCTTGTCAACACATACGATTAACATAAAAAGGGCAGAAGATAGGAGACGGAAAACAAACAAAAAAATAAAATAAAATAAATACAGAAGAGATCATATGTGGGTTAATCAATACTATTTACTATTACTTTCAGTAATGGCACCATTTGTCTCCACCAGTTAGATCGAGGCGTATTGCTGTTTTAGATCATTTTTTAAGTTCAAAGAAGGATGGGTGTGTTTTCATTCATTTGCATTTGTGAATGAAGACTTTCCCAGTGAGTTTCAATGGATTCGGTCTCCTCAAAAAACACACACAGTTGTTTTGTTCAAAATGAAAAAGTTTGTGCAGAAGTTCAGATGATGGATAAATATTTGTATTTGTTTTTTAAGTGAATTTCTTTTATTTTATGAAATATTAGCTAATAGAGCTCCATGAGGCAAACCTAAAATTGAGTGAGATGGCTACTTTTAGTTCTCTCAAAACTAATTTAGATTAGATTATTATTTATTTATTTGTCTTTTGGAAGCAGGGGAGTTGGAAACATGTAAATTCTCCAGTGTAATTACTGTTTACTCCACTTTTCTTGTTTGATCAAAGGAATACTAATAAAATTTGAATTGATCTTTGATTTAATTATGTGCAAACATAGTTAAGCAAGGTAAGTACACTTTGTGAGCTATCATCGCTGCTTTAATCATTTAAGTCATTCATGTGTGTATTACAAAATCAAAGTTGTGGCTAGTTGTACTTGGAATGAAAAGTACAAGTCTTTGATAAAATACAGAAAATTTGTTATTCCATGACGATAATAAAGATAAGATTAATAGAAAACTGTAGATAATGTTTAAACCATGAAGTGGAAATAATAGTGATACACTCTTAACTGCATGAATGGCATATCCTGTTCATGTTCTGAGGACCTTGTACTTTTTGTTAATTATTTTCTGTTCAGTTTCTGATAAAAGGGAACTCTCAATCTCATGGACATGTAAAGCATTAATACAAAGCTGTCACCCACTTATTTCCTGTCAGATTCACTATTCTGAGAAGAATCTGGACCGCTTTATTTCCAAACCCACAAATAAAAAATAACCCAAAAATTTAAAACATTTAATAGGAATTTTATATAAATTCTACGTGGACATGTTTGCCTCATTACAAGTCTCTAAAGGTCATGTTTACTGAGATCTGCTTCAGCTTTCACATGGAAATTGTCAAGACCTAATAGTCTGCTGTCTCTCAGACCATCTCCAGGTACACCAGCTATACCCATTCTTATATTTACCCCCAAAAATGTAGGCGGAATTTGAAATCTTCCTTTTCTCTATGTAGAGCTTATGATGAGAATACAGAGACAGAGGACATTTGTCTGTGCTCCAAAGAAATTCTGTTTGAACTGAGTCATCTTAGTCAGGCATTTTCAAAAATTTAGACCGAAACATGAAGGGGATATTTTACAATGTTGGCATTTAAACTTCTAAGTACTTTTATGTAAGAACATTTTGAATAGGATAAGTAATGATTCTTATAAATTGCCATTAATCTACCAGCTTTTACTTCATTAAGTTCATTATATTATTGAAAGTTGTCTCTGTTGCTATGGATCTTACCTGGACGACTGAGGGATTACACACATTGATATTAGTACAACAAAAGAAATGAATAATCTTCACATCTTATTGATCAGTGTTTCTCTTTGATGACTGACTAAAAGTCACAGTTACGAATCAGTCTCATCTGACCCTGACATCAGCACATTTCTGTCGATGAACAAATGGATACGACATTTTCTCATTATGAAAGTTGGAACTGCAGCCACCAGCACTATTATATAAAACATGTCACCTCTAATATTCAGAAACACACACTTATACTGTATATACTGTAAGTGCATATGACAGGTTAGACTACTAATTTCTCTATAACAAACTTTAAAAAAAAATCCTAGTCTTATCTACTTTTGTAGTTTTAGCAAAGTTTATAATTTTACTTCCTGGTTGGACACATGCTGCAGATATGACAGGTCGACGAATGTTATAGCAACCGTAATACTAACAAGGGTCAAAACCTTAATTAGCTAATATTAGACTAAAATAAATAAAAGGTACCTTAATTTTGTTAAATTAATGTTTAAACTGTCAGAAAAAAAAATGCTTCTTTGTGTTTAAATTGTTTCTGCATTTTGGTTGACAGCTGCTGACATAAGATGTATTCCGTTTTAGAACTCAGCGCTACTTCCTGTATTTTCCAACTTTTTCTTTTCTTCCCAAACTGCCACTTAGTGAAATGTATGGTTTATAATTAATGTACAATTATGATGAATATTTATACTTCAGGTACTATCCCACTAACCCAAATAATAAATAGAAAAAAATATGATTCTGTCAAAAGCACTTTAAATAGTGTAATCACATGAATGGAGGAGAGCAGGTGACAGCTGGCCACACATTTAAATGAAACATGAACAACTTCCTCAGACTCAGAATAGAATCAGTCTCTTGCTGCAGCTGAAGCTATTTATATATAATATAAATATACAAAAAAAATTCCATTGTATTTCTATTGTACTTCGATACACCAGTATAGGACTATCTTTTGGTCATTTAGTCTTTTTATCCGTTGATGGCGTCTTGGTCAACCAAAAATTGTTGACTAGTTGTTTTATTTAGATTATAAGGGACAATATGCACATTGCACAACAGTAGAAAACAGAAGGGAGGGTGTTTAAGATTTTGACGTGAATTCTATGTTTAATCTGCCTTTTTCTATATAAATACACTTTCGTAGTACAGTAACTCTGAGAACTGTCTCTGAGTAGTGCCAAGTAGGCGGACAGAGCAAAGGGAAGTGAAGATGACACAAGTTTCTGGTTAGAGTGTAAAGAAAGTTTCTGTTAGTGTGAGGTGTGGGTAAACTGTTGGTATCAGGAGAACTTGACACTACAAAGAGAAAAATTAACATTTACAGGGTTGAATAGGGCCTGGGAGAGATCACTACATTTCTGAAACATGTATGCGAGCCTCTCTAGCCTTATTTTTGATGTTAAAGAACACAAGATTGTTATAAGGTGGACCAAGGCAAGGATAGAAATCTAGTTAGAGGACTTCATAATTATAATGCATTTGATTTGTATAGTGCTTATTTAGATACTCAAAAAATACTCCACATCTCGTGATGGTGTAGCCACAGCCGCCCTGAGGTTGACAGAAGTGAGGCCGCCAGTCTGTACCATCGGCCCTTTCAACCACCACACACACATTCACATACATATTAGACAATGAGGGTGAAGTGTCTAGCCTAAGGACACAACAACAGTTTCCACTTGAGCCACTTCTGCCCCACTGTGGCATGTGATATTACCAGCTGTCTCCTTTTCAAGACGAGAATTTCAAGCGTGGTATTGCTGATTAAACTAATAATGCGGAGCTTTGAAGGGGGAGCATAATGAATTTTTGGAGCTTTCTACCGTGTTACAATTTTGTTCCCTCATCAAAAGCGTGTCTGAAGAAGTTTAAGATATACGCATGATTTGGTAAATAAGCGATCTCTCCCTATTTGAACCCTCCTTATGATTAGCTGTAAGATTCTGTGCAGTGCTCCGCCCAACAAGCCTATACTGTCTTTGCTCCCACACGACAATGCTCCATAAATATATAAAAGCATGATGCAAAACAACTTCACAAACCTGATGCGATGTGCAGTAGTTTCACACTTACTGCACTGTGATAGCACACTGAAGGGGGAGTGATTTAGGGGGGAGCAAGGAGAGGGAAGACTCAAGTGTGAAAAAAAGATAACATGGTGATCTAAATATCTATGCATTACCTATTAGAAGTAAAATACCCTCTCTTTAACCGGTCTATGAAAACAACAAGAGCCCATATAACCCTACAGTATGTTCATGATGTTTTTTATTCTGTTTGGTTGTTTTAATGGAGATTTCAACGTCCAATCCTCCAACCCAGAGAGAAAAACAAAGAAAAAAAGAAAATTAAAAATACAAGTTATTTAAAAAATTACATTTGGAGTTAACACACTAAGAAGCTACAAAACACAAACTTTCAAACAACTGAAAGGACAGAGTGAACGCAGGTTCCAGATGGTTTAGTGACAAATTAAAACAGAGAAAGCATAGTCTTTAACATAAACATCTTTAACGTTTCATTCGGTGTGAGAGAGAGAGGTCACCTTCTGAGAATAGATTCCAGTTTTGACTCAGCCCCAGAGCCTGCATTTGAACTCCAGGTGAAGTATCTGCAAAGTTATGGTCCAAATCCGTCCTTAAATGTCCTACTTTTCAGAATAAACTCCTCTGAACCAGTCAGTAAGGAAAAATCATCTGAAAATTAAAAAAAATTACAGTCTATAGACAACTGTTCATTCATGTTCAGCTGTTGGTGGTAAGCTCATATGTCCACCGCGCTGTGAATCCAGTTTTACATTTGGAGTCTGTACTTTATCTCCTCAGGGGGCATGTGTCCAGGGTAGCCGCTGGACCCCCCGTACTGAGGGCGTGTGTGTGAGAGACAGAGGTACAGGAGACAGAAGGACAGGGAAAGCCCCAGAATAGAGCTTTATTTGTGTCTCTGGAGAGCTTTCCTCTTCCTCCTCTTGAAAAAGCAGCAGCACCTGAAACACAACCAGGGACATTTTTAGCATAATCTACTAATAGACTAGATACTCAATACAGATTCCAATACCATCATGATAATGAAGAATAGAATAGAACGTGATTTTCAACATTAAATCACAGTACTTTTTCTATTCCCATGTGGCCTTAGTCTAGTCTATGTGCTCTTATACTTGTTCTGATACAGCTCAAGATCATTCTAAATCTATTCAGGAGAGCTTCATTTCTGTCCTGTGAATGAGACTCTTGACAGATTAAAATGAACCAATTCTGTTTTTCACATTCTTAAGATAGTAAAAAAAAATAATAAAATTAGGTACACCCATACGCTTTATAAAGAAATGGACTAAAGCAGGGGGACATCACCCATAGTGTTTGGCTATAGGTAAATGAAGCTCACCAAAACTATCAGTTATATGAGTGAATTTAGAGCAGAGGCCCATATTAGAAAAAGGAACTGATTTATAAACAAAACAGCAAAATTAAAACACCAGGATCATGTAGAGCAGGTTAATATGAACATTTTCAAACTAAAATGAGGAGCCTGACAGCAGCAGTTACAGAGAGAGAGGGGTCACACTTTTTCAATAGAAAGTGAACTGGAGCTGGAGTCAATGAAGCCGGAAGCGCACCCATACTAACTTCCTATTTGGAATAGGGATGGGCATTCGATGAAATTTTCTTAATCGATCGTTGAGAGAATTAACGATCGATTATCGATTAATCATTAACGTTTTTATATTAAAATGATCATCATTATTATTACTATCTGCACTCCTAATCTGCGTAAATAAATTCAACTTTACGACAAATAAACCGTAACCACTCTAGAGCCACATCAGCCTGTTTATTATAATGTGTTTAATTCAGTTTTGCGCAACTCTCACAGAAACGAAACTTAAAACCGCATCGCTAATTTGCATAAACTAAGCGAAGATAAAACTACAGCTCTTGTGTCGCTGATGCGGTCAACTTCTGTCGGATTAAAAGACATGACTCAATGGAATACAGGTTAGTGTGACCATATTTGCGTTTGTCAAAACCAGGACACCGTACGAGGGGCGGGAGGTGAGGACTCGTCATCGACATTGCGCTTCTCTCACCTGACAAAGCTTTTTCTCACTGGACACCGAAACATATGTGCTGCTTTGTACACTGTGCACATGGCCTCACACTTGTCCCGACCGGAACGGAAAGTGTGGAATTTCTTGTACAAGTCATCGTTAAATACGCATTTGTGCTTCGGTACGTTACAGGCTGACCGACTGTTTGTGTTTGCTTGCTCCTTCTGAGTGCAGAGAGCTACATGTACGGACCCCCGTTTGGTCACGCTACGCATAGCAACCTGCATTCGGTTTGTCGATTAAAGTTTACGTAATCGATGAAATTCTTAATGATCAATTATTGATTAATCGACTAATCATGCCCATCCCTAATTTGGAACGCAGCAACTAGTGAGGTTACATGTCCATTTATATATATGGTTTATGGATAAATCATAATTAAACTTAAATGATTTGGAAATGATGTGTAAAAAGATGAGACAACATTGTGTAGTTTAGTATAATATGCAGAAATTCCTACTTAGTATCATCAGCCACTTCCACCTCTGCGTTGGCTGTGATTGGTGCGTTCGAGTGTCCCGCGGTGGGGTCGTCTGTGTTCAGCTCCCCATTGGTGGAGTTCATCACCTAGGAAACCACACAACAGCTGTGTTTAGACATCCAGTCAACCTTTAACCCTGGACTGAGGCAGAGACATTCGAGACACAGAGCCCACTAGTGACATGGAACACATCATTCAAAGCAGACGGTTTAAAAACATTCTAAAAACTCATCTTATTTACTGCACAATGTATCGCGATAAGCTCTGTGCTCAACTGCAGCTGGCTACATTTGGTCAGAGGAAGGGTCAGTGAGGCCATTTCCAATGTAATAACATCTCTGTGAGGTTTTTGCAGAATCACGCTCAAATCAATAAATCGTGACAGATCGAGCTGTGGACAGGGAGCTGCGCGTGGATGTCATCAAGAACATGTTAAACACTTTACAAATGAGGAGAAAACTTCACCAAAAAAGCCCAAGTCAAAACACTATAAATAACACTAACACAAACAGTGGTAGTGAAACAGCAGCAGAGACAGAGGGACATGCAGACGGACAGACAGTGCACACAGGCCCTGTTCAGACCTGGCTCTGCAGAGGAACTCAGCATGTTCCACATTCATACAAAACAATTGACTGGGAGTTGTGGGGGATTTTAGTGTCCATCATTAGGAATTGTATAATCAGTGTTTTCTCACAAATATCAGTCTGGATTTAAAAATGTACCCAATATTTGAGGCTGATATTTTTTTTCTGCACTGCCCAAGTGTCTGTGTTCCAATGTGTCATTCCCAGTTTGTCTTTTTGAATAAACTAAATGAGTGAAAATATTAATATTATGTTACAGATATAGATTTTAAAAGCTTAATATCACTACAGCAAGATGAATATTGGACACCAGTATGGGCTCAAAAATCCATGTCTAGCCATCACTATGTGCCATCACTCGTGGATCATGTGAGAAACTGCTTTTCTTTCTAAGGGTTTGTGGTAGGAGTGCTGGAGTTTATCAGCAGAGGGAAAAGTAAAAGTGAGAGTAAGCTGAACATTACTGACAGTATTTTACTCCACTGGGGAAAATAAGCTCAAAACAGTGAAGAAACTGGAGCAGCCTAAACACCCTGTGCCTGTTTCATAAACTGCTCTGCTGTAGAAGAACAGAGAGAACGAACATGAGAAGCCCAGCCGCATTCCCCTGACAGGGCTGAAGAGGGCAGCAGAGACACACACGGCTGAGACAGAGCGCTCAGTACCTGCACCGAGCCTCCCAGTCTGTCTGCAGTGAGGCCCTGGGGCAGTGGAGCGGGCTGAGACCCCTTCCCCTCTGCAGACTACAGGGGACAGTCACGAGCCCCAGAGAGAGAGGAGTCAGAAAAGAGGTGGAAGAAGAGCAAGTCAGAACACAGCCAAAATCAAAGAGTGGAATAGAGAACTGCTACTACAAACTCATGTTTACTGACACAGTGAGTGGCCTAGAAAATCAATTATGCCCACATGTTTCTCCAGTACACCCCTGAGCCTGAGTGCATGGGTCCCTGTGTGCGGGTCCCTGTGTGCGGGCCCCTGTGTGCGGGCCCCTGTGTGCGGGCCCCTGTGTGCGGGCCCCTGTGTGCGGGCCCCTGTGTGCGGGCCCCTGTGTGCGGGCCCCTGTGTGCGGGCCCCTGTGTGCGGGCCCCTGTGTGCGGGCCCCTGTGTGCGGGCCCCTGTGTGCGGGTCCCTGTGTGCGGGTCCCTGTGACGTATAAGCAGCTCACCTGGTTTTTGGTCTGAGGCGCCTTCTCTCTGTTCCCCGTCTGCAGGGGTGTCTCTGTGGAGACGGGTCCGATGGGCGTGGGCTGCATCAGGAGGGACAGAACATCATAAGAATAGAATGCACATACAATACAGCTTTGGGCTTTATTTAACTAGAGCAAATATAAATAACACAGATGTGACAGGGATTTTACTCAGTTCATTTATCAAGAGTAACACTAAATACTAATACATTATTACATTACAAAGTGATGTCCATGCGACTCACCAGGGGCTTCCCGGTCCAGTCGTACTGGTAGTCAAAGATGTATCCGTTTCTATCGAACAGGTCGGTGAACAGCTTCCTCAGATAGTCGTAGTCGGGTTTTTCAAAGAAGTCCAGGCGCCGCACGTATCGCAGGTACGTGGCCATCTCTTCTGTTCCACACACAGCCAGAGTCAGACACACAGCAGAGATGCACACATACAGCAGAGACGCACACAAAGCAGAGCCACACACAGGCCTGCTACACTGTAACTACTTCAAACATACATTTGTCATTTATCCAAGCTACACAACATAGCTCTCACAACATGTATGGACTGAATCAGGTCCAACCTGGAAAGCTGTCACAGAGGACCTCTATAGGTGTGTCCCTCTTTGTGTCTCCGATTTTCTGGTATCGCTCCTTCAGAGTGTCCGCCTGAAACGCACAGGGCAGAGTCATTTCAGGGTCTTGTGTGTCGTTTTGTATTCTTCTTGTATTTAATGTGAGGGTTTCTTTGTCCTGACCTTGAGTCCCTGCCAGGGCAGGCTCCCTCTGAGGAAGTACATGAACATGTGTCCTAGCGCCTCTAGGTCATCCCTCCGGCTTTGCTCTGAAACACAAAAACCACAGCAGCTTCAGTGTCTGCAGCACTTCCAGCCCATTACAGTGTGGTGCCCTCTTATGGCTGTGACCTCTTGTGCTGGACCCTCTTGTGGCCATGACCTCTTGTGTCTGTGGGTCTTTACTCGTTTAGTTAATCAGTCGATGATGTCTTAGTCAACTTTCTTGGATTTGTATTAGTCAACTAATAATTTTATATAGATTAGAAGGATTTAGATGGGCAGGAAAGACAAGTGAATGAGTGAGCTGAAGATTTGGTATTTTTTATATTTATCATAAGTAGATTAAACTCATGTATCATGATACATTGTTACCATGTACTTTTTTCTGCATAAATAATTGTTTTAGCATGAACCCCATTGGGTTCAGGTACATAGACATACATAATAGTTTTGAGGGCTTTTACCACACACAGGTCTTTAGTCAACCAATAATTTCTCTAGCTGACTACAGCACTATTTTGTGGCAGTGGTGAACAGAGCAGCTGGGTCTCACCTTTGCCCAGGTGTGTGTTGATGCTCATGTAGCGTGCAGTCCCAGTCAGGCTCTTGTGTTCTCTGTAGGGGATGTGTTTCTTGGTCTCAGGGTCGATGTACTCCTTTGCCAGCCCAAAGTCGATGATGTGGATGGTGTGCTGCCGTTTGGAGCCGGGCCGGCCGACCAGGAAGTTCTCTGGCTTTACGTCCCGATAGATCAGGCTTCTAGTGTGCACGAACTCCATGCGGGTTATCTAACAAAGAGTCGCAAAACAAAATAAACTCTCTCACAGATACAACCATTTGAAAAGGCATGCAGTCCATTTCACTGTCTACACACTGGACATTAGAACATGTACACAGTAAATGGACAGAAACTACCAATAGCCACCTTCAAATCACATCTCAAAATGTAGTGTTCCTACTTCGACATTTTAAAATGCAATATTGATCTAAAATGACATATGTCAATGACAATAAAAGAAACAAGTCCGCTGACTTTCACGTTAGAAAACGGAGGTGCCCAATAGGAGAGGACATCACATCATAAACATCATCACAACAAAGAGCCGTGTAGCTGTCAGCACCCCAGAGCTGATGGGTTTTCCTTTATACCAAAATGACTACGTGACACTGCTGCATCCTACACATATCACAGATTAAGAAAAGAAAATTAGAGAACGAAGTAAGCACAGAGCAGCGGGCGTTTGGCAGTGAAAACAGGTTTAGATATGAGCAACGTCGTCTTGAATACAGGAGAATAAAGGTTACTCAGGCATGAATCACATGAATCACAAACACATCAAAGAGAAAATGAGATGGGGAAACAACTGTGTTGACAACTTGGTTTAAAACTCTGAAGAGTTGCTTTTGCATAATAAGTCCACTTTACCTAAAAATGGATGAATTGCTCTTTGTCTGATGATGTGGACAGTCTGCAGATGTCCTTACCAGTTGTATGGCTATCATGAGGACAGTCTTGAGGGAGAAGGTCCGGTCACAGAGGTCAAACAGGTCTTCTAAACTGGGCCCGAGCAGCTCCAGCACCATGGCGTTGTACTTCCCACATGGACCAAAGTAAAACACCTGCGGGACCCCCTCTGCACACAACACATTTACAACAGTCACTATGAGGTGCACAATGAAGAGATTATGTTTAATAACTTTTATTTCTAAAAACCTCTCAAAATGTAGTGTAGTGTTTTATCATGTCCTTAAATGAAATTAATTTTTCCTTTTTTTTCTTTTTTGTAAAAATTGTGGGAAAAAACGGAATCCAGTTTTCTGTTACATGCAACGTCAAGGTCTTTTTCCCATTCAATAAATAATATTGTTTTAAATTATTAAAGGGCCCATATTACCCTATTTTCTGATCCATGTTATACCGGTGTTTCCTCATCAAAAACATAACCAGAGTTGTGTTTTGGTTCATTCACACTGAGCTCTTCTTTCAGACAGAAATCTCTACTGAACTAAAGGTAAAAGGTAGCCGTTAACTTGAAAACCACCACTACATGACATCACAAGGTGGAACAGAGCATATTGAAGTGTGAATGAAACAAAACAGAGGGAACAACATTATCACAAGGCTTAAAACTCACAAGACTCCATTTTGTGTAATATAGGACCTTTAATCAGTATAGTAGCTTCTCATTATTCTTAAACCCATGGACACATTTTAAAAGGGATGAGAACCATAGGAAGAAGTTGCCAGGGACAGAATAATTTATCCGATCAGATGCTGTTTGATAAGAACCACATGGAACTGATGACTATCTCAAACGGTCCTTTCTGGGTCATAGTTCAGATTGATCACTCACCTGAACTCCCCAGCTGTTTGTAGAAGCGATATTCTAGATGAAGCTGTGGCGCTCGAGACTTGATTGGCTCCTACAAAACAGGATTCCAATTATTACTCATGTACTTTCATTTTAAGTCAAAGTCACCAATTTATGCCCACTTTATTACATATATTACTTGTTATGGCTTTTGAGATGAGGTTGCCACAGTGAATCAGACACTTTTGCAGGGTTTCCTTCCTGTTGCAACCCACTTTTTATCAATACTGGGGGAGAGATGGGTAATGTAAACAGGCCCTTATCAGCCCCTTTTACTGGATTTTATTCAGTTGATCAAGAGTAGTCATTTTTAATTGACAAAAATACAGGTTGAAATTTCAGTTTTATCATTTTAAGCAGCCATTTTGTTGATCCACATTTTATAGCGCCATCACATGTATGTATGTACGTATGTACGTATGTATGTATGTATGTATGTACGTATGTACGTATGTACGTATGTATGTATGTACGTATGTATGTATAACTGAAATGAATTGATCACATGCAAAATTATGCTGGGCAGTTGAATTGACCGAAACATTTAAGATCTGAAAGATCTGGTATATGGCCACATTCAAAAAATATATTTTGAGTAACCTCCAAGTGGTATAAGTGGACTAGAATTCTAGTGGTTTATTTATAGAGGGAGTAATGATACACTTGATTATGATGATGATTAGATTAAAACAAAATGTTTTAAAGTGAAACTAATCACTAAACCTTTTATCGCTGTATATGGTGATTTTAGATATGGCGTCTACTTTTCTTAGTGCTTTTTGGCAATTTCTGTACAAATTAGGCATATTTGCAACTTTACGGTCAAAAACTGAGTGTGTGTTGCCTCCACTGCAATTTCAAGTACTACATGGGATCAGATGAAAAAAAAGGAGGTAGAGCGCTTCAATGGGTCATAAGAGAGTTAAAAAATAACAGTACAGGTGCTCTACAAGGGTTAAACTAGTAGTCTTAAAACAGTCCTTTATTGGATGAAAGGATGCAAACGCATTTCCACCAGCAAGATGGTCTTCGTCAGGGCAAAGTCCATCTTTCTGGTCAAAATGCGCTGGCATCTCTTCATGCAATAAAGGACTTTTAATATATTCAGTCAGAGTGCTTCAGGTTTGTACCGTGCCCACTTTTATATTTTCCGGTAAGGGCAACTTTGTTTTAAGACTACATGGGATCACACAGGACTACACTGACTAAATTTAGCCAAGTGTTTCTGATTACAAACTAGGGCTGGGCGATATGAAGCAAAAAATATATATCTCGATATCTGTAAAGGAAACAACTGCAAAAACAAATATGCTGGTAACCAGCGGTAAAGAGCTATGAGGTATCCCACAATCCACTGCGCAGATCAAACTAAACATTTCCAAATACTGTTGTACAAGTTATACATTGCAGTAGATCATTAATTTAAATCTCCTGCATAAATAAACTTTAGTAATGTAAAGCATAACTACTATAGAACCACTTCAGCCCGCTTGATATATGCGTTTAATGCAGTTTTTACTGCAGTTTTACGCACATTTGTTTATGTTTTACAGAAACAAAACTTAAAGCCACATGGCTAATTTGAAGAAAACAGCAGGGGCAAGCAGAGAAGGCAAACAAGCGAAGTGGTGAAATCAGAATAAAATATAAGCATTATATTGAGATATCGCCCTCCCCTATTACAAATGCCTGGATGTAGGAGCGGAGTTTGAAGCGTGAATCGCTGTTCAATCACACTGTTACTTACACCTCCAGACCCCGCCCCTCCTCCCCTTTAGACCTCTGGCTACTGCTACTGAAATGTGGTCGTTGGCAGAGTTGAAGTGTTTAGTCCCACTTCAGCCATGACAAACAAAAACACGACATAATAAATGGCACAGAACATCTCACCAGCTTGATGGCGACGTATTCATTGGTGTAGAGGTTCTTGCCCAGTCGGAGCTCTCCGAAGTTCCCACAACCGATCTTCTTGCCCACCCTGAAGTTGGGCCCCACCATGAGCACCCCGGAGTTGGACCCCGTTCCCCGGCCGCTGTGCCCCGAGCGGCTGCCCGCTTTTCCGGACATCCTCTTCCCGTCCTCCGCCTCGGCCTTGCCCCCCTCCTCCCCCCGCCCCCCTCCCCCCCTCCCCCGCCCACTCCGCGCTTGTCAAAGTCCATCAGCTTGTGGTAGCCCGGCTTCTCCACGGTTAGGCCAATTCCATGCAACCCAAATGACCACCGGAACGACCGTCTTGCGGCCTCAGAGTTAAAGTGTTCAGATTTGGTGATAAAATTGGAGTTGAATTCTGTTTATTGTTCTTAAGCGTGTTTGAAGAAAAAAAAAAAAAAAAGATGATAATGTAATATAAAGCAAGGGTAAGTGGATGACAATACTGAGGCAAACTCAGTAATAGTACCACAAACAAAAGCTGAAGATGGGAGATAAACCAAATGAGGTGATGGAATGGTTTGGGGCTACGGTACCGAGATGAGAGCTCCCCCTGGAGGGGCCAGAGATGAGGATGGAGGGCAGCTAGCCGTACGCTAACATGCTAAAATATGAAGCGGAGAGGCTGCACTAGCTTTGGGTTTCACCGCGATGCAGTGGAGTGTGGCCATGTAAGTGTTCAGCGGTTTCACAAGTTTGGTCCAAAACAGGGTCTGACCATCGACAAGGCTCCTCCTGTAAGAGAAAAAAGAGAACGTTTAAATGATCTTTTTTCTATTCCCATGTGTCCTTTTGTCTGTGTAATCCCTCAGTGGTCCAGGTAGGTTCCATAGTCTTTGTGCTCTTATACTTGTTCTGATACAGCTCAAGATTCATTTCTGTGCTATGAAAGATTTTTTAGCATTGATACCTCAAATGAGTATTTAGTTTTGATACTAGTTTTGTATTGATCAGTATCAGATTTTTGATACTTTCCACAAACATGTTTGTAGGCTGAATATGAGTTTCTGTTACAACGCTGATTTGCTTGAATCCACAGAAAGTGCTGCTGTTCTGAAACCTGATCTGAGGCACAGGACTAGAGTGGACACCAAGGATCAGATATACGCAGATTATTTTCACTTATTGGGATTTTAAAGGGACTAGGGTTGTCAAAAGTGTCGAAAATCAGGTACTAATCAATACTAAAACTTAGAATCCAATTAGTTCACATAAGGTTGTGCAATTAATTGAATTTTGATTGGGATTTTGATTTGTGTGTCAAACAACTCCAAACTTATATAATCGAGTTGAAATTATTTACGTTAACAATTTTCACACTAGGACTTTAGAACAGTGCCCATGCACAGATAGCCACTAAAGTGCCATACGTTTGTCCAGTGTGAGCGCAATCAAACTGTGCCCAGGCATGGAACAGTTGGGACTTTGGCGAGAGAGAAACGCTGAATAAATGCATTGTGTAACTAAAAAATAATCGTTTGAATAATCGTGATTTCCATACTGACCAAAATAATCGTGATTATTAATAATCAAGCAGCTCTAAGTCCATATATCAAGTGTGATCATGTGTCTGTGTTGTTTTATTGTGCACTTTGAGGATATGGTCCTCTTTGAAGCCCCCCCCACTTCCTGCTCCATCCATTCACCTTCATTACGTCCTGTCTTCCCACTTCCTGTTCACAAAACTGCTCCCACTCTCCTCCAATCATAGCTTTTGTCTTTGTAACGTGCCTTTCATTTTGAATCTGAAAGTTGACTGGCCCGACATTCAAAAGCAAAATGACCCACTTTAAAGATCAAAACCTGTCTGAAAAAAACTCAGATACATGGTTCTGTTCTGTTCTGGCAAACCTACAAGCATATAAAGGGTGTAATGACTAAAGCTGCAATGATTAATTGATTAATCATAGTCGTACTTGGATAATCACAATTGTTGTCTTTACTATACCAACGCTAAAACACATACGAAACCCTTTTTTATAGCAAAGACAGTGACATTATTAAATCAAAATGATAAAAAAGTTTCTATTTCAATTTCACTTTCAGATTTTTATCAATAATACACTTTATTCATATATTCCCTCTCTACCCTTTGATTTCAACCTTGGTATTGGTCGATAATGACAAATTTAAAAACAAATGGAAACAGTGGATTAGATTTGTCAAAACTGTAAGACCAGATTTAGTTTGAACCATTATTTTGTTTTTCTTTTTGGTTGTAATAACTATTCATGTATATGCATCGAAGGCACACCCCACATATTAGATTGTATTTGTCTTTTTCATACCACTTAAAATATGAAAAATAAAGAATTACAAAAAAAAAGTCTCAATGCACAATAGAACTAGACTACCCGACAACTAAAATAACCATTAGTTACAGCCTTAATTAAGGCATTTATCCACATTAATTTTGGTATGCTTTAAAAAATGTTGCTTAATTAATGGCCCCTCAAAACCAGAAGCATTTAAAGAAAAAGAAAAAAAAAGAAAAAACAAAACAAAACAAAACCATCACAGCACTCACAACACTCCTTTTCAGAATGATCTTGACCACATCTTTTTATATTATTTTGTGTTAAAAATGCAATTGTAATTTCTTTAGCGACAATACTAGTTAGGTCAATAAACATGAATAGTCATAAAATTGTGAATGACATCCCTTTCTACAAATCAAACCTCAGCCTCAGTAAAATGAGTTCAAACCATAGACTAGAGTTAAAGAGCGTCTCCTGGCATGTGCCTTTAATTAGAGCATCTGCCGCAGGTTCAGGGCAGTATTTTCCACTCCACAGAGAGCTTTGTCAACAGAAATCAATACGGTGGCATGGGCTGTTTGTGGGCGAGAGAGACAGACAGAGAGACAGAGACAGAGAGGGACAGAGGGGGAGAGAGAGTATTGCTGTCATGATACTACATTTTCAAAATCCTAAAAAAGCGTGATATTTAGAGCGACACTGCACGATATCTGACCATTTTGGATTGCAACAGATTTGTGGATGAGTTTGTAATAAATAAAAATCACATACTTTAATGGAAATTATCATAATCGGCTTTCCAAAAATATCGGTCAAGCTTATTGGTTCTAAACTATCCGTATCATCGACATCGGTCATGAAAACTCCCCATATCGGTCGTTCTTTTTTGATACTCTTGACAACCCTAAGACAGATAGCGGGATAGCAAGACAGACACGGAGAGAAAGACAGAGACAGAGAGAAAGACAAGAGAGACAGAAACAGAAAGAGAGACAAAGACAGAGTGAAACACAGAGCAGAGAGAAAGACAAGAGACAGACAGAAAGACAGATAGAGAAAGACAGAGAAAGAAACAGGCAGAGAGAAGGACAGAGAAAGAGAGAGAGAGAAACACAGACAGTGAGAAAAAGAGAGAGAGAGAGAGAGAGAGACAGAGAGAGATAGACAAGAGAGACAAACAGACAGGAAGGGGGGGGGCAGAAACAGAGAAGGAGAGAGGCAGAAAGAGACAGAGACAGACGGAGAGACACAGAGAGGAAGGGAGGGGGAAAGAGAGAGACAGAGAGAGAGAGGAAGAGAGGCTGAGAGAGAGGGAAAGAGACAGAGAAAGAGGGAGAGAGAAACAGAGACACACATGGACAGAGATAGAGGCAGAGATAGCCCACACTCCCACACATGACAGTAGCGGGCCCATCTGACACAGGGCTCAGGTCCAGAGCACAAACCTCCTCTGACCCAGCCTCTCATTAAAGACGACATTTAGAGCCACAACGTCACCATCAAGATTCTACCACGAGCAAGACGCCAATTTGGGTTTAAACATTCACTGTAGCTATGTGTTATTATGATTACATTTAAAGATACCTTGTGTAACTCTTCCGGCAGAGGATCCATCAAATGCTTTTCTCATTTTTTCATTATGGCATTAAACCTTTCTATCTTCAAGGACACCAAACCTGACCAAGTTACAGGTCAGATCTGTGGAGACCCCACTCACAGTCACAATGTCTGTATTTGAATAAATGTAAGGTAGAGCTGTTTAATGTCATACTGTGGAACATTCCAGGCAGAGCAATGACATATCCATAGAAATAAGCAGGTGACAGGCCTATACACTATAATAGACAAAATGTATTGATCCATGGGGGAAATGATTGGACACAGTAACTCACACGCTACAATATAATATAATAATCATTGCCAGTCAGTACCTGTTTCAGTATAAGTTAGGTATGTATGTTTTGACAATCCTAGTCAATAGGTATATGTTGGTGCATTGTTCAATAGAAGGTAACATTTATGAGTAATGCTAAATGATCCATGTTTGTCTTTGTATGGGTGTTTCTAGATGCCACTGTGGACAGATGCTAACATTGTAGGCCTGGCAAGAAAAGCTTTGTGCCAATGTTATTCTTGTCGACTACAGTCATTAGTCACAGTTTTTGTCAATGTCATATTTTTCCTGAGTGAAATTAAACAAAAACTAAACAAAAAGTAATTGTAACACCCAAAACCATAATTAAAACAATATGTGTATTTATATCAACTGCAAGCGTAAACAAGAACAAGTATAGACTAGAATCAACTTCCACTTTTCAATCTCAAAGCTCAAAATCAGACCAAAACAAACTCCAGTCCAAAGAACAAGTCCATACATGTCCCATGAAAATATATTCTGTGGCTGACTAAAACTGGATTCAGAGGATTAAATAAATGTGACATTTTCTTAAAAAACAAAACAAAAAAAGGATCAATCTTGAGTCAAACTAAAACTATTTTTTGTCATCACAAGAATAGTACTCAGCCTGTCATGATAGCAAATTTAGCAGAATTATACATTGCTACAAAGGCATATAATGATGAACCATAACAGTGAAACTACTTAAAATAATGCAGGATAATCCCAGTAAACCAGTTTTAAATAGACTGTATCAATAAAAGGCCTAAGCTGTAACAAATAAAGAGTAGAAGGAACCAATAATTAGCCATGGAAGATTCTTATTCAACTCTCTACGGCCCAAACCTTTTCGAATTACAACTAAAATACCCCATACTTCCCCATTATTGCAAAGACAATGTACACACGCACAGGCACACGCACGCAATCTATAGACTTTCTACATAAAGTAAACCTACATTTGAAATATGAGATTTTGTAAAAGACTGATCCACATGAAGCTAAACTAACAACTTAGAAATATGATATGCTGTTAAGATATTCACAAGGAGATTCTCCATTAAAACTCTAAAATATACATTCTTCGTGTGCTGTTCTGGTTTGATTCCTGCTGAGTCTGTGACACATGGCGTCTTTTAGTCTGTGCCCAGTTCAGCCAATGATCAGTAGATTACAAAATATAGCTAATTTATTTCAGTTGTTAATTAAGTTAGATGTTTCAATCCTATTATAAAGGTTTTCTTCTTGAACTTGTACCCACACTGAAGTTAAATTTTCTTCCTTCTTTTGCAGTACATTGATACTCTTTAGAGTATATTATGGCGTCACATAAAAGTTAAGATAGTTTGAATCCTGATAAGCTTCTCAATTGAAAATCATTACATAACATAAGCTTTTTGACAAAATAACAAATGTGGTTTTTGCATCATTTTGAAATTCTGTTTTTATATTTTGCAGAGGAAATGATGACGATGCTTCTGTTATTTCAATAGCTAGTCTAAAATGCTGATGTTTTAGAGTTGGTACGGAAACTATTTATAAGATTTAATTTGTCATAATCTTTACTATAAACAACATTTAAAACAGCCAGTGTTTCCCATATATTTTAGTGGGACTACTATCTTTTAATTATACTTTTTTCAATACTCTGTAGCATCTCCTTTATGTTTCTTTGAGTAGTCCCTTTTCAAATGTATCTTTTATTTTGCAGATTTGTGATAAAACAGTGAGTGAAAGTGTGATTTTGTTACCAATGGTTGTTTTGGTAGTTTTTACAAGTATAAGGAAGAATTTTGGGGTGCCATAGTCTCTTAAATTAAAGGGAATCACTGCATAATCAATGTTGGATAATGCTTTTGATCATATAACAACAATTTTAGCCAACAAAGCCACAAAATAATACATGATGGGATTGCCAATTGCTGGATTTTAAGATTAATTTATCTGTAGTTAAATGGTGCATGCTGGGGGGTTGGCATACAAGATGTGGTCATTTTTGCTGTCCACACATGGGCCTGCTCCTACCACCCACACTTCTCAATTTCACACGGCTAACTGGGCCTTATTACGCGATCTCTCTGCATATACCACACCTGAAGCAAAGCAAAAAAATCTTACACCATCTTTCAATCATGCTCAAACAATAACGACGTAAACAGAACAACCAAAAAAGCTGCTTAGAGAAAAGGAGCCACAGTTAGCATCACAGCTAACGTTAGCAAATAGCCTGCAGCAGATTATAACACAGAGGCTTTAATAATCAGAGTGACTGGTGATATTGTACGGTGTGAAAGGGTCAAGTTTACAAGGAAATCTTTGTAATGGCGAGGCTATCGTGACGAATTAGCCACGGAGCTGTGCGACGCAGGAAGTTTAGGTTAGGCCACAACACAAGTCTATGGGCCAGTTTGTTGGCCTAAAACTCGACATTACCAGCGCTAAGAACATTTAAGACAGCTCTGGATTATAGAAAAAAATACACTAAATATGATATTAAAAGAATGATAGCAACGTGTGCCAAGCGGATTGAAAATACGCTGGATAAATCATGTCCAAATCGAGCTACCAACTTTCTAGCAGCTGGTGTGAAGTAACCGCTCATTGAGGCTAATATAGCTTAGCATCACAGCTAACTAGCCTTCGATGCTAACGCTGAAATTGTGCCCATACAGTCATTCATATATCGGGCTATATGTCACGGGATCGCTGAGATGACTGGATTAAAGTCGAAATGAAAGGTTACTCACTTAAAAGATGTGGGTTTACACGGACGGTTAGTTGTGGATAAAGTGTTGCAGTTTTCTCCGTCTGGTTTTTCTGCTCATGTCTTTTGCTGGAGATGTTTGGCTAACCAGCTGAAAGCCTCGCCACAGTCTCCATAACGACATCTGCGTAACTGTTGCTAAGTATAGCGCGCTAAACCCACAAAGCTGACGTAAAGCGCGTCCAGAATACGGACCAGCACCGCGCTACGGGAAACAAGTAACGTACACTGATTTGTGCAGAAAAGTTTATTTTTATGAAAGAAAAACTTCGTATTTTTGAAGAATAATCACCAATATACAAGCACCACTGTGACAGCAATGTTATCAAGTATATGATCAATTAATATCATATTATCCATAAGGTATGGAGGCTGCTTTGAAAATGTTCTTCAAGTCCATTTTGGGAAATATTATGTTGTCTAAAAGTACATTATACTTCAGTTACATATAGGCATAATATTGTTGTTGTCCCAGTTGTTTGCATACTTCTAAAGGTGTAAAGTATGTATTATAAACTTAAGTCCACTTGAAATATAATGTAGCTTTTTAATGCAGTAATTATAGACCAAATTTGTTGTGGGTACAATAAAATGTGCTCTTCAGCTCCTACGCCTGCTTTGTATAAAATAGTTTGTTGTGGATTATATAGCAAAATAAATACAATTATTTTCTCAATATTACTATCATCCATGGCACACTAAATATAGCATTGTGTTTCTGCCTTTTAAGTTATCTTTATCTGCACATCATAATGGGGACTGAACAATAGGAGGAATGGGTGGGGAAAGATCTCAGATCACCTGTGGCTTAGAGCCAATATTAGTTAAGCCTGCAAGGTAGAGGAATAGAATTGTAAGCAAATAATAATAATGCTGTTTTTATGTTTTATTTTGTTTTGTTTATAAGATTCTCAGTATCTGAAATATCCATTGTTATTTCACTTCATTGATAATGTCTTTATTTTGTCTCTTAAATATGCGCTAATATAACTTCTGGTGGATGTTCACTGTCTCATGGGGATGCTATTTTTGTCTGGAATGTTCCACTGTACAGGATTAAAACTTTTATTACCTTACAGGTGTTTCTATTACTCAGAAAAAAATTGCCTATAAAGTACCATTTTTACTGTGAGTGGGGCCTCTCTGACCTGTATCTCAACCTGGTGCTGTCACCTGCTCATGTGGAGTCAAATCATTTTTATTCCAAACTGTGGAACATTTCAGGTAAACCAATAATTTCTCAATGGAGACTAGATACTACAGTACAACTGAATCTGTTGTGCCTAAACCTGCAGACAGAGGATGCATACAAGTTTTTCTCAGTATATGGACTGGCCATGCCTCATGTGAAAGCTCAGAATCTACAGAATTCCCTCCCTGAGCTGCAGAGGCTGCACTAGCACTGACTCATGACTGGCTGCAGTCTCTGGGGTTTAGCTAGTGACCATTCAGATCAGAGTCCTTTTAAGTTTAAACCCCACTGGATTTCAACATTGAAATTGGCAACACAAATGAGAGAGTGAGACTGAGTCTGCTTTCTGATTGTTTCATCATTTTGACAACGAAAACACCAAATCATAAATAAATGGGACATGATGTTGGATATTTTTGTATATCAAATCAACATGTACTATTACAAAAGTTAATTAAAAAAGTTAAATAAAAATCGCATATAGACCTACAGTTCCTTCATATCAATAAAACACCTGATGATTAAATGCAAATATATAGGCAAAGTAGATAGCATCCAGTGGTGTTATGGGGGAATGCAACATGGAGAGTCGGTCAGTCTAATCTATGGATCTATAAAAATAATCTAATCACGGACGGTATTTTAAAAAAAGGGGGTAGCTTTAAGACGGCCTGAGTTACCTCGCACCGACAGGAGGCGGCAGTAAAGCAGTTCTTCACACTGGACCCTGAGAAGAAGAAACAGCATGGCCGCCTCCTGAAGGATGTTTTCTGACACAAGACTCGGGTCAACCACAATCAGCTGTTGTTTAAGCTCCAGAATAGTGTAACTCCTCTCGTATGAGACATGTTTCCAGAGGCGACGCGGTGCCTGAGAGCTGCGGGCATAGGGTGGACTAAAGCCGGGTTGTTGGGGGAGGCGAGGCCGCTGACAGCACATGGATCCTCCCGCAGACACTTCAGCCTCCACCGCCGCCTCGCAGCCCGGGCACCTCCGCCTAAATCGCCCCGGGAGAAAGTGCACATCCCCGGCCTGGAGATGATCACGTACGCCGACAGGATGCACTTTGTCCCCGGGCTGGCCAAACCGGAGAGGCAGGAGTGGAAGAGGGAGCACAAGGACCCGCACCAGTACCGCAGCCCGCCGCTCAGTGACATGCCCCTGCGGAAAGACCAGCCGTGCTACCTGTTTCACCAGAGGACCAACGCCTTGGAAGGTACACTCGATCTACTGGTGGTTAGTCTTAGTAGTAGTAGTAGTTTATTCGGTCATTTTTACAGCACTACAAAACAAAAACAAAACAAAACATAGACTACAACCCCCTGGATCGTGACCGAAAAGGTTTAGGCTGAAGTAAAAGCACTTATAATACCTAACTATTTAACAATGACAGAATACCAAGAAAGAAAAGCAGCATATGAACAGCAAGTTTGCATTTACAATTTCACTTGCGAGTTACTGTGTATGTAAGAGACAAAATATAAATTAAAACCAACAAAATTTAATGCAAAATTCATTCATTCCAGAGCTCTATATCTTTCAAAACATAATGCTTTATACACTTTTTAAAGGCTTCTGCAGTGTTAGACTTTTTTTGTTTGTTTGTTTAATCAGCACACAGGGTGTTCCATATACTACTAACCCCTCTAACAGAAATACAGTCTCTTTTTTCTTAGTTCTTATCATCATTTTTTAAAAGATACCTTTTTTATGGTCATACAAACTAATAATGATGTTAACAAAGGCACAAATGTTTATCGTTTATGAGCGTACAAAATAAACCACAATGAGATGGTTTTCAGATTCTAGGAAGAGATGATGTCATTCTCTCATATGGGTGGGACTGAAGTAAATCTAGACTTAGACAAACTTTACTGATCGACTAGGGAATTTATTTGGACACAGTAGCTCACACATCACAATCTAATACAATGCGCAAAAATATAAATGGTTATAATAAAAAATAAGTAGCAAAAAAGATAGCAAGAGACTGAAACATAATTATAAATATATATGTACAGGTTAAAAATAAAATAAAATAAACAAATACGTAATAATATATAAAATCTCAGCTATATAGTCAGAGAGCAAGTTTGTGGATAGAGTAAAGTGAAAATGCTATTTTTCTGAATTGGATACTGTCCCCTTAAGTATCCAATAATTAAAATATAATGTAATAATAATAAAGTGATGCAGACACTTCTGTTTTATAGAGATGTTCAATAGGAAACTAAACTACACATTGAAAAATTAAAAAGGACCCCCACCTTACTACATGAACTCAACAGGTTTCAACTAAAACCTTTGAAAAAATTCAACTTCCCTCAAGTGAATCTTTTGCATCTCCTTCATTTAAACGTGTTGACATTTTGTTTTCATGTATTCCCAGGTGTACCGCAGGCCTTATGGCTGACCAAAACCAAGCTCATTGATGGTCTGCCTCCTCGGCTGCTCTCATTGGCCCAGGATCCAGCCAATCAGATCCCAGATCAGGATGAGCGAGTAAAGAACGCCATCAAACACGCTCGCTTCTGGGACACGACTGAACCCAAACCTGTCCGGGAAAGATACAGGTAACATACTGTGTAATACTGTTTAATAGTCAGTACATTTTATAAATATTGGCATCCTTGACACAAATGGGCATAGAGGGCTCTTAAAGTATTATTTATTATTTATCTTTTGGGTACCTTTTTTGCACCTTTTATATTCACCAGTGGTGAACTCTTTAACTTTTTTAAATTATGTCAACGTCTGAATGTATATAGCTTTCTGGAGGTGGAACGTCATCTGCATCATTCCATGGATATAGAAAGTTAAAACCATACTTTGGAACATTCTCCATGAAAATAGATACATTTATGCCATAATATGAAATATTATAGCCAGAGAAACAATGGAAACAAGCAAGAGGAAGCTCTCCTCCAGGCTAAATGAGAGTGAGGTTTGTGGAGATGCAAGCCCTTTCACAATAACAATGCATGTTTTTCTTTGTTTTTCAGTACAATAAAAATAAAAACATCCATAATGAAAAAAACATACTTTCATTTTTAGCAAAAAAGTTACATAGTTAAGCTAACATTATGGTTTAGAACATGGGTTTACTGGAATAGAGTTATTTTACTGTGGTTACTGGCTTAAACTAGTTTCAGTATTAGTGTTTATTGTAATATATTTCCTGTAGTAATTGCACATGCTGTTTTCGCTCTGCTCATGTGAAGACTGGACCATTGTTTTGTTTTGTCTTCAGTAAAGTCCTGCTCCAGAACCTGCTCCACCTGTGTGCGAGTCTGCAGCCCACTCATCCCGCGCTCGGACGCAGGATCCTCGCAGAACAGCACTCTCTGGCAGCCACCTGGAAAAGAGGTACCACATCAATGTTAAAAAAAACTGTTATATAACTGTTATTAAAGTCTGATATCGGCATAGCAAATAGACGAGAGGTGTAACTTTTTAACCCAAAAATGGACATAGACATTACAAATATTCAATAATGGAGAACTATGGTTTTAACTTCCTATGTTATTTTTATTGATAAAATTGTGAATGTTGTACATACATATACATACTGTATGTGTAAGCATTGGTTCATTAATTATGTCAAAATCTCAAAATTTGGCAAGAACTGATTAAAAATAAAAATGCAACTGGTGCCTTTAAATGAGGATATAAATTGATAGTTCTATGCTTTTTAACTAATATCAGCATAGCAAATAGGCAGAGGCTTAAAGACCCACTGTGTATGTCTAAAAACAGACATAGACAATACATATATTCTATAATAGAGTCTGGTTTTAACTTCCGATCTTCATGGTTTCAGGCTTTGTTTGTTTTTTACCAGGAAAAATATTAAGAAAATTTGCTGACACATTTTTGGTCTGAGTATACGTGTGTAATAATTGGTTCATTATTTATATGAAAAAATTTGATGTTATAATCTTTCAAACAAATATAAATTTATATTTCTGAACTTTTGAAAAAACTATAATATAAAAATTAATGCAGGATATTAATGCAGGATACTATAAAAACATTAAGATATATCGTTTTGTAAGTATACTCTCTTTCGCTACTGTTGACACACTTGTGTGTAATGTGTGGTGTTTTTCTCCAGGAGAGGACCTGTTTCAGATCCGAGGGCTGAATGGTCTCCTGTACACCAGCATGGACCCTCTACCGGTGCAGTCTGAGCTCCAGGACGTAGAGGGCAGCAGAGAACATGTTCTGGAGTCATTCTACCCTGTGTCCCCCACCATCGACCTGCAGCAAGTCAACGTCTACCACCACGAAAAGAACTCCACAGGTAACTTTAACATTTAAGACTATTTGTTTTGTTAAAGGTGCACTATGTTACTTTTGTGCTGTCACCTGCTTGTCTCCATGGATATGTTATTTCTTAGCCTGGAATGTTCCACAATATGGCATTATTCATACCTGTTGAGCATATACTCAGTCACAGCACAGTGTTTTATTTCTAAAAATGCCTTGAAAAGCTCACTGCTCAATGCTAATTTCAGTGCCTCAAGAAAAATAAACAATCTTTTTGAAGAACATAAGACACGTTGATGTACTGTTATTATACAGTACACAAAATAAACTCTTTCTTGTGTTCCTTCCATGTGACTGCAGGTTTCCGGGAGGGCTACCCATTTCCCCATGCCCACACGCTCTTCTTCTATGACCAGAAGAACCAGCGCTCCTCCCTGCAGCCGGACCAGTTCAGAGCCAAGATGGTCATGTTTGCGTTCGGAAATGCCTTGGCACGCGCCCACCTTCAGTATGGGGTGAGCACAGAGCACATGGGGCTCAGAGAGGGTCAAGGCTGTGGGAGATTAATAAAAAGATGTTAATTTATTTTACAAAAGAAAAAGTTTTAAAGCAAAAGCATCTGCTGCCACCTTCTGGCTGATATCATAAGTACAATAAAAAAATAAGTAAACATGATTGATGAACTGAAATTCCTGCTGCTTAATAACAAATGAAAATTTTATAATTCAATAATTCCTAATAAATGTATATAACACATATACACCACATATACATACACACAAGGCCACACACTACACAGTTAATGTAACATTTTTGGAAAAAAAAAAAAGGCAAAAATAAAAGTATGTTTTTAAATTTTGGTTGTATTTATATTTATTGCATTGAAAAATGTAGACTCCTTACTGTGAACCTGCTTCTAGCCTGGAAAAAAATTATCTATCTCCATTGAGAATATTCCACAGTATTCCACCTCCAGAAAGTTCCATACTATCTCTTTAAACTCACTTAGTTTCCTCTGTTTTTGCCAGACGGAGCCCCAGACCATGCTGGAGCACCCGATAGTGGTCCAGGCTGTGGGCACCAACGGACGCTACTTCCACTTCCTGGTTTTCCAGCTCAACACCACGAACCTGTCAGAGGACAGCGGGGTCAAGAACTTGGTCAGACCTCTTCTGTCTCTCTCTGTGGCAGTAGCTTCAGCCTGAGTTCCTCCTATTTATATCTGTCTTTATGCTGTACTTGTGTTTCTCCAGGTGTGGCTGGATAAGGACCAGGAGCTGTACGAATATGCAAAAGTGAGACCAGTCATCAAGAAGAAGCAAGTTGAGGTACCTTTGAGTTCTGAGAGCATGCATCAGTACCATTTTCATTTAATTTTATAGAATAGCATTTTTGTTTGTAGAATTTGCATAGAATAGTGAACAAATTATCTTCAAAGGTGCATTGTGTAATTTTTTTGGTGGAGCCTGTGAAGTAGTTTTCTCCATGGAGATGCTATTGCTTTGTCTGTGTTGTTTCACATTATGGCTGTGCTAGGGACAAAGGAAAGTAACATAAAGAAGATGTGATGTAAATTAAGTGGCTTTTATAAAGTAAATGTAAGTACAATACAAAAAATAGGGGTTTTACATAAGATAATAAATCCAAAATTATCAGTACAACTAAACAATAACTCTAAATGTATAAGGCTAAATCAAAAGGAAAATACAAATGCCCAAGGGCCAAGCCAAACTGGCAATCACAATCAATAGGTCGGCAATCACCTCTAATGTCTCAAATACATATTAAACAATTAACAGGCAGGAGGCAACGAGGAAACCAAAGCCAGCACAGCAGACAGGGACATACCCCACCAATCAGCTCTTAGGACTCACACAACACATGCAAATAATGAAAAGGCACAAGCGGTAAAACGAACTGAGAATGCAGGGCGAGGTGGACCCAGGCCGCGTGCTGTAACAATGTCATTAAACATTTCTGTGTTCATGAGAGAAAACAGACCAACTTACAGGTCAGATCTGTGGACAGGCAACCCTGATCACATTTAGAATGCCTGTTTTTCTTGGTATTTTTTTTGTTATGAAAGCACCTGCAATTGAATAAATGTAAGATAGAGCTGTTTAAAATTATATTGTGAAACATTCCAGGCCGAGCAATGACATATTCGTAGAAACAAGCAGATGACAGACCCCCAACCAAAAAGTTACATATTGGACCTTTTAATACTTCATATTATGTTACTCGTTAAATAGTAATAGTAAATAGTGTTAGTAAAAATATTGATCCAAGTAATTGCTTACTAATAATTACTACAAACATGGTGAATATTATAGCCAGGTTTTAGTTTTGATGTCATTAAAATGTAGAGGAATAAAGAATTGACAAATAAATGAAATTTTAAATAATATTTCCAAATAGACACTTGTATATTTAATCATAATGTGAAGGACAAAACATCTTTACTCAAGTACTTTTATTTTAGGGCTGGTTCATATGGATTTTTGAGGCCACACCAGTATCAGTTTTGCTGCTGTGGTTGATAACCAAATATTGTTGATAATGATATTAAGGTTTCATAATAAAGAGGACCACACATTTATGTTGAGTTATTCTGGTAAAGTTCACAGATTAATTTATGTAAAAAGAATAACAAAATGTTTTTTCTCTTGAATATAGAATAGTTTGTTGCATTATTGAGTTAACAGACTTTAGTTTTAGTCTAACTGCTCTTCTGTTTACATTTTCACTCTTGAATAGGCTATGATAGATTAACTATATTTTTTCATGCTCAGTTTTTATTGCATGTACCTTTTCTTTGTACTGGTGGGGGAATATTTCTTAATTCTTTGTACTATTAAGCCAATATCTTGACATTTGAGTTGTAGACGGTCCAAGAATTAACATATGACAGATTATAGACACTACAGCAAACCACTGTGGTGCTTCATTGTATTAGTTATATATTGCTGGCCACATTATGTTTCATAGAATTAATTTAGAAAAGGGTTTACTGCAATTATCCTGCTTTACTTTATATCACTTTCACAATAACTATATCATAAATGTATTTCAATATTTGTTATTGTGACAGACCTCTCATGAGTCTGTTCAAAAAGAAATATCTGATCTGAGGCACATACAGACCTCTGATATACATTTTGTTTTGTTTTTGTTTGCAGGTCCCGGCTGGACTGGCAGGATACAACCCAGAGATCTTTCAGAAGTTCCTGTCTCTGTATCTGAATGGAGCTGTGTAGAACTGTGCCCACTCCACATAAAGGACAATTCTAAAACTTTTATACAACAAACCAACTAACCAACAGACAAGGCAGGTAGAACGCCCCAAACCTCTGGGTCAATACATGGACTGAAAGTAGAGTTACTGTGTATGAGGTCGGTCAATAAACACATTTTGAAATACAAATATGCTGTTTTTGTGAACATTTGATTTGCAGAGGTGAGTAGAGTATCCAAAAATTTTACTCAAGGATAACATGACTTCAAAATAATATTACTTTAGCAGAGGTAAAGTAGTAGTGGTACAAGAAATTACCGTACTCAAGTAAGAGTAAAAAGGCATTTGGGAAAACTATGACTCAAGTAACTTCAGGAGTAATTGTCAGGATGTAACATTTGATTTATAATTTGAAGTTAATGTAAATAATGCACAAAATCTGTTGTTTTCAAAGGACAGACAAAAAAATGAGCAAAACTAAAACAAACCTCTGTTTTAGTTTTTTGTTTTTAGTTTTTTAGGTTAGGTTTATAACAGATATAAAGCTTTTGTCTGTTATAGACTTCCTCACAGAGTAACCTAAAATTTTACACTTTTTTTTTAACTAAATTTAAAGGTGTGCTGTGTAACTTTTTGGTTTGAGTCTTCACATTCTTTTTTGGCATATGTCATTATTTTACTGTACAAATGCTACCTTACATTTATTCAGTTACAGGTGGTTTTATGACTAAAAAATACTTTAAAAAAAAAAAACAGGCATTGTGACTGTGTGCGGGGTTACCTCTTCACAGATCTGACCTGTTACTTGGTCTGGTTTGGTCTAGAAAGGTTTAATACCATACTGTCAAACTTTCCAGACAAAGCAATAACATCTCCATGAAGAAAAGCATTTGATAGACACTCCTCCAAAAAAGTTACACAATGCACCTTTAAGTATGAGTACTTCAATAAAAATATTACTCAAGTAGGTGTAAAAGTATGTACTTTTCAGAGTACTTTTCTAGCAGCAATTTCTTCCACAAAAATAACTGAGCACTATCCTTCTCTGAATATTTGTCCATGTAGTTACATGAGTTTAGTGATTATTTAATAAAAAAGGAAGTCTTGGGACAAAAATTACTTGACGTCAGCAAAATCTTGGCATTTTGGATTTTATTTCACAATTGTCTGTTTCAAAATGGTTTCTGTTTACTGAATCAATCAACCTCACATATTTGCTCAAATTATTCTTGAAATGTTAACTTTAAATTTGCAAGCAGTTGTCAGTGAGTATGAGTTCTGAAAATGGTCTGAGAAAGAATACATTCCAGAAGTAAGTTGCTATTTTCTTTTGTTTTATTGCTTCACACCTTGTTTATTGCCATTGCCAGAGGCTATACAGTGTGCATAATAAACACTGCAGACTCAAAATGCATTCAAGATAAGAGCCTATATACAAGAAATAAATACAATTTAACTAAAATAATAATAAGCATATGTATTATAGCTTATAAAACTCTTTTTGTTTGTTTGTTTGTTTGTTTTTTTTTTCTTTAATTCAGAATACAATCATGAAAAATCGAATGGGTTAGCAAAACCAGCCAAAATTTACTCAAAATTTCGTACTTTAATATTTTCCCCAAATCAAAACATCATAAACATTTACATTTTGATTTCATCAATCCATTTTTAAATTATAACACAATAATGCACACATATTTCCAGACTGCAAAATATAGAGTGCTTTTATCGTGAAAATCTCAAACCGGAAGTTTGATTTGACAATTACATTTATTTCGGAACACTCCCCGTGTGTTTTCAGAAGTGCAGTTGCCGTCAACCAGGTTTGTTTTTTATGTTTTATGCATGCATTTACAGCTTTAGCAAAGGGTTCGGTTTGGACTTAGACTTTTGGGAGTTTTAATGACAGATTAAATCGTTTTGGTTGCGAGTTTACATCGCGTCACTTTGCAACATCCATAACTTATGCAAACTGTCGTAAAACAAAAGAAACACAACAAGACATGTGAATGAAAAAAATGTAAGCTTTTAATCGTGTTTCTTCAGGAATTCTTTTTTTTAAATTATTTAATGTATTATAAAAAAAAAAGGGTGCATCTCTTTTTCCTAATATTGACACTTTGCATTGACAGCACGTCGGGGGTGTTCTGCATGTGTGTTTATGGAGGAATGTTCAGCAGTTACCCTGGTGACACAATGCACACATTAGGAAACACTGTCAAAAAGTTTTAAGATGATCTGAAAACTCAAAAAATAAAACTTTTGTCACTTGTAGACAGTGGCTGAAGGTAGAAAAGTAATAGTACAATGCTTAAGTGCAAATTTAAGTATCTGTATTTTATACTTAAGTTTATTTTATAGTGGATAATTTTTACTTTTACTTCACAACATTTGAGAGCAGGTATCTGTACTTTCTACTCCACAACATTTTAGTTATGCACTGAATAGTAAAAAGCACTTTTCTTTGTGGTGTTAGTGTGAGTTGCTCAAATGACAGAGACTTATTTTTAGCAGATTTTTAGTAGATTTAAGCAGAGTTTCTGTCGCAAATTTGAGCAAACCAAACACACAAAAACAAAAAATACTGAATCACTTAAACTCAGCTAAATTCTTTATCAAAATCACTACATTTCATCCTTTAATTGTCCCTTTCTACTCTTTAAGTAAATTTTTAAACAGGTACTTTAATACTTTTACCTAAGTATATTTTACATGTGATACTTTCACTTGAGTGATACATGTGATACTTTTACTTTTTTACTTGAGTAACTTTTTGCCCCTGTATCTGTACATTCATTTAAAGATGCATTGTGCATCTTTTCTGGTGGAGGGTCTGTCAAAAGCTTTTCTCCATGGAGATGTTATTACTTTGTCTGGAATGTTCCACAGTGTGGCATTAAACATTTCTATCTTCATGGAGACCAAACCAGAACAAGATCAGATCTGTGGAGAGGTGACCCCCCTCACAGTCACAATGCCTGTTTTTCTAGGCATTTTTGAGCTATAAAACCTCCTGTACTTGAATAAATGTAAGGTAGAGCTGTTTAATGTCATACTGTGGAACATTCCAGACAGAGCAATGACATATCCATAGAAAAGTTACACAGTGCACCTTTTAAGTAAGTTTTAAGCAAAGCTTTTATTGCAGCATTTCTCTGTAGCAATATGTGTAATGTGTAATATGAAGAGCTACTGGGATAGCCCTATATACATTTAATCATTCTTTCATGTCTTCGTGCAGAATCGGCAATAGAGATGAGCGCTCTTACTCCAGACGTGGACAAAGACCCAAAGGAGGAAGAGGAGGAGAAGGAGGAAGAGGAGGGGGGCTGTCTGAACCCCACAGTGGTGAAGATGAGTCAGATCGTGATGCCCTGTCACTGTAACCCCAGACAGGAGCTCAGTGTGGGGCAGCTGCTCAAGTGGATGGACTCTACGGCCTGTCTCTCCGGTAAGACATTTATACACGTACATTCACTATTGTTTTTTATTTATTATTTATTACTTATCAAGCCATGTCCACTTTTGCCTGTAAATGCTCTAAACCTTACTGTCTTCTGGCCAAGTGGGAATCAGCGGGGAGTGAAAACAAACTGACTGAAGGTGCATATGAGTTTCTAAGCGGTGCGAAGAGTTATGATTTAACCTGATTTAACCTTATATTGAAGGTGCAAACATCTTAAAATTTGCAACCTTTTGCACCCCTGTAGACCTGGGCCTGGCAGGAATCATTTGGGAAAACTTTTGCTGACAAAATATGATATAGAATAGGTTCATTTGTTGTGCAAATGTAAAATGTGCACCAACAACGATTCTGTGGAAAGCTTAAAAATAGCATTTTGCATAGGCAAAATATGCAAAATAATCTATCCTGAATGACAATGGCGGCACTCATCGCATCTTCCAGAATAAGGTGAATATGTGGCAAATTTTTCCCCCTTTTGTTTTTTAGGGACAGAGAAGAACTTCATGCCAGTTTTTGTTTCATGGGGATAGGCCCAGTAATTACAGAGATATGAGAGATAGATCAAAAAGAGAAAAAAATCTTTAGAATGGGGAAAAGGAGAATGGAGAACATAGAATGGAAATAGAGGGGAATAGGTAGAACTGTGTTTAACGTTGGAAAAACATTTACATGCGAGTAGTAGCTGAGTATATTGGATTTATAGGCAATTTAACTACTGAACTATGTACAATCAAAACTTAAAATAACAAAAGAAGGTTGTGTAAAACTGACTTGAATAGACTTGTTTGTTTTGCTTTTCCAGCTGAGCGGCATGCTGGGAGTCCGTGTGTCACTGCCTCCATGGACGACATCCATTTTGAGCACACCATCAGGTATGAGCTGTGAGTGAGTGAGTCTGCACCATCTGTGGAGCTGAAGTAACAACTCTGAAAATGTGGAGTACAATAATAAACTACAGATTATTTGTCAAATCAGTCATTTCAAGATTTAAAACACTTTTACGTGATTGTAATAATGATATTTGCCTATTAAACTCAAGCAGAAGGGTAGGGCCACAGTAGTTCAGTTGGTAGAGTGTTTGATCTGAAGGTTGGCTCTCGACAGAAACATCATTGGTTGAGCGATCAGATCCACTGACCCACAGGTTGGCGGTGTGATTCCAGCTCCCACAGATGAATGCTGTTGTGTTCTTGGCAAGACTCTTAACCTATCTCGCCCCTAGTGTCTGTGTACACTGCTGTATGAATGTGTGTGTGTCCAGTTTTATATTTTATTATTTATTTGATTTAATCACCACAGCATTGAAACATCCACTTTTGTACTCCACTTTTCTTATTTGATCAAACGGATACCACTAATGTACATGTATTTAATTTATTATTATTTGTTTACTTAAAATTTGTTCAAATCTGGTTAAAAGACGTGTTTAAAACTGATCCTTCTAGATTGTGCAGTCACAGTGTGTACCGCTAACATGTGTCCTCGTGTCTAATGTGCTTGTGCAGTGTGGGGCAAGTCGTCAACATCAGGGCCAAAGTCAACAGAGCCTTCAACACCAGCATGGAGGTCAGACTCAATGTAGTGTTCTTAATACAGCTCAGTAAACAGAAGATAAAATGTAACAGGGGAGAAATTCACTTGTCATGGCAGCTGTTATTAATGTCTTTACACACTGAAGTGCAGAGAGAATTTGTTATAAACATTAAAGGCACTGTACCAGATTTTTTATTGTATAAAAAAGTGAAAAACATCTGGTTCATTTGCAACTGCATATGACAGGTTCTGGTGATTCTCAAATTTTAACTTGTTAGGATAATACCTGTTGGAAATATAAATGAGAGTTTTAGACTGATTAAGAAGCAATTTGTGAAGAAAAGTTGAAAAATATGTTTGGGTGAGGGTTCTATTTCAGAGAGTTCCACATTGATGGCATCACAGTAGGAAGAGTTGTGTACAAAAATGTTTAATAATTTACACACTAGAAACATATTTTTCTGTTACTTTAAACATAATTTCAACAAAATGAGGGTGTTTTGTTATATTTTTATTTGGCAAATAGTATTAATCTCTCGTTTAAGGCGTTTTGGCATAGTGTACAATATGGTTGCTAGGTAACAGCCATGGAGTTCCCTACTGTGATGTCACTATTTCCAACGAGGAAGTCAAGTTTGAAACCTAAAAAAATTGCCAAACTGGGAAAAAATGTATACATTAAAAAAAAAAAAAACTTAAATACAATGATCTTACATGTGTTTTAGTAAAATGAGTAGTCCAACCTGTCATAAGCACTTTAAATGGATTCCAATAACCTGTCTCATGGTACATTGATATGTGTGTCAGTCTGACACACATTTGTTGATGTTGCTTTTAAGATAAGAATAAAGAGATCTGCAAGAAATAATTCTAAAATAAATAAATAAAACTAAAATCTGTGCTATTTGTGGAGGTGGGCATCCATGTGAGCTGTGAGGACCTGTACCTGGACCAGCACTGGAGAGTCTGCCACGCCTACGCCACCTTCGTCACACAGCGCACAAAAGCTGGAAAAAAGGTGCTCTCTTCAGACTCCTCAGCACATTTATTTATACTTTTCCAGAGCAGGGGGGTTTAGACAGTACTAACATGGCTGCTCCGGTCACATTTAAAAAGCCCATATTACATTATGGTTCTAATGTAGTTTCTTCATGACAAACATACCTGGTGTTGTTTTGTTCACTCACACATATTTAACACACAAATCCTGCATATTTGGGCTGAGTTTTTTCTCAACCAGAAATACTCCTTACAATGTTATGATTAGTGCTGTCATGCGATAAAAAAATTTGAGAGATTAATTAATTATGATCTGTAATTAATTAATCTAATTAATCTCATTTTAATCTCACCTAAAAATTGCTGAGAAAAGCCTTCAATTTGAGGTATTTTCATTTAAATTCATTATTACATTATTGTGGCAGATCAAAAGACTGATATAGAACAAAAAAAAGTGACTTTATAAAGTCATTTATTGTTTAACAAATCTCTCCAAATTGGCTGTTGAGCCCAAGTCTCCATGAATAAGAAACTGTTTGCTGTAAAGTAGCAAAGACGAGGAAATCTGAACATAATAACTTTTGTCTACTTAAAGACAATAAAAAGTCCAGTCTTTCCTTAACCATATGAAAAATATTATTGATAGAGAAATGCTTTATATATGAGATCACTGGTTTTAGTCCTTGTTTTAGTCCTGGTTTAGACCTGCTTTAGTCCTACTTTAGTCCTAGTTTAGTCCTGGAATGGATTAATCCTGGTTTTAGTCCTGGTGTTAGTTGTTCTGGTTTAGTCCTGGTTTAGTCCTGGTTTTAGTTCTGGTTTAGTCCTGGTTTTAGTTCTGGTTTAGTCCTGGCTTAGTCCTGGTTTAGTCCTGGACTGAATTAGTCCTGGTTTTAGTCTTGGTGTTAGTTCTGGTTTAGAGGCGCACAGGAGGAAGCGCGGTTTACGCAGCGTACGCGAGAAAACACGATCCACACGCGGCTCACGGGAGCACGTCGGTGTCCGCGCAGCGTCTACGGAAGGAAACGTGGTCCGCGCGTTCTCAGGTTAATGACGATGATGAAGGTGTGTGTTTGTGTGTGTTTGTTTGTTTGTGTTTGTGTGTGTTTGTGTATAGGACAGTAGTGCAGACATCATGAGCCTATGCAGGTTGTTTTCACCAGTGACATTTAAGTTGTAGGCGATATTATATTTGTTATTTTCTTTTATATTTCACATCGGAGAATAATTTCCAAGACACGAATACGTTTTTACCTGTGCACTGCTGCCTCTGTTCTACTGGCTCTTCGACCTCGTCCACTGTGCGACTGACGCCGTAAACGTCGCTCTTAATGCGCGTGTTTTGTGTGGGTTTCCGGCAATGAGAGGAATTGCCGAAATTAAAAAATGTATAAATGTGTTTTTTGTTTGTGCGTGTGTGTGTTGTTGTCCCAAACAACACATAAAAACAGGTTTTATAATAAAGAAACTCACATACAGAAACACTAAAGTTAGAGATTAAAAATGAGATTAACGCGATTAAAAAACATAACGCGCTAAATATGACTGTAATTAATTAATCGCAATTAACGCGATAATTTGACACCCCTAGTTATGATATTGCCTAAACTCCATATACCTTCACTAGAATCATTTGGATCATTTCAGCCCTGGAATTGCCAGTCTCTGCTAAAGGTAAAAAAGGTAAATGGTAGCTGTTAACTTAAAAACTACTTTCATGACATCACAAGGTGGAACAGGGCATTTGAGCTTTTGGATATGTAGACAGACTAATGATAAAGGGTTACACAAACGTGTTGAGAAGGCACCAGCATTCTAACATGACATAAAGCTAACAAGAGAAGATTTTGTGTAATATAGGACCTTTAAGTGTGTTTTAACAGTACTAACATGGCTGCTGTGCTCAGGTGATGCTGAAGCCATTGCCCCCGTGCACTCACACTGAGCACCTGGAGTACAGTCTGGCCGCAGAGCGACGCAGGGTCAGGATGCTCCACGATGACATCATCAGAGACCTGCTCGCCAGCCGGGCCGTGGAGCCGGGTGAGACAACTAAAAAAACATCTTTAAAGTAGTGTGGTCACAATATAGAAATACTAGAAATACTCAGCATAAAATAGAGGGGTTAAATAGAGGGGTTATTGTGCTTTTTGATTCTGTCCAATACTCTGCCCACAAGCTTACATCACCCATGCACCTACATGACAATTTTCCATAAATGTACAAAAACATGATACAAAACTATACACAACAACTTCACAAAACTGATATGATGTGCAGGAGTAAAGGGTAAATGGACTTTAATACATGTTTTCTGTGAATATATAATTTGCAAAACAATAAAAGGTAACATAGTGATCTAAATATGTGATGTGTTAGCAATTAATACCCCATGGAAGTGTAAAACCCTCTTTAAAGTGTAATGCTGTTGATGTCCTACAGGTGGCAGTGTGGTGGAGAAGGCTGTGTCTGCTGTGAAAACCAGAGTGGAGAGTGTGGAACTAGTGCTGCCTCCTCACGCTAACCACCAGGTCTGAGCCTCTGTCCCTCTCTACAGGGTCGTGTGTTCAGTAAGTTCAGTCTCCAGTGTTGTGTTGTGTTTTCAGGTCAACACATTTGGAGGACAGATCATGGCCTGGATGGTTAATGTGGCCACTATAGCTGCCAGGTATCAAGACACAACCTCTTGCACGGTGATGTACACCTGATTTTAAAGGAGACATATTGTGTAAATTTAACTTTTCAGAGTTTTAAACCATGGCATAATTGTTTTACGTTCTCATTTACCCACTCGAAGTTGTATGCGGATACACATTTTTTGGCAGCATTGCGTATGAATTTTGGCACAAATTTATAAAAGCATGATCTGCTTTTTGTTTCAATGACATTTAGAGTGATGTATTGCAATCACCACCACCACACTTTTCAACCCAGAAATTACTGGACCCGTTTCTTTGATTAAGTTATTTAATATTAAATCTTCAAACTATAAACTAGTGATCCACAGGTGTCATAGATTATTACTGTAAAGCAGACACAAGCATAAAATGTTTTCTTTAATACAACTCAAATTAATGCAGTAAATGTCACTTACAAACATATTTTAAACCTATTTTATTAAGAGCCTTAGCAATATTACAATTAACACAACAAAGATTTGGAGTTGCATAGTTCACTTTCATCTGCATTCGCACCTTTAATAGACAGACATACCTTTTGTATAACAGAGCATATAGAAGCAATAACTATTTACATTATCCTTCTGTTTCATTTAATAATATTAATATTGTAATAACTGTAATGAGTATAACATGTGAGTTTTGTGTGTTCCTGTGGCAGTCGTTTGTGCCAGGCTCACCCTACTCTGCGTGGCATAGACATGTTCAAGTTTCGGGGCCCCTCACAGGTTGGAGACCGTCTGCTGCTGAGTGCCATTGTCAACAACGCCTTTAAGAACAGGTTGCGGCCCTGTAACCTGCCCACAGTGAGCTTTATTTATACACACTTTTATTTATACTCGATGTGCCCCTGCAGTATGGAGGTGGGGGTCAGAGCTGAGGCCTATCAGGCGGAGGGGCCTAACAGACACATAAACTCCGCTTTCATGATTTTCGAGGTCCTGGACAAAGACGGGAAACCCTGTCTATTACCACGGATAAGGCCAGAACCTGTGGTCAGTCTGATTGTTGCTCTAAAATGCTGTGCTCTGTGTTTGTGCTATAAAAAGAACATTCGATTTGTACAGTGCTTTTTTGGACACAAGTGCTTTACACTGCATTATTCATTCACTCCTATTGTAGACACAGCTGCCCTGAGGCAGACTGATGGAAGCAAGGCTGCCAATCTGTGTCATCAGCCCCTCCACCCACCACCAACATTCACACACATCACATTCATACTAGGCAATGTGGATGAACTGCCTTGCCTAAGAACACAACACAACAACAGTTTTGCCACTAACCCAACCAAGTACTAACCAGGCCCAGCCCTGCTTAGCTTCTGAGATCTGATGAGATCAGGCTTTGACAAAGAAGTATGTACCACCTGTTCTGTCCCCTCAGGAGGGACAAGAGGCGCTTTGAGGAGGCCATCGCCCGCAAGAAGATCCGTCTGGACAGGTACATCTGCTGTTCGTGGGACATATCAGTTATAACTGATCCTAAAGGACTGTACTCTCCTGTGTTCTAGAAAATACATCATCTCTCGTCAGCAGGCCGAGGTGCCACTGTCAGTGCCCTGGGACCCCACAAACCAGGTCAGACCTCAGACTGAAATACAGATTTACATTCACAGTTAGGACCATCAGATTTTCACAGATTTTTTTGCTCTCCAAATGACATGAAACAACACCTCACAGTAACTTTTCATACAAAACTGAGCCAGATCCACACATGTAAAATGATCATATGTTAGTGATCTTATAGTTGTTGCACGACTCTATGCACTATCTAAATCTAATCTGAACCAGGCCATAAGATATAATGTTGTGATTTCTGATTAATATCTGACTCAATGCATAGAGGGAGAGGCTGGAGAGGTGGACAAAGGTCTGTGGGTTATTCATTCACTGAAACATCCGGAGTCCAGTTTATTCCTTCAGTTTAAAAGCTTTTTCTTAGATAGGGGCAGCACTCTGTACAGCGGTTAGCACTCTCACCTCACAACAGGAAGGTCCTGGGTCGACTTCTGTGTGGAGTGCACATGTCCTCCTTGTGCCCAGGTTCTAGTTTCCCCTACCAGTGTAATGTATATACAATGACCTCCCCCTCTGTGCTAGGATTGCTCAGGAAAAGAAGGACTGTCCTGGTTAAATAAAGAATAAATTAATTTATTTCTTTTTACAAGTGCAAGAAATTGAATCTTATCATGTACTGTTTGATATGTGGAGTCCTCAAGACAGTTTGTGAACTTTTGATATCAAGAATTCATCTTGCTGGCTTGCTGGTTACTGTGTTACAATAAGATCAAACTACTTTTTATGTGGTTATCTTATGTATTCAATACTAGATGGCTAACAGCTCTTTATTTTGTTGCAGGTTTATTTGAGCTACAACAATGTGTCGGCTCTGAAGATGTTGGCTGCTCACCACAGCTGGCGTCTGAGCTCTGAAAAGGACCAGGTCAGACTCACACAAACATCTTTAGGATTAGTGATTCACTGATCTAGCTTTTTAGTTTTGATACTGATTTCAATACTATAACTTTAAGTATTCATTTAAAGTAGTCATTTAAAGAAAAATAAAATCAGACAAAACAGTTCCAAATCTGTTAAGTAGCTGTTTACTAGCTAGGACCACGCCAACAACGACATAGTGCGAAGAAGTTTATTGATAATGTACGAAGCGAGGCAGAGATGGCTGGGTTGAGACTATGGGTGGGGGCTCCATCTCAATCTACAATTGGCCCAGCTGGAACGGGACCCCCCTTGTAGGGGTCTTATGACTGAAAGACAAAATAGGTGATGGGAGGGTGGGGTCGAGTTAGCCGAGACAAACTGGGATGCTGAGAAAGGCTGCTACATATAGGCTTCTGGGAAATTAGAGCCGTGGTCGAGGTGAGTTGTGGTTCGCTGGTGAGAGGAGAGGGCGGCTGAGGCGTGGTCCTGCTCCTGAATCTCAGTTAATCGTATTAACTACATTTATTTATCCCTCAAATATCTCGTAAACAAATTTGTATAAAAAAAAAAAAGCTCAAATATTATTAGACTTTTTGGGCTGACTATGACCAGTAAATAGTCTTATTACATCATTTATATGTTCAGCCAGAATATCGACTGAACCGATATTTGGAGCCGATATCCCATCCAGCTAATTTTTCAGGATCTGCACCTATATCAGATACCTAGTATTGCATCAGTGCAGTCTTAACAACAGGAGACATGTCTGTGGTGTTGAATCCTCTTGTTGTATTTGGCAGGTGCAGTTGTATACAGTGGAGCACCCTGCCATGCTGAGCTTCAGGGTAGAGGCTGAGGTGGACGTGCCTGCTCACAGGGCCTTCACTCTGCTGTCCGAGCTCAGCACTCGTCACCAGTGGGACCCCCACTACAAGTGAGACCTTAAGAGGGGCACATGGGCGTTTTCCTGTGTGTGGGTGATCAATATCTCATTTACTCTGTGACAACATTTTGGGTTCATGTGACATCACAAAATTAGAATTTAGAATCCCTATAGTTTAAACTGAGCAGAAGACTTCTCAGAAATCTAGCTGGATTTTGCAGTTTAACTGTCATATTACAGATATGTTGACCTGGTTTATAGTTCATATCTCTGTAATAATTGGGCCCCATGAAACAACTAGCACAAAGTTCAGTGTATTCTCTGAGTATAGATAAACAAACGTGAACGTATTATTTCACAATGGCCTCAGAAAGTGTTATCATTATTCAACTGGCCGACCCGGCTCTGTTATATATACTAGTAAATCTACTTTACGGCCTTTAAAAAGTTTATGTTGTGCTCGCAGGGAGTGTGAGCTGATCCGGCGTGTGGATGCTGATGACTTCCTGTATCGTGTGGTGACCCCTCCCAATGGAGGAGCGGTGGGCTCTCCTACATCGCCCCCTAGAGGAGAGGGTGTGCTGCAGGACTTTATACTGCTGGCTTCAAAGAGGAAGCCCTGTGCCAGCGGGTCAGTACGGCCACACTATCTGTGAATGAACAGTGAATATAAGTGTGTTTTCCTTCTCCTCAGTGATCCGTATGTGATCGCATTACGCTCGGTGACTCTGCCCACTCATCCTCCGATGGAGGGTTTCAGTCGGGGAGAAGTGCTGTGTGCCGGCTTCACCATTCTGGAGACCTCTGACAACAAGGCTCTGGTAAAGACTGTCTGCATATAGATAAAAACAATACAATACAACAACATACAGATCTATAGATTGTTAAATGTTAAACACTGTTTCGGTGTTTGACTTTCAATAGAAGAGAGAAAGTGGCAAAGTGGTGTTTCGTAATGTTTCAGTAGAGTCAAATTGTGTTAAAACAAAACTCAGATTAATAATTTGAGTAACAGAGTTTCAGACAGAGTAGAGCCTCCAGTTAACTTCACTGCCCATGTTGATGTTGTCAGCTGCAAATTATTGGTGAGAATATACCAGAGGAAATCAAACCTCCACATAGTTAAACATAGTAAACTATGTTTAACTATGACAGACCTCATGTACAGGGAACAGTTCTGTGGTTAATCAGGCTGTTAGTCACACTTATTTCGTAGTTATTACAACAGATATTTATTCTAGCACACAGTACATCCATAGTTGTTCCTCTCCTCTCGTCAGATCTCATACTACAACCAGGCGTCTGCAGAGCTGCTGTTGCCTCTCATCTCCACGGACATGGCTGGGCTCTCATCCTCCTTCTACCACACCTTCTGCTCCTGTCGCCAGTACCTGACCCAGCACAGACTCCCTTCACACGGGGAGCTTGAGCAGGACCTGAGCAGTCTGCAGAGGACTGTGAGCAGTGAGAGCCAGTCCTCCGAGAGTGAAACTGAACGCCTCACAGGCACATTCACAAGAACCCATCTGTAGACAGGCACCTGAACGCACCACGGACACACACACATACACGCACGGACACACATGGTAATTTTTAATATCATATCAATCAGCTGTGAGCCAGGTTTGACACGCGAGGCACTTTGGGACATAACACATTCTAAGATTTTATTGTGACAGTTTCCAAGTTGATGCAATAGCACTGGGAACTATAGGAAAGTGTAATGACTTTTTATAAAGTACAAGTTAATATTTTAAAGTTTTATTTCTTAGAATTATTACATATTTTTATAATAATATTGGCATTTCTCTCTTGATACAATGGGTACTGCTTATGGTGACTGGAGGTCAAAAGGTGTATGTTTTTAGTACCTTGTGATTGACTTTTGTTTGAATATTTTATACTTGTATAAAATGGTCCTTTTGGAGTCAGGGTACTGTTTACATTTGAGAGCAACTATGAATGTGAAATTATATCATATGCTGTTTCTATAAATATTACACTTTGACTACAATTACAGTTTAAAGCACGCACAAAGAGGCATTTAACTTGCGATTTTATCATTAAAAATGTTTTATTTCTGACTTGCGTGGTATAATGTGTTGTCATAATCAATAGAAGTACTCCTATATGTGTACTGGTCCATTCTTTTTTATTCTGACTGACTTAAACCCTAGGAAACATGCATTAACTGCCCAAATATCAGTATTAAAACAGTTTTTAGGAAAAATTTGAGCTTTCAGATGTGTAATTTAGATTAATGACCCTCTCTTCCCATTGATGTCTGTGAAAATTCATATAAAAACACAGCATTATAAGAACATATCTTTAAACAATGCAAAAGTGTCAACATTAAGTGCCAACTAATGCAGGAAAAACAACTTATAACTAAATGAAACCTGAATTAAGGCACAGAGGGAGCTTTTTATAACTGTTCGTACATAGATTGCATTGTTTAAGCCATTTTTGTATTCCATGTTTTGTGTCTCAGGGATTGCAGATGGAAATTAGTTCTGAAAACTGTAGTCTGGTACAAAGCATCTCATCAGTGTTTCTTTGGATAATGCTCTTGTACATGGTCCCTGTGAAATTAACAAAATAAACTAAACTAAACTGAACCAATATGGCGCCGACTGCTCAGATACCAATGTGTAATCTGCACTGACTGATTATTTTGATTTGGAAGTTTGGGGATCATTTTGTAGCTCTCTAAAAGTGTAAGTCTACATATTAGTTAGTTTATAAGAGACAACAGCATGTAGTTTGTGCAGACAATGCTTACAAGTAATTTATTTGTGTATTCTTATATAATCCTTAATTTTAACATAATATAAATATTTCCCCCTGAAGTCACCACTTTGAATATTTACATCATTATTCAAATAAATACATGCACACACTCCCACACGGTCATGACTGTTTGGACATCACATATATATTGTGATTGAAGCTGTCTCTGTGTTTCTCCGTCAGTTGTGTGAGTTCTGTTGTCCCCTGCTCTGTCTCCAGGATCACATCATAAGAGCCCAGGCCTCTGAGGGCAGTGTGGAGCTCCGACAGGTGCAGAGATGACAGGTGCACAGCCAGCCTTTGGGACAGGTCCGGGGCAGGGACGGCCTCATTCAGGACTATAGTGCAGTGAGGAAACAGCTCATTCACAGTCGAGACAAACTCCTGAGGGGAGGCAGAGGGATGTTACGTCACCACAGATAGACCAGTGACAATAATTATATATCAACTTACATACTCTTATTCCTACTTAAATAATATTTTTATTGAAGTAACAGATTTGAGTAAAAGTTGATAAGTGACAAAAGCTTTATGTGACAATATGAAATGATTTGAACATTTGTTTTTCTTGCAGCACTCCTTCAGATATGATGCAGTTTGTCTCATCTTTGTGTCTGTCCTTTGATAATACCAGATGCAATGGTGTTTTTTTAATGTTTTGTCCAAGTACATTAACTTTAAATTATAAATCAGATGTTGCATCCTGACAGGCTCAGTATACTAGCACACTAGACCAGCCACCCCTATTGGCTGTACCTGTACGCTGCAGGAGGCCTGTGGGTCCATGCCGATCCACACTGGTCTATAGAGCTGATATGAGGTGTAAAACTGCAGCAGAGATGAGAGAGAGGCACCCAGGAGCTCAGGGTCCCCAACCCTCAGGTACAACCCCCACAGAGCGCGCGGGTTCAGGCTCAGCTCCTTCAGGACCTCCTAAAACACAGAAGGATGCAGTGATGAAAGCCACAAGATTGAATATAGGTACTGAAAAGTCAGAGACAGGAGATGACAGTGGTAGTAGTTAAGGCTTTGACTCTCTAAGGAAAGGGTTCTACTTCTAATACCTACACCTTTCTAACTTTGCTTGTGTATAATGGTTAGTTGGGCTGCACTTCAGATTGCAAAAATATTGCAATATTCACTCAAGCTATCTATGGTGTTCAGAATGATGAAAAATAAAGAAGCCAAAGTGATCAACAATTTAAAACAAAGTATTATAGTATATACATCATTTGATATACATTTTAATAATATTATATATATATATATATATATATATATATATATATATATATATATATATATATATATATATATATATATAAAATATATATATATACTTAACTATACAGTCCACACTTTCAAAACTCTACACTGCACTCACAGGTACACAAAAAGTATGTGAAGTGAGTGGCCCTACACTCTAACCTTCACCCAATGAGCTTCTTAAACCTAATCCTACTCTTAACCTGAAACTGATTGATTTTACATGTACTAGCGTAACCACCAATGCAAAGTGATGTCCTGTGTGGCATAACCTGGTTGGGGAAAAAATGAGGTGTGACACAAGTTCAGTCTGAATGAACCATGTGATTTAACTTATGACAGCAGCACTAGTACCTCCAGTGTGAGGATCTCAGAGCTGGGGACCACAGGAACCTCCACAGGCACCACCACAGGGACCCCAGGATGCCTGCGGTCAGCCCCCACACGGAGAACCAGCATCCCCCCTGCTCTGTCTGAAAGAGGAACACAAACAGGTACATCACCAGATTCTACTGAAAGAAATGTATAGCTCTGTTCAGATTGACTGAATCTATTACACAGTAAACAAACCTCTGAGAGCAGCCGACAGAGAGGTGTGGTCACTGACAGAAACCAGGCGAACACTCAGACTCCTGCCCTGGTTGGAACTCTGTGTGTGGGCTCCAGACATAAAGTCCAGTAGGTCTCCTCCTGGGTAGAACCGCCTCAGTCTACCCTGCTCCTTTGTCAAACCTACACACACACACACGCAGACACACACAGACATACAGGCAAAAGCACAGTCAGCCTTTTAGCAGAGTACAAGAAAGAGTTAAATAAGCTAATCTACTTCAACTCAATACATACAGCAGTTGCATACATTTAAAGAAGCACTATGTAACCTGCGCTCTTACAGTTTTAAAAAAGGTGTCATAGTTACATGTGAACCTGGGATGCCAGTGCTTTAATCTGCCAGGTGTCATGTGAAAGCTCAGAACCTCCAGAATTCCCTCCCTGACCTGCAGAGGCTACACTAGCACTGACTCATGACTGGTGCAGGTGCTGCAGGTAGTGACCATTCAGATCAGAGAGAGGCATTTCAGGTTTAAACCAACTGGTTTCAGCATTGAAACCCACCACCAAAGTATAACATAAACAACTTGGCCATGGTGTCCAATGTTTTTGTAATTTAGAATACATCAACATTACAATTGTAAAAGTTATATTTGAGTTGAACTTCACTATATCTGGAGACACAGGCCATGAGTATGGAATTTTGCAAAATCTTAACTAACTCAAACTAATGATCAGAGTTAATATGTCTTCAGTGTGGTCATCTCACCCACGGCCTGTTTGAAGAGGGTCAATGTGGGTTCATAAATGTCGTAGTAGACTTGCTCTGGGTGACTGTTGTCCCTCACAAGCAAGAGGTCTTCCACTGTGGGGTGAACAGAGCTCTGCCACAGAGTCAGACTGAACCTGTGCATCAAAACACACACTATATCACACACAAGAAATATGCAGATCTTATGTTTTAGGGATAAATATTGACCTTATTTTATCCCATCCACTTTTGCCTCTAAATGTTTGTAAACTGCTCTGGTGGCACTTTCAGTTAAGCAGGAATCCTGTTCATTTACATGGAGAATTTGAGACGTTTTGCTGCTGAGATGTTAATTTGATTTACAGGATTTGAATTGTTTTTTTTTTTATTTTATCATTATTGCTAGGATTTTATAATGCCTTCCAGTTCACAGCTCACACCAGTTAGTGGCGGTAATGAACAAAAAACTTGTTTGCCAACTGCCAATAAAAAAAAAAAGATACCATAGGAATTAGATATCACTACCTTCATACAGCACATATATACACATACATATACACACATAAAATGATTATGTCTGACCTTGAGGACTGACTGAGGAGCCAGCTGATATGAGGCCATCCACTGCGGACATGCACGGCCTTGATCGGGAAGGTCACCTGACAAATGTCAGATAAAAGGTGATGAGGTTTTATCTCATACAAATAAAAATGTCCACCTGCATATTTCTTCTTACCTTCTGTGGGAGGTCCTTCACCACCGCGTACATCTCCTCCATCATCGCTCTGTTGTAGATCGCAAGAACCTGCAAATACAGCACATGAACTGCTGCACAACTGTAACTGAGTAACTGGTTTATTATTATTCAGGAGCATGTGTGAGGCCTCTTATCTCTCCCTTGGGCTGCTTAAGAAAACAGGCTGATAAGAGACACTCTTCTGTTTTTACAATACAATGTGAGGTTATAGATATGAATATGATAATAGTGTCTGGGATCACTTTTAAAGAGGCTCATTAGGCGAACGTTTATTTTACATAATCTGTCATGAAGAGAATTCATTCTTTGCAGTTCCTGAAGCCACCTGTCGGGTGCAGGAGGCACCACAGAGCAACGACCAGGGACTCATCTCCAGATCCAGATCTAGTCTTGGTTAGGATTGCTTTAGCTGGAGGATTTGACCTATTATGCATGTTTTGGGTTGATGGGGAAACCAGAGAGCCTGCAGGAAAACCGATGCACATTTTCTAAACTCTGTAAGTCTGTGTATCTCCTACCATCCATCCAAGAGACAAGGTAACATCTGGGAACTTCTCCTGAACCAGCTCCAGGAACCTGCCACACCCCAACAAAACTCATAAGAAAACATGACTCCATAACATAAATATATATTCATTTTTTTCTGCTAATACACTGTATATATGTTATATATGTTTAAATGGCATTGTCTACTGTTCCTAGTCTTTTTTTTTTTTTTTGACTATCCCCTTCCCTTTGCTCTCCGTGTTAAGTCACTCCCCTTTGTTAGGTATTTGCATAAGATCTCTAAACCAAAAATCCACAAAATGACATCTGAAAGGGACATTTGAGCGTGAGTCTTACTGAGTGCCATTGACAATGGGTATGAACCCGGGCACCAGGGGGTCTTTGAGGATGTCAGCGTTGAGCCACACTGGTCTGTCGATGCCTCTGGAGCTGTCCTTCTGGAGCAGCAGGTCCAGGGACAGACCCACCGACGCCAGAGATTTAAAATCCAACTTTATCCCTGTGAATAAACACAAACAAACAAGAAAATACACACCAGTCTGCCCACACGCCCATAGATCTGACATGTTACTAAAATAGCATAAAAAATTTAACTTTGTGTGTAGTATTTTTCCATGACTACTTGCATATATACTTTTATTTAAATGAACTGTATGTAAAATTCTGATTTAAAATTGCACAAACTTGACCTATCTGTGCCCTCAAATAGCTCAGAGAGTGAATTCTGGAGGTTCTGAGCCATTTGAAACATTTTTTAACAACATTACCTTTACCTGCCCCCTTGTGTATTAAATATTATAGGCCAATAGAATGCTGTCATGTCATCTAGAACCAGCTGTACCTTTCCTGGACTCCAGCACGGCGTCCAGCCATTGGTCCAGTGTGATGTCACTGGTCACGTTCGGGGGGTGGGCCATGATGGGGATGGGCTTCTGATCGGCTGTTCCGTAGCCATGCAGAGTGACATCAGCCTCCAGGACCATCGCATCACCTGCCAAGAACAATCTAGAGCTTTTACTACTTTGTAGCCAAATTCAAAGCTGGACTTAAAGATAACTTATGTAACTTTTTTTTTTTCAATGGGGGGTCTGGCACCTGCTTACCTGTTATTGCTTTGTCTGGAATGTTCCATAGTATGGTATTAAACTTATTTATCTTGCATTCATTATTATTTGTATAGCAAAAAATAGATTGGGAAAACCTGCATTCTTACTGTGAATATAAAATACTAAATAATAAACTAATTAAAGGTGCACTATGACACATTTCTGTTTCTGCATGTCTGTGGAGATGTTATTGCTGGAATTGCCTGGAATGTTCTACAGTATAGTATTAAAATATCAATTTTACATTGTTTTTATTGCTCAAAATGACAGGCTTTCTTACTTTCATCAGGGTCATCTCTCAGCAGATTAGAGCTGTAAATTGGCCTTGTTGTGCTGCCTACTGACCTCCATGGAGATAGAAAAGCTTACTGTGGAACATTATAGGCAAAGAAATTAACAGGTAGCAGATTCCCCATCAGAAAAGTTAAACAGTGGGGCGGCAGTAGCTCAGTTGGTAAGAATGTGTGTCCACTGATCTGAAGATTGGTGATTCAAAAAAAACTAAATACAAACAAACAAAAAAAACATCGTCAGTTGGTGTATGAATGTGTGTGTGAATGGGTGACTGGTTCCTTGTTGTAAAGCGCTTTGACCAACTTGAAGGTGGAAAAGTGTGGTATAAAGAGTTGACTAATTACCAATAGAGCACCTATAAATAATATGGGCTCTTTAAAGGTCCAGGTAATTCTGTATAACTGCTGTAATAAATCAGGAAGTGCTTACTTGCTAGGGCCTGGTTCAGCTCCTCTTTGCCGTTAGCTCGGTGGAACCATGTCACTAACAGCCCGTCACGTCTGTTGATGTCACCTGACTGAACCAGAAAGTCCAGCATGTCTCCACCAGTGGTCGCGTGATCTGGAACAACAACAGTTTCTGATTTATGTTATATTGTTGTTTCCTCATTACAAACAGACCTTGAGATTTAGTTTTGTTTCATTCACACATGTTTAACACTCTGTTCCATCTTGTGATGTCATGTGGTAATACAGGATGTACTCCACTGTGTTTTTAAACTCCACACACTGAACTAATTGTAAAAGGAGCTCTTAACTTGAAAACTACCGCTTCATGACATCACAAGGTGGAACAGAGCATCCTGAGCTTTGAAGATATAGACAGACTAGTAATAAAGGATTACTCAGACATGTGAATGAAACCAAACACAACTCCATGCAGGTTTTTCATGAGGTAACACCATTATAACACAGCTCACAAGAGTCAATTTTGCATTATAGAGAATCTTTCTATAGAATCTAATTTCCGGACTATTGAGTGCACCTAAATATAAGCTGCATCAACTAAATTTTAAAAGAAAAAAAAAAGTACATGTATAGGGTAGATTTTGTCGTCTTTTTACATTAAGTCGCCAAAATCTCACCATCAACTCATTGATGCCGAGCTCATATGCAGCAGCTCTGTTTCTTTCTTCCACAGCCAGATCAATTGCCGTTAACTTAAAAGCTGCATCATCTGCATTTCTTTATGTGTTTTCCATAAGGAGGGTGTGTGTATGAAGCGCAAAATAACTGTTCAAAACACAATCAAACCAGCATCTTCCTCAGTGCATCACCCCCGTCTCTCCCCACGCTCTGCTGTGCATGTCTCCTCCAGAAAGAGTCTCTGTCCTGTCTGTATCATGTCAGTGTCTTGTAGGATTTCAGCAGATTTCAGACTCTCCCTGGGGCGGGGCTATGTTTATAGATCAGGTATGAGTGGATGTCCGGCTACTAAAGTTTGAGATGTTTTTTCTTGTCATTTACGCACCCACCTGCATTTAACACACACGGGTAAGATGTATCCCTCTCACTAATGATCATTTAGCATCATAACTTTTGTCACATGACAATAAACAACATCGCTAGCAAATGCTGCAACTCCATATTAACCTTAGATCCATGTATTAATTGCAAACAGCGGCACTTTCTGCACTCAGGCTGTGCACATATCTGCTGTGTTACCAAACCATAGACCGTATATATGGATGGACAATGTGCCAAACAAATAATTCATCCATATATATGGGGTATAGGGTTCAAAGTGTGAGAAAAAAGTAGCGGCTTATAGTCCAGAAATTACACTACATAAGTCTCAGTTTTTTATGTTTTTTTTTTTTTAACCTTTTTATTTATTGGTATTCTTGCTCTTATCTGACTTTACTAGTTTTATTATCTTAACAAGGATTAGTGAAGTTAAACAGAGCTTTATTTTATGTTTCTATTGGATGGATTGGATGTTTTATCTATATTGTGCTGCACTTTGGATTGTTTATGAAATGTGTTATATAAATAAAGAAGAATGGATTGGATTTGAATTTTGTGCAATGCATGATGGGAGTGAACCTGTTTTCTTGGAGAGCAGACAGCAGCGACGGTGATGACGACGGCTAGAATGACCAGTCCACAAGTCACACAGACAATGATGAGCTGCTGCTTGGACAGACAGCCCAGATACTGCTTTTTCCTGTATGAAATAACATCAGCCTTCAATAAATATTTTTAATACATAAGCAAATGATTAAAATTATTTGCACAGCATCAAAATGTACGCAGTGACACTTTGCTCATTTTGTTTTATTTCATTGTTTAAGAGGGATGGGACAAGATCTCATGAGACAAAATTGCCACAAGATCATGCACACAAGAGAAAATTTGTCTTGAGAGATTTTTTTTTTTTTTTTTTGGTTTGGACAAAAAAGTGTTACGTGTTGGTGACTTACTTCTTACAGTTCTAAAAAAGCTGTACTAGAATGGAAACAGAAATGTTATTTTTTATAAATTTAAAAATTTAAGGATAATAAATGTGAAAATGTGAAATTTATATATTAGAAATGATGTTAAAATCTCATCTTGTTTCATTCTCAATGGGCCCAATGTCTGATTTTGTGGAAATTGTGTCTCATCTCATCCCTACTGTTTAATGATTTGAATGTTTTTATATTGTGTTGGTTTTATTGGAAAGCACTTTGATCAACTTGAGTGTTGTAAAGGGCTCTATAAATACAGTTTGATTGATTAACTGATAATAATTTGAAAAAAAAAAAAAAAAGAGAGAAATGAGTGCATCAGAGGGTCAAGAGAGTAATCTACAGTCATGGATCCACAAGGTATTTTAAAACAGAGTATGACAGACTTGCCAATGTAAATAAACAGCAGTTAAGTAGAGTTTTGAGGCACTATGGAAAATTAAAAGTCCTTTATTACAGCATGGACAGCCAGTAATAATATAATAATGTGTGAGTCATACTGCATGGAATTGTCTGCAAATGTCACTATGAAATCTTGACAGAGAGTTGCAGGTCTGCTCACTTTTGCTGATCTTATCCAATACTGAAAATGAACAGTGGTTTATTTAATTTTTTAGAATTAGTTTACTTAAAACAAAAATCACCTTCAGTTAATAATGTCGGCTGTACAGTTTTTTCAGGTTTGAACACACAAACAGTCCATATTATGCCTTTGACTGCTTTATATCAGTTAGACTACATGAGAGACTGCATGAGAAGTATTCAAAATAAAAATACATATATGAACCAGGCTCTACCTTATCATTATCCAGTCAGATCACACATCTGCATATTTATTGTCATATATTACGCAAACGTGACTCTTGTGAGCTTGAAGCCATGTTATAATAATATAACAATATTATAACATAGATCAGAAAATAGCGTAATATAGATAGATCCTTTAATCTCATTACAGGGTGTCCCAGAAAATTTGACATAATTTCAACAGGCCAGTAATTTTGGCAGTTCTTGTTGAAATAACCTCAAATTTTCACAGAATGTATAAAAACAGATCACAATTTTATATTTAATGTTTTATTTTTGTTCTGTTTTCAGGTTGAGCCATGCTATTCACTCCAAAAAGACTTTTGCAATCTGGAATATGCTCGCACACAGTCACCCAAGACTGTGCACCGTGCCTTCACTGCAAAATCTGGAAAAACTTCACCAACTGGCAAACAAATTCCTATAATAAACTTATGATGTTCAACACCTAAACTGTTCAATTTCACTGAGCTAGACTTAGTAGTTTTTAAGATAATTGCTTTTAAAATTATGTCAACATTTTTGGGACCCTGTATTTAGACTTACCTGTTATTGTCGTGTCTGTGATCCATCTCCATTGCTCCTGTTTGCAGATGAACTCTCTCTCTGACTCTGCACTAACACAGCGGATATTTGAAGCTCACATGGATTTAAAGATGCTCTTGTCTGATAACAGCCCTATCAGCCTCACATGGACTCTGGACACAGGTCAAAGGTCACACACAACAGCTATTATCCTCTAAGGTGTTTGACAATACACTCCAGGAGATAAGAGAGCGATAAGTATTTGCACAAGAAAATGGTAATGGCCTAAAGGCTTTTGGGTGAATACACAAATGAATGCAATATTTATCATGTTTTACCACTAAACCACATACATTTTCTACAACATTATATTTAAAGTTGTACATAGGTCTGCATTTGTGCAAAACAATAAGATGAAGCAATCATGTGATGCCTGATTTTTTTTATTGTGCTGAAAAACAAACTTGCATCTCCACAAACCTGCCTCTGGTCTCCTTCTGCTTGTTTCCAACTAAATGTTTTTTTTTTTCCCTGGAGGCCTAGCTATAATATTCCTAAGTATGCAGTATGGCATAAAACATAGCTGAAGTAGGGATTTAACTTTCTCATTTGAAATTAGGCTACAGATTCACACAGTCATGAAATGTAATAATTTTCTGAGCAAACTTAAACCAGGAAAGACTGCAAAAAGACTCTTACTGCAAAATTAAAAGTAAATCCAACATTATAAAGGCTACACTTCATCTTGTTACTGGAGTAATTTGAAAATATTTTAGTGGATGGTGTACCAAGGTTTGTTTTCAACAATAAAAATGTGCCACGACTCAAAAAAGGTTGAAAAACATTGCTGCCATAGCCCAAGCAGCAGTGGTGGAAAGTAATAAAGCACAAAAGTAAAAGTGCAATACTTAAGTGCACATTTCTGGTATATGTACTTACTGTAGTAAATTCACTGTTGTATACATTTTACTTTTACTTCATTACATTTGAGAGCAGTAGGGTGACCAGATGTCCCTATTTACCTGAGACAGTCCCAATTTTAAGCCCTGTGTCCTCTGTCCCTGCAGATTTATCCAAAACCATTGATTTGTTCCAGTTTCACAGAAGAAATGCTCCAGATGTACCTATTTGTGACAAATATGATACGTGCCAACAATAAAGCGAGGCAGAAATAGTTATTTAAGTAAAATACAGAAAAGCTGCTTGTGCTGGTCAGTCCCGTATACTGGGCACAGAGAGTCAGCCAGTCAGAATGAGCCTGTCATCTGTGTGCTGCTGTGTTGAAGCATATCCAATCAGAATGCAGAGATTAGTGCTCGTTCATAAAATAATTGCCGCAGACCTGGGTTCAAACCCTGCTTGGATCTGAAAACAAAACTGCAGTACTGAACAAAAACTAAGATTTGATCAAATGTTTAAGTTAGTTATCACTGTTTGTACATTTAAAAAGGTTAAGTATTAATTTAAAGTACAGAGCATACATTATTTAGAGAATCACTACTACATTTTGGACATTTCTGGACTGAGAATTATGTACTGGGTACTTTTCTAAATAAGTACTTTTCTTTATGGTTTGTGGTTTATGGAGGACCTGCTGAAATGGCAGAGACTTTATTTATTTATTTATTTTTTAAGACATTTAATTTGAGTTTTTGTGCCAGCTTTGAGCAACACAATACACAATAGCTAAAAAAATAAGTCAGAATCACTTAAAATCAGTAAAATTCCTTTTTCAAAATCACAACATTTCATCCTTTATATTCTAAAAATCTCTGCAAAATACGTTTAGTTTTTACTCTTTAAGTACATTTTTAAACAGGAACTTTAACACTTTTGCTTAACTAGATTTTTTCATGTGATACTTTTGCTTGAGTAACTTCTTGAATCTGAAATTTTACTTAAGTAACAAAATTGAGTACTTCTTCCTCGGCTCAAAAAAGGTTGACAAACACCGCTACCATTGCCCGTGTATGCAGCAGACTAACTTTTCTGCAGTGTCCGATGATCCACAGACGGGTCCGATCACTTCTATGTAAAACCACGTGTGCTGTTGCTAGGTAACCAGAGCGTCAACAGAGCGCGCTGCAAAATGTCCAACCCGCGGAGGAAGAAACTAGTGCTCAGGCCGTAAGTACACTTAAGTTATGTCATATTTGTAGTTCAGTTTGAGGAGCTAACTCTGCATGCTAACCGCTAACGCTAACCGGTGTGGTGCTGTTGTGCAGCTCGTCTCGGAACGTGTCCGTGTCCCACAGCAGACTCACGGGCAGCAGGCGCAGCTTCAGTCTGGGAGCGGCCAGTAAACTCCTGGACAAGAGCACCGTGCCCACCCCGAGGCAGCACATACGGGTAAAACACAGGCACACCGGCCGCTAATGTCGCCTCCAACAAGTTTTCACGTATTTAACTTTCACATGGACACTTTCTGCTAATTCCTCCAGAGAGAGAGGGATGTGGCTGCAGACCTCCACCCAGAGGTCCCACCCCACAAAACTCCACCAGGATGCACCTTCACTGACTTCTCTTTTCTTCTCTATTCTATTTTATTTTATTTTATTTTATTTCACTCACAAATATTATTCGGTCCATAGTTACAAAGAAAAACTTAATTACTAAACATTTATAAACTACTTAATGACACTTTATATCAGTTGTTGCCTTAGTTCATTTATTAAAGGCCATTAAAGTTGATAAAGGTGATTTCAAATTTCTTATAACAAAGTTTTTCAAAGACAATTTATCTCCAATAGGCTGGATTTGTATTTATTATAAATATTTATCTATTTCTCTGTTTGTTTATTTATTTTTATTTGTTAAATTTGATTCAAATGATTGGATCATTAATACTTATTAATATTATCATCATTATCATTACTGTTAGTATTTATTTAATAGTATTTATTAATATTCTAACAGAATATTAAATTATGCTCAAAATGTGGTATTTTCAAAGGATAGAGCAAAATCATATCTGAGGGAGCTCAAACAGTTTCATATTCTCACATAAAACTTTTGTCACTTTAGAATTACTCACAGCAGGAAGAGGAACCCAAACTTTCAAAGCAACGTTTAATGTGCACTGTGTAACTTTTCTGGTAGAGAGCCTGCCAGTTATTAGTCTCCATGAAAAGTGCTTTATCTTTAGTATTCCAAAGTATGGCATTACATTTTTAAATCCCCATAGAAACAGTAGGAGACAACCCAGGCCAATTTACAAGTGAGATCTGTGAAGAGGCGATCCCGCTCACAGTCAGGATACCTGTTTTTAGGTATTTTTGAGCTATAAAAACACATAACTGCATAAATGCATCTTATATAAGTTTCATACCATATTGTGGAACATTAAAGGCAAAGCAATAGCATCTCCATGGTTGCAGACCCACAACCTGAGAAGTTTCGCAGTGCACATTTAAGAGCCCTGTTACTTCATACAAAATACGGTATTTCTCAAGCTAAAGTAAAACTACTATCCACCACTGCAACTATTTGTAGGTGTTTGATGAAGAGGAGAATGATGTCACTCCCCAGCCTCTTTACCAGGGGGAGAGTGGAGCAGGTCCCCCCAAAAGCAGTCGCTTCTTTCTGGACGAGATCTCGGCTGGACTCAGTCTGGACCAGATGACCACCACGGGCAGCAGCTTCAGCCTGCCCTTCTCCAGGTGAAAGGGACTACACCAAAAATACCCCTAACCCTAACCCTTCAGTTATAGTACTATTTATTTGTCTTGACACGATACTATGGAATCAATTTTTACTGGCTATGTAAATGTAATCGCTGAGAGGCCTCCAACAATACCATGTGTTTTAGCCATCAGCATTTAGCACAATTGGTCTATTTTATTTAAGTTTTGTATTGTTATGTATTTTTGCTTTATTTTTCCCTGTAGGTCCATTTTAAGCAGCAGTAAATTCTCCAGTCAGTCGTCCTTAGATTCTGTTAACCTGGAAACAGAGGACGCCCTCTCCAAACGAGACCTGCCCCTCCACATCCCAGGTTTGAACAGATTGTAAATTATATAGACCCTTCTCAGAGTGACATGTTTAAAGTTCATGTTAATAGGACAGTGAAATAAAAGCAAACAATTTGACACATGAAGACAGCACAGACAAATTAATTGTTCCATAAATGTTTTACAGTCAACATCTACCATCCAGCTCCAGTTTCTAAAACTCACTAATGTATGCAGGATTTGTGGTGCTGAATGAAATAAAGCTTAAGTTCAGTTGTCAAACTGTTGCGGTGCACTATATTTTTGGTGCATATTTATCCTGTATAATGTTAGATTTAAGAAATGTTTATTACATATTTGTTATGTTATAATTTATGTAACTATTTTTATATCGTAATGCTGTATTACTGCATCCATACTTCGTGAAATGTTTTGTAATTTTGTCCTCATATTTCAGATGTTCAGAATAAGAAGGTCCCAGTGAAAGAGGAGGTGACTGGACAAAGCCTGGATGATGTGCTGGACGTGTTCCTCACAGAAACAGACACAATCTCACTGCTGGACCTGCCCTCCAGATATGTGTCAACTGAGGCTGCAGATGCAGAGACTATCACGTGAGTTTACCTGTCCTCACCTGTCCTCACCTGTCCTCACTTGTCCTCATTTGTCCTCTCCTGTCCTCACTCTGTCTGAAGGGTTTAAACTGGACCTAAACTCTAAATCCCCTTTTCTGCTACTAAATAATGTATATGGGGTTTTGATACACTGTAAAATCTAAAAAGTAGACCTTACTTGAAAAAAACTAAAACAAAAAAAACCTGTGAACTGTGAATCTAAAACTGAGCTTACAAGTAATTCCTCAGTGTAGTGTAAAGTAAATTCCTCTTTCATATAACTAGGTTGGGCAAGTTAAGTTAACTAATCAGTCAGTTCCTCAAATCTGAAATATGTAGTAACCTTTACTTTAAGAATTAGTTCATCTTACTTGGTAAAACCATGGAAACCACGTGTCTTGAATTGAGCAAGTAAATGTTACTTATATACACAAGTTAGAGTAAAAGCAGGTTCTATTCTACAATAATGTCATCTAGATCTTCATCAGGTACAAGGATTTGAATATTTATTAGTCTTTGAAAAAAACTTAGCAAAACTTTTGTTCATCTTATGTTCAAAACACATCGTAACATGTGTAACAATAAAATAATAGAGCTCGGTCATTCCATGTCAACTCAACCAAGGCCTTAGGAAGGACTTAGGAAACAAACAAAACTACACAAAACAGAAGAACAGGTGTAATCCAGTACAGACTGACTGAACAGAGGGAGGATAAAGGGACAGCACTGGGAGATGAGAGAATGAGTGGCAGCTGTAGGAAAAACAGGGAGGTAGCAAAAGGAGGACCGGAACAGACTGGGAAATGAAGCTGAACTGGGGAAAAACATACATCACTGTTGAAGTTACTTCTCTCATTCAAGCTGACCTTAGTCTAATTGTAATGTTGTAAAAGTAATGTGCGTTTTTCACCCTGAAATTTACTTTACCACAATCATTAAGATCCACAAATTGGTAGCTGTGAGTAAAGTAAACGAGCTAAATGCGAACCCTGGTGTTAGATTTTACAGTGCAGCGTTATCTGCTTTTTCTTGTCATTTTTTGTTCAGGTCAGTTTGCAGCTTTGTGGTCAAAAAACCTAAATCAATGTTTGTGCTGCCTACAGTGGCTTCTGTAATTTCCAGCAGTTGGTGACATCACACAGAATTACCTTAATTAAACTTAATTAAAAGGTGTTTGTATCAGAAACACCTGGCAGTAATCTGGGCAGTCCTGCGTAATGTTACATAGTACTTGAAATTGCAAATGTCACTGGAGGCAGCACAAACAAGTGCTGATTTTGACCACAAATCTGCAAATGTACATTGTTTGCCCTAAAATTGTTCAAAAAAGCCCCAAGAACAGTAGATGCTGCTATGCAAAGCATCATATGCAGAGTTTAGTTATACATTTTTGGTAAAATTTTTGGTTTAGTGTTTAGTTTTACTTTAAACATGTATACGTGTGATGTGTGTGTGGGATTAGGGAGAGGAATAAGAAATATGCTGAGATCTGCAAGAACAGACCTGGCAACGAGAAGTACACAGAGCGCTCGATGCAGACTCTGGATCCTCCGTCCAAACATAAACAGATCCAGAGTGAGAGTGTCAACACGGCAGAAACAGGTGAGGCCAGAAGAGGGAGGACATCAGTGTTTTAGCTCTAGAAATGGATATAAAATTGAATACTTTGATTTTTTTAGACTTTACTGTAAGGTTGACTGTACTATATCTAATTTTGAGCAATAGAAACACCTGTAAAGAATATATGATATACAGATATGTTTAAAGTCATACCATGGAACATTCCAGGCAAAGCATTAACATTTCCATGGAGACAAGTCAGTAGTGGACCCTCCACCAGAAAAATGGCGCCATACACCTTTAAATCATTTAGCGTTCTTTATTTAAATAAACTGAGATAGATTATAAAATGGCTGTGTGGTTGTATGTCTTTCCCATGCGTCATGTCTGACCCACAGGTACATTTGTGTCCACCTGGGAGATGTTTGACTCACTGTCCGGTCTGGAGCAGGAGGGGGCAGTGGATGCAGAGACAGAGCCTGATCACCAGGGGGCAGAAGGGATCCTGAGCTCCAGTCAGGCAGAGCACAGCACCTCTCTGAGCAGCTCCAGTGGGACAGGTAACTGCGCCATGCACTGTACACAATCTGAACAGAGGTGGGTAGATTAGACAAAAGTTGTAGTGTTATCATCACTAATGTCAGACTGTAAAATACTTCTTTACTCTTACTTGAATAATTTCTTGGACTGCTTTTCACTTCTGCTTTAGACTAATAATATTTTAAAGTAACATTACTCTTACTTGAGTATATTTTTGGCTGCTATACTCTGTTCAGAAAGTGCCTCGAGCTCTGTGAAGGACTTGGACGTGTGTGTGAATGAAGGCCGACCTGCAGCTGCTCTTGAGCTCAGACTCTCTGCTCTACAGTCTGATGGTGATGGAGAGGAGTCTGGTGAGCAACACTCTACAGGACAAACTGGCTGCATACAGACTGTTGCCCGTCCTACCAGGTCTGTTCATGAGTGTAGCTGTAATGACATGTTATCCCTGCAATATCTGAAATTTTATAAAAGCAATTCATGTTCCACAGTCCCCTGTAAAGCTCTCATCATACTTCTGTGCTGTAGACCCAGATGCAGCTCCAGTGTGTGAAGCCCCAGAGGAAGAGGCCCCTCAGAGGTCTCCAGAGCCTGAGGTCTCTGGTCCAGCTCTGGTCCATCTGTGGTCCTTCTCATGTGACCTGACCCAGGGCCGCAGGGTCAACAGCATGGTCTGGAACAAGACCAACCCGGTATGTACAAAGAGGAAGGCTACACACAACTTTTTTAACACAAGTTTGACATTATCAATGTTCACAAATAAAATATCCTGAGGATTAATTATATATAATTATTCTCATTATAATGAAATAATATAAATATGCAAACTTTTCAAAATTAACAATAGTTCAAAAGACGAAGATGAGTTGTCTAAAATCAGAAGCACAGTGGCCTCACAGCAAGAAGGAGTTTGTTTGTTCCTTTTATTTAGAGAGGTTTCCTTTGGGCTCTTCAGTTTTCCCCATCAACACAAAACATGGACCATAGATCAAATCCTCCAGCTAAGGCAATCCTGACCAAAAAGAGATCTGGAGCTGGCTTCTGGCCAAAAACATTTGATACCGGGGTGCAATGGATTATACTGAGTGCATATAGGCAAGACTAACTGACAGAAAACCAGACAGGCCACTATAAGTGCTTTAATGTCCTTTTTGTGAATAATGTCCTTTTATGAATAATATCTGTCTCTTTGTGTGATGTACAGGACCTGTTGGCTGTGGGCTATGGAGCGTCAGAGTGCAGTTCCTCTCCAGGTCTGATCTGCTGCTGGTCCCTCAAGAACCCCACTGTAAGAACCCCAGGACACTAGAGTCAAGCATGAGTATAAGTATGAACATATACCAAGCACTGAAAAAAGATAAAGCCACACCTGACACAGCTGAGGTTGGCATCTCTCACATGATTTAAATGGGTTGAAAAAGAAGAAATGGCACCCCGTTTTTCAGTCTTCATTCCTTATGTAGCATCTATCAGACTTGGCCCTGAGTCTTCCCTTGTGCTTATCTGTTGTTTAAATGTGTGGTGCAGTGGCCGGAGAGAGTGGTCTGGTGTGACAGCCCGGTGACCGCTCTGGACTTCTCAGTGAAACGTCCATGTCAGTTGGCTGTGGGGATGCAGGACGGGACAGTCATGATCTGCAGTGTCCAGAGTCACCATAGTAACAGCTCTGCCCTTCACAGCAGGTCAGGGCGCAGTACCACACATGGACACAAGGAGCACTACTACATAGGGTTGCCAAAAGTATTGAAAATCAGATACTAACTGATACTAAAACTAAAATCATCTTGGTATCAAAATCAGTATCAAGTCAAGGACTTGACTTGATACTGTATGTATTGAATTTGAATGAGTTATTCTTTGATTATAAAACATAGTGTGTGGTGTTTATTTGGTGTGATTTGATTCCAGGGCGTGTCACAACAAACACGTGGACCCAGTGCTGCAGGTGAGGTGGACCCTCCAGGAGGTCAGTCTGAGAGAGGACAAGGACGAAGCTCTGGTCTCCGTGGCAACAGACGGACGGGTCTGCAAGTGGTTTGTGTCCAGTAGCGGACTGGACTGCACAGGTGCTGCTATACTACAACTACAGCTATTAACTACTACAGTCTCTACTACTACGAGCTACTTTCTACTACTACTATCACTTGCTACTACTAACTGCTAGGGATGGGATGAGATCAGGTGCTTCCGTCTTTACACTTGGCCTAGTCATGAAAGGTTTACTCCTCACTCAAGCTCTGGAAAGTTGTATCTTTGAGCAGCTGTGGCTAAAAGACTCCTCCACATAGAGACTTGTAGCTCACACATTCAGACAGAGAACACTTAAACTCTGCCCTTTTTTATTTTTTTTTGTGATAAGACCACTGATGCAAATAAGCTTTGTAGAGCTTTGTAGAAAATTTGTAGAGCTCAGAGCTTTGTAGAAAATTGTCGTGAAAAAATACAATAAAGCACAGTACATGTAACTGTAACTTTAGTGGTGTAGGGCCTGTCAGTTGCTTTTCCCCATGGAGCTGTTATTGCTTTGTCTGGAATGTTTCACAGTATGGCATCATTAAACATTTTTATCTTCATGGAGACCAAACCAGACCATGTTACAAATCAAATCTGTGGAGAGGCGACCCTGCTCACAGTCAAAATACCTGTTTTTGAGCTATAAAACCACCTGTAACAGGTGACAGAACCCCAGCTGACACAGTGCACCTTTAAGTGAAAAGTTAAACATACTGTGAAACAAGTTAAAATCCCTACTACTAAATGTTAAGTCTAATCTAGTCAGAACATTTGACTAGAACGGATAACTGAGATAAATTACCAGTTTTTTTTTTCTTTTTTTCATGGTACCAGATTGTAAGCATGGTAGTATAACATGGAAAGAGCAGTTCTATTCTGACTTCACAGCGATTAATAACTGATATATTTTTCTTGCAGATATGATGAAGCTGAAAAGAGTTAAAAGCGCTAAAAAGAACAACGCCGAAAACAAAAACGAGACTAAACCTGAGAATATTCTATCAGCTCTGACCCCAGGAATGTGCTTCGACTTCCACCCAAAGGTACAAAAACATTTCAGTAAAGTCTGTCATATGTAGGGTTGTATAATCAAACACTAATCAATACTAAAACTAGAATTGAAACTAGATACACCTCTGAGCCAATATCGATACCGATTTCCTGAATGTATTTAGAATGCTCTTGAGCTGTATCAGAATAAGTATAAGAGCACATAGACTAGTATATAAAATATGTAATATTGTACTGTATGTATTTGTGTTTGCGTGTGTGTTTTGTGTGTGTAGGAGTCGGGCTTATACCTGGTGGGGACATGGGAAGGGCTTATCCACAAGTGCTCTGCCTCCAACACTCAGCAGTACATAGACACTTACAAGAAACACTTTGTGAGTATTTTCTTTTTCAGTATTTTATAATCTTCTGTATCTCTTAAAATAAATTTATTAAAATGTGATTTATCTAATTTAATATATGTTACCAAAAATTGTCTCTTGTGAGCTTTAAGCCATCATCAGAAACAGACCTGGAATTTTGTTTTGTTTCATTCACACATGAGTTTGAATAACCCTTTATTATTAGACTCTACATCTCCAAAGCTCAAAATGCTCTGTTCCACCTTGTGATGTAATGAAGATTTCTCATGTAGTTTTGAAGTTATCAAGTTAAGAACTGAGCCTAAATATGCAGGGTTTGTACGTTAAACATGTGCATTTAAAGCTGACAACGTTTTACTCTGACTTATAAACCAGACGTCTTCACTACAATGAATAAATAAATCTGAATGATCTATTTTCCAAAATATCAGACAACTTTATTGAGCATATGAACTGAAGATCTGGCTCCCTCTCCTTGAGCTCAGATATGGTCTGTCTCTTCAGTTCTGCTTTCTCTCAGCTCGAAGAGCCTAACAGACATTTAACTCCACTTACATTATTTCAGATAGACAATTTCAGACTGTCACTACAACTACTAACTATGCTACATTTACCAATCACTGCACTTCTCCTGAACTTATTTTATCAATATGCCTTTTGTGTTATCGGAACATACTGGTAGAATTGGATATCCACATATGTTAAATTACTTCAATTAAGAATGTTATTTTTCTTGGAGGAATTAGACAAGTTACTGTTAGAGAAAACTACTTGCCATTTCTGAAGCAACTGTATATTAACAGTAGATGGATTAAATGTAAAATAGCTCTGTCTTCTAATATTCAGTGTCATTCAGAGACACCTTCAACCCTCTCTCACCTGATGAACAACATTTTGTGCTTCACCTGTTCATGTTAAAACTAGCTCACATTGTTTCTCAGCCCTTTCTCTGTGTATATATGTTTCATTTCTAAAATTCCTTGATGCATATGTGAGACATAAGACAAGACAAGCAAGAATATGGGGTCTAAAAACAGATTTTATTTTCAAAACAGAATAAAAAGACAAAATGCAATGTCAGGTAAACGCTGAAAGTTAAAAACAATACAACGAAGAACAGAAGAGCAAACTTCAGCAAACATATGTATCATACATCTGTATACGTGTCTATATATGTGTCTACATACACGTCTACATACATGTCTATATATGGTCTATATACGGTCTATATACGGTCTATGGCCTTACCTGAAGTAATCGCTGCAGATAGTTGAAATTTTAATCATCTGCTCGTTCCAATCGCTTCTTCCAATGGCTTGTAACAAGACGTCTCTTGTTTGCCTTGAAAGGGGTGCGAGTTGATGGAATTCTGTAAAACTTGCACATTTTGTTGCTTTTATCAAAACAGTTTGTGCATCCAACAACGCAACAAGACATGGCAGCAGCTCTTACTGCAAACAACATGCACAGTAGAGCAGCAAATGACATAGTCTGCTAATCCCTTATTGACTGTTAAACACATTTGTTCATGAAACGCTGTCAGAACGATCTCAAAAATCCACAAATAAATGCATAGGTAGTCACAAATATGTACGTGGGTTGTAAATGCAGGTTCATGGGTTTGCAAATAAATGTAACTGCACTGACATTTGCGAGTTGCGTAACATTTTATTTAGAGTCAAGAAATGCTTTTGTGAATGTTGTTACATTTATTTGCAAGTCTTGTGAATATCATTATTCTTCTGGACCAAGAAATGTATTTGTGAATCACGTGATATTTATTTGATAATAAAGACACTAATCGATCTCCAGGTATGTTTATGAGGAGGAAACATTATAACATAGAAAATTAGTGTAATATGGGCCATTCATGGTATGTGGGATTCCTTTTTCACTTTAACATTACAAACTCAACCTGATACTGCACCTGTCTGATGTTTTTTGTAGTGCTGTCATCATCGTAACTCTCGGTTCTTCAGGGCCCGGTCGTGAGCGTGTGGTGGAGCCCTCTGTGTCCTGGGGTGTTCCTGAGCTGTTCTTCAGACTGGACGGTGCAGTTGTGGAGAGAGGAGCGTTTCAGCCCAGCCCTGAGCTTCTCCTCGGCTCACAGGGCTGTCCTCGATGTGCAGTGGTCCCCCAAAAACGCCACTGTGTTTGGGGTTGTAAACGAGGCCCAGTTGGAGATATGGGATCTCCAGCACAGCATGTGAGTGGACATTACTGTTGATACCCAAATGATGTATATTTTCAATATTAGACAATATTGTAATTTTCATCACAAAATAATTGTAATTATTCATTGCAGCCTTACACTAGTTCTGATCAAATTCAAAATGAAACTGTTCAGGAAAAGTCCAATTGTATTCAGTTCTGTGATTTATTTTTAGTATTTGTATGTGCTTAAATGAGTATCTAGTTTTGATACTAGTTTTAGTATCAGTTAGTATCAGATTTTTTATACTTTTGACAACCTTAACCGGTCACAATGTCAGCCTGGGGCATAAGATGATTAGGAGAGGAGAGTGTACGTAGAGGGGATTGGCTGAGACAATTCATATTTTTCTTTGACTTAATTCAAGATCAGGCATGTTCAGAATATGGCCCAGGGGGCAAATGCAACTGTCAGACCAGTTTTCTTCCTGGAGAAATTTTCTATCACAAGTAGTGCATTTTTTAACAAGTTTTAAAAATCTGCCTCTTATAAAGCCATTATTAAACATGTGAGTATATTCTTTTGATGTTTGGCTCAGTCTAACGTCTGCTGAATTCATCCATTTTAATTATTGTCTGTATTGACTAGAGATGAGACACAATTTCCACAAGACAAGACAAGATTTTAACATAATTCCTATTATATAATTTCACGATTCAGTTTCCTTACAATTTTTTGTTTTTCACATATTTTTGTTTCCATTCTAGTATTGCTTTTTGGAACTGTAAGAGATGTAACTCACCAACACGTATCTCTTTTTTGTCCACTCCAAATCTAAACACTTGGAATAAAATCTCAATACAATTTTGCTCACATGTGTATAATCTTGTAGCAATTTTGTCTCACGAGATCTTGTGGCATGAGATCTTGTTCCATCCCTAGTATTGACCACCAGCCTATGCTCCTCAATCGACCCTTCATTTAATTCTATATGAACTGAAAATGAATACATTACTTTACTGTCTGTTACGACCCAGCTCGTTTGGGTAAGGGAAGTAACAAAATTAAAACCAAGATGTAAAATGGAATAAATTAAATTATGTTTAATTAACAGGAATGTAAAGGTAAATTAACAAAAGACTAAAAATATACAGAAAGCAACCTAAACTAAGAAACAGAACAATAGAATAAACAGAGTTTTGTGCCACAAAAGCACGCAGGCTTACAGAAAAAACGAGTGGTAAAACTTAGGGACACACACTAAACCAAAACACAAGTTCCCCAAATTAAACCGCATAAACCCACAAACAGAATCAAGTGACCAAATCAAAAAAGGCACAAAACAGAACTAAACTAAACTACATACACAGAAACAAAATGGCATACTGGCCACCAAGGCCGGCAGCCCCAAACAGGTGCTGGTAATCTCCTTAAATAGGGGGAGGTGGCTGCAGGTGAGGTGGCCGTGGACTTGCCCCACCAATCACAGACCAGGGCTCGTGCAGCAGGAATCAAGAGAACTCTGCAGAAATATTAGAACTAAGGCCTGGGGCCGTAACACTGTCCCATGATTCTCTCAATTTTTCATTGTCTCCCATAAGAATCATTCTTGAAGTGTGCATATGTTTCAGTTTGGACCCCCTGGTGGTGCTGGTGGCCCCTCCTTCTGTCAGCCTGACCTCTGTGCTCTTCACGTCTCACACAGACTGTGCTCTGGTGGGGGACACCAGTGGATCAGTGTCAGTGTATCTGCTCAGAAACATTTACAGTGCGCAGGGGGCACAGGTAACTCAGCACCATGTCATTCAATAGAACTTTATTTAACCCTGAAGAGCAATTTAAAGGTTCTATATTGTGATTTGTGAGTTCTTAGCCATGTTATAATGTTGTTACCCCATCAAAACCATACCTTGAGTTGTGTTTTGTTTATTCTCACATGTTTGATTAATCCTGGATTATTAATCTGTCCAGGTCTCCAGGTCTGTTTGTGATGAGGAATAAACATTAGAACAGAACAGTATATTGGCCATGACTAAAAGTGTATAATTGTTATGCATAGTATGTTTTTCCTTTCTTTCAGGTGGAGGTCTTGGAAGAAATCATCAACTCTTCAATTTCCAAATAAAGACTCATGACCAGAAACAGGACATTTGTGTAACAGCGATATTACCAATTGTTTATTAGAACAAAGTTTATTTAAGAGTGAGGTGTGGCCATATATTTAAGAGTGAGGTGTGGCCATATATATATATATATATATATATATATATATATATATATATAGTCGAGAGACCAGTGAGGGGAGTGGGGATGGGAACAGCTTGTAAAAAAAAATGCAATGTAGATGGTAGATTTAAATTCCAACTCCATTTTTATTTCAGTTGGATTTGTAGTGCTTTATGAAATAAAAGCAAAACTTCATGGTCAAACTTCTGTTTTTATATTTTAGAATTTTTCTACCTGATAATGTTCCCTCATGAAAAAGAAAGGACATTTGTGTAACAATTACAAATTCTTTATTATAAAATAGTTACAATAGTAGTACAATTAGCCAAAACAATTTTTACAGATTCAGATGTATTGTAAATATCTTATTACTTTGATGTTGAACTTGCTAAATTACAATTATGCAGACACAGATTTAACTGAAAAATGTCAAGTAATTTTTCTGATTTCTAATATACATTAAAAAAAACTATTCTTGTATATTCATTATCAGTCAATATTCTGCACTCTGTTAATGTTAATCAGTTTGTTCACAGATGCTCCATAAAATATTATTGCATTTTTGTTATAGTAAAATGCCTGATCCTTCCTGACTCCAGCTTTTAGAGGTGCAGTTTCTTGTCTATTTTTGTCCATTTAGGCCTCTGTAGAAAGTGTGAGGACTTGATTGTGATACTAAGGAACAGACTCAATACTGATTCTGATAGCACAATGATAATAAAAACACTTTAGACTATAATATGTCATTTTCAACAATCATAGTACTTTCTTTCATAATACCCAGATACAGCTTAGGATCATTGTAAAGCTTCAGGAAAGCTTCATTTCTATCCTGTGAATGTGCCATTTTTATTTGTATCGTTACCTGCTCAAATGAGTATCTAGTTTCTGATTTTCGATGCTTTTGACCACCCTAGTGAGGACCATCAAGTCTTCGACCTCCTCAAAGCCCCAGTAAAAGATCCGACCTCCGGACCAGGCTCCACATGAACGTGAAGAACCAGGAGATCAAGCAGATAAGAGCCGGACGAGTGCTGAACAGACTGAACGGACTGTGGACACAAAATATTGAACAGCTGATTTCATTTAAAAAAGATGTAGCTGAAGTCATCAACCTTCCCTGGAGGTGGGACGCTAACTGAAGGCACAGCTTTGTCTGAAATCGTGTTACTGATGTTAGACTTTAAGATGAATTTCATTTCAACACAATTTGAACAGAAAGAGCTGATATAGTTGGAACTATAACAGGTGAACTGATTTTTGCTGTGATCTCGATTCACCGGAATATTTGTCATTTCACATGAACAGTTGAGCGTGTCCATTGACCCACCTCTTGATGTGATTGGAGGACAGGTGACGGACGGTCTTTGCAGAGAAGGGCAGGGGAGGTTTGACTGGAAGGAGGGCAGAGCCTCGAGGCACTTTGGACAGGTTCAGCCTGAAATAAGGACACAAGAATAAACATGCATATTCAAGGAGGGGGAATCTAGGGACTTTTTTTTAATACAAAGTTCAGTCTGGTCCACACAATACTAAGGAATAGGGACTGATTCTGATACACAATTTCTTTAGACAATAGAATGTGATTTGTCAGCATCAAATCATAGTATTTTCTTTTATATTACCACATGGTCATATATGTGTCTAATCCCTCAGTGGTCCATGGTCGCCTACTAGTCTATGTGCTCTTATATTTATTTATTTTATTATTTAATTTTATTTATTTATTTTAATTCAGTTATTAACAAAGTAAATTATATTTCACATCTTTTTCAGTCATCTCTATTTTTTTCCCCTTTTTTTCCCTGGTAAGCAGCCATATTTGTTTTAATACATATAGACTATGCTTGTCTCTGATTGGCTAATCCACCTGTCAGTCCTACCCATCTGAACTCTGGAAGATTCACCAGTGATCAGACTCACATCTTTGTAAAGTATTGGAGAAGTGTGTATTCTGGATCCCAGGCAACAAAACACTGTGTGCAGGATTTACCTGGAGGAGGTGGAGAGGGAGCGAGGAGGGCGCCCCCCCTTCAGAGCACACAGTCTGTCCCCCTGAGAGAGGCCACTGTCCTCACATGTGTTCTGTTCAGGAAAGAAAAACAAATAACATATCTTAATATAATAAATAATTTTCATAATCATTCATAGTGAATAACTGAAAGTAAATATTTTCCCAACACTGTGACTTGTATGTATGTATTTTCTGATCTATGTTATAATGTTGTTTCCTCATCAGAAACAGACCTGGAGCTGGATGTTTAACACACAAACCCTGCATAGTTAGGCTGAGTTCTTCTCAACGTATCAACATGATTTATAAGTTTCACTTTTGTTTTTGATGCTCTTAGACTCTTTGTGTTAAGTCACTCCCCCTTCAGAGCACTATCACGACACAATCAGCGTGCATCCTGCCAATGAACCTACTGCACATTGTTTGTGAAGTTGTTCTGTTCAGTTTTGTATCATGATTTTTATATATTTAGGGAGAATTGTCCTAGCCTGATTCATCCGCCGGTTTCGCTTTGTGGAAATTGTCTGACCTCACAGCATTAGGATTCGTTCGCTTGATGATAGGCAGGTACTTTTTTAATTTAACCAATCGCTGCTGTTTGGTTGTGGTGTATGTAATGCGCCAAATCCCGTAGGAAAAAGGGCAATAACGTCTTTCCCCTCGATAAAATTCACCAAACAATCTCTTTGTTTCGGGTTTAAATCCTCGATCTCGGAAATCGTTGCCAACACAGAATGTCTGTCTTTGTCTACATCCATCTGTTGTGCTGTACCACAAAAGGGACCCAGACAGGCACGATGACAGCTCTTTGCTGATTGGCCAGTGTGCGGGCTACAACTTCTGGGGTTCTTGCAAACTGTCTAGTGCATTCTGATTCCTGACCTAGTCGCTGGAGACTAGGTTAGAGTGTAGGAAGAGCATTGGACATAATTTTATAGCTAACCATAAGGAGGTTTTGGATAGGTAAATAGGTAGTTGCTAAATTACTGGAACATGCATGGACCTTTTCACCTCTTCAGGCAGGTTTTTGATAAACATTATAACATGGTAGAAAGCAAAACAAAAACAAAAAAACTTTTCATAATGACACCCTCTATGAAAAACTGTAATTAAACCACTGAGGAATAGCATTAAACTAGTTCATTCATCTAATTGGTCATTCAAACCTGTTTTTACTATGTACATTGTATTTTCATAGTCCTGACCTCATCGTAGCTGTAGGACCTTTGGAGGCCGTTGCTGTTGATTGACAGGTCCTCTACGCCATTGAGGAGGCGGGACATTGTCTCCGGTTGGTGCTTCTGATTGGTGGAGGCGTTGTCTTTTCTCTGCTGCAGTTGTTGCTTCCTGATCTGCCTCTGCTCCTGGAGTTTCTGTTTGGAGCGAAACACGTCTCCCTGCACCCAAAGGCTCTGCTGCTTCCTGCACACACCACATTTGATTTTTGGTGATTGAAAGATAGAAGCAAGATCAATTCAAGGTCGTAGTGTGGATATTATGTTATTTTCAGATCTGTGTTATAACATTGTTTCCTGATCACAAACAGACCTAGAGTTGTTTTTCTTCATTCGCACTTGTTTAAAACACAAACCCTGCACACTTACTCTGAGTTTTTCTCTCAAACTGAAAATACTCTGCTCCAACTTGTGATGTCATGTGGTAATACAGGAAGTGCTCCACTGTGTTTTTAAACTCCACACACCTTCACTAGAATCATTTGGATCATTTCAGCCCTGGAATTGTTAACCTCTGAAGAAAACACAGCAAAAAGTGGACTGTTAAAATTGACTCTCACAGAATCAGTTTTAACATTTTCTCTGGGTTTATATGAGTCCAATCTGTTCTAGAGTTAATTTAACATTTTTGGAAATGTTAATTAAGTAACACTGGACCAAAGTTCCTGATTAACCCCGAAATCAGGAGTTATATTATTGTTTTGAAAGTAAACACATAACACTTTGTAGGGCTATCCTGACTTAGCTAAACAACACACAGAGGTATTTTATTTTTACACTTTATTTTAGTTAATTTAAGATGAATTTATATACAAAACTGGTTCAAACTGGTCATCTCTCGCGGGAGTTTGAAGTGGTGGGTGGGAGGTGCCAAATTAACACTAAGGCAAGTTGACTGAACACAAGGGAAAGTTGAATTCACTTCAAGCATATCAACAACTTGAGCCCCCATTTAACTTTCAAATAGTTAAAATAATGCTTTCTGTGTTAAAAACAACTCTGAAATATGTTACCCTGAAATTTTATCCCTCCAGTTTTCGCTGTGAAGGTAAACGGAGCTGTTGACTTAATTTAAAACTACCACTACATGACATCACGAGGTAGAACAGAGCATTTCGAGATTTAAATATGTAGACAGACTAATAATAAAGTGTTACTTAAACATGTGTGAATGAAACAAAACACAACTGCAGGTCTGTTTTTGAGGAGGTAACAACATTATAAAAAGGCTTAATGGTGCACTATGCAGCTTTTCTGGGTCAGGGTCTGCCACCTCCTTGTCTCCATGGAGATGCCAGCATATTGCTTTGCTTGCTGTATTCCACAGTAGAGCATTTAAATGTATCTTTCACCAGTGAGACAGCCGGTAACACAGCTAGGCCATGGTACAGGTCAGATCTATGGAAAGTCAAGCACACTCAAAGTAAGAGTGCATGTTTTTCAAGGTGTTTTTAGGTCATTAACACAACTGTTACTCAGTAAAATATGATGGATAAGTTTAATGTTCACTGGAACATCCCAAGAAAAGCAATATCTCCATGAAAACCCAACAAAAAGTTACACAGTGCACCTTTAAAGCTCACAAGATTCAATTTTATGTACTATAGGTATAACTTTTCATGGGAAGGATCCACCGCCTGCTTGTCTCTGCAATGACTTTATTAGTTTGTCTGGAATATTCCACAGTACGCCATTAAATGTATCCATCTTCCATTCATAAAGTTGTTTTTATTGCACAAAAATACCTTTATAAACATGCATTTTACTGTGAATGTAGTCATCTCTCCATAGTACTGATCTGTAACTTAGCTTGATGGCATCGCATACTTGTTTTTATGGAAATAGACAAACTTACACAATGCACCTTTAATAATTATGTTTTTTTTTCACCATAGCGACGTAACCACAGTATCAGAGACTCACATCAAGAGGAAGTTCTGCTGGGGTCCGATCACAGAGCCGGGCCGACAGATCCTGATCCACGCGATAGCCTCCGCTGCCGTGAACCAGAAGTGCTTCATCAGGTAACAGCCAATCAGAGTGCCCGTCCTGCCCAGGCCCGCTGCCATTGGACGAAAAAAAGGAACAACAGTTTAGAAGGAGTCATATGGTACAGAAGTACAGGAAAAGAGAGGCTGAGGAGGCAGGTGGGTCTGCTGCTGTAGTGGGGATGGAGTGAAGGAGGCCTCCCTCATGTTTACTCCTTCCTTCTGTGGTTTGCTGCCTATTCATTATGACATGTCTCTATTTAGACGTGCTGGTTTTCCGACACTTTTTAGTATCGCTATACTGACATGTCACCTGTGCATATTCAAGCTGCTGTCCATGGTGCTGAATGCAGCAGATCGATCAGTAGGTAGGTAAGTTTTTTCCCCAAATATAATTAGCTTATGCAAAACAGACATCCTTAGGCTTATATGTCTACAGCCCCGTTGCCCCCTTCTATCAGCCTAATATCTCCCTTTTGCCAAGTTTCTTATCTGTTCTGTAGCGGTGTGGTGTCCAAATTGCAATGCGTAGCCAAGCTTGGCCAGCAGCCACCTAGATGAGACTGATTTGGCCAAAAGAAATAGGGGCCTAATCCGTCTACAATCAAATTTCATCACCGCGTAGGTTGTCAAATATTTGTTTTGGGCTGCGAGAGTGTCATCTCATTGACCTGGTGCAATGAATTTGACTAATTATTTATTTAGGCCATATGGTGTTCTCCGCAGATGGCCTAAGTGACGAAATGTACTACTCCACTCCGACAATTAGTCGTTAATGTCAATGTCTAAACAGTGGCATGTTGAAACAGCAGCATGTAACTCTATGACACATTTGATGGACAGCTGAAAAATGTGGCCTGGCTCTCCTTATCATCAGACTGAGCTAACCTTTGCAGTGCACCGCCACAGCTCCGGGGGCGCTCTCGCACACATGCAGAAACCTCCGCATGATGAGGTCAGAGGGCGTGGAGCCATCCAGGAAGAAAAGATCGTGATGAGTGAATCCGGCTCCATCAAACCTGCGAGCGTCGTACATCTTTTTGTTGAGCCTCACCACATCTGTGACCCCGTGCTGCCTGAAGAAAGGGAAGTATGCCTCGGGAGCGTGCACTGGATAACCTAGCAACGCACAAACAAAAACATTTACCTTTTTAAAATTTTATGGAGAAACAATAGTAGTTTTGCTGCAGCTTGTCAAAGCCTGATCCTGTCAGATCTCAGAAGCTCAGCAGAGCTGGGCCTAGTCAGTATTTGGATGGGAGATCACTGGGAACACCAAGTGCCTCAGTGGGGTGCTAGTGGTAAAAAAAACAAAAAACATAAGCACCCACATTGCATAGTATGAAAGTGGTGTGAGCGTGACAGATAATAATGGTTGGAGGGACCGATGCTGCAGATAGGCAACCTTGCTTCTGTCAGTCTGCCCCAAGGCAGCTGTGACTACAAAAGTATCTTACCACCACCGAGTGTGGAGTGAATGAATAATGATCTGAAAAAGCGCTATATAAAACTGTTGCATTATTATTATAATTATAGAAATACAACTGTACAAAATTTGCTTTATTGACTTTTGATGCATTATTTATTATTAACAAAAGGTAACTATTAACTTGAAAACTACTGCTTCATGACATCACAAGATGGAACAGAGCATTTTGAGCTTTGGAGACAAACAGAGTAATGATTACATTACTCAATGAAACAAAACACAACTCTAGGTATATTTTTACAGAGGTAAGAAGATTCTAACATGGCTTAAAACTCACAAGAATCCATTTTGAGTCATATAAGACCTTTAAACTTCTGAGTGAACAGGAGCATCTGTCCCTGCAGAAGATCTACAAGCAGCCCTCTCTGCGACAGGCCCATAAGATCCCGACTGAGGCTCTGCTGTTGCTCAGAGTGTGAGTCAGGGCTCCACGCTGTCGCATGAACAGACTTAAGAATGCCTGTGTGCCAGTGTCTATTAAGCTACTGAATATGACTAGGCAACTGTTGATCATGCACTTTATATGGAGCAATGAACTGTAATTAACTTGTGTTTATTCTGTATTTATGGACTACTTCACAGTATATATTGCATTGATTGCAGCATAGGCGGAGAGCCTGAGACAAATTGCCCACTCGTGCAACCATGAAGTTAATCTTGATCTTGATCTTATTCTCAGACATCACCTTCGTCATTAGAAACTCACATGTTGTTTCCTGTTGTAAGGAGACTTCCCAGCAGGCATCTGTGCTCTAGTGATCCTGTTAGAGCTGGATTAAAACATCACCACAGTGACCGGCAGCAACAAGCCAACCTACTTTTAATGAGGCAGTCTATGTAAAGCTGAGTCTGACTCAGACACTGAGCTGAACAGACTCCAGCAAACAGCAGAGTTTAAAAGGCCCTTGTTGTGATCTATGTTCTAATGTTGTTTCCTCATTAAAACAGACCTGGGGTTGTGTTTTGTTTCATTCACACATGTTTAACACACAAACCCGGCATTTTTAGGAGTTCTTCTGTTCACTCTGTTCCACCTTGCAACGTCATGTGGTAATACAGAAAGTGCTCCACTGTTTTTACATACATCTTCATTAGAATCATTTAGATAATTTCACCCTTTGGAATTGCCATTTTTTTACAAAACAAAAGGTAAAAGGAGCTGTTCACTTGAAAACTACAACTACATGACATCACAAGCTGGAACAGAGCATTTTGAGCTTTGGAGATGTAGACAGACTAATAATGATGGATGACTCAAACATGTGTGAAACAAAACACAACTCCAAGTCTGTTTTTGAGGAGGTAACAACATTATAACATGGCTTAAAGCTCACAAGAGTCAATTTAGCAGAATATATGGCCTTTAAAATGATTGACTGATGTCCAGTGATCTCTCTATGATTTAAAATGGTCCATATATCCTTTGTTACTGACCATTGTCCATCTTGCTGCGCTGGTGTGGGCTGCTGAAGGCCAGGAGTTTCCCCGGGATGATCCAGTTCAGGTCCCCATTCTCCACTCTCTGCAGAAGGAGCACATGGTCACACATACACACACGAACAGATAGAGATATGGTGGTAGTTTGGAGGTGGGAGCGGTTGTTCTGACCTCATAATGCTCATAATCCTCCACCTTAAACTTGTCAAAGTCCAGGAAACCATGCTGCACAGCCTGAGGGAACACACAGACAAAAACACAAAACATATAAACAATTTATATTCTGACAATAGACCTTTTGCACAATGGCTGGAGGTGCCCCACTGTAGGTTTGAGGAACTTCCCGTTGATACAAAATATCTGTGGAAATGTCTCGTGTATTCTCAATCAGCTTCATAAATCTGCCCCATCACCAAATTTTCATCCAACAAGGTCCACAAAGGATAAATTATGTCCATGAAGAATTTATCCACAACTATCGAGGTAAGAAAGATGAAAGCTTAAAGGCTAAAAACAACTAGCATTAGTGAATTACTCCCGAGCAAAACTAATGTTATAATCATGAATAACGTGAGTAATAAGTCATTCTTTAAGAGGGTGGGTAAATAGAAGCACATGCCGTTCACAGACACCAGAATGAACATATTCACAGTTCATTCATCAGACAGTAATACAGTGCATTCAGTTCATGTTCGCCCAAAATATGATCTCGTTCATGAACTATCATTCAGTGAACGCAATTATGCACAACACTGGTGCTAGGTGATATCAGTCCGCCGCTGCCAAGCTTTCGATCAGCAAGTACAACTGCTGCTGCTCAGACACAAATCCTTCAAATGCAAGGTTGGTTTTAGTTCTACAATTATTCTATTGACACAGACATTCACATCAACAGTCTGGTGTTATAATTGTTTTGCCTCGGTTTTTTTGTGAAGTAGGTAAGTCTGTTTTTAGTGGCAGGCTAACTATGACCATTGACATGCACTAGCCTAGCACCAGCAACCTCTGCAAATGCAAGGACTGAATTGAATATTTAAAAAAGCATCTCCACACGTCTCCAACACTCTGGCTCAATAGAAAATGAGGTCCTATGTCCAAAATTCCGAACTGTCCCTTTAATAATAAATGATAATACATAGCACTCGTATAGCGCTTTTCAAGATACTCAAAGACGTTTTACATGAGGAGACAGACGCAGATTTCTGCAGTTCAAATGCTACAGATGTTCACAGATTACATGTCTAACATTCAAACTGCACAAATTTATCTATGTTAATACCTACATCATGAAATCGATTTTTAATATTCATTGTAGAATCAGTCTGAGTTAATAAGTTACTTATGTTTTATTCATGACCATAATGTTAGTTTTGATCAGTAGTTCACTAATGCTACTCTCGATTTGCCTTTACATTTTCATCTTTCTTACCTTGATAGTTGTGGATAAATTCTTCATGGACAGAATATGTCCTTGTTGAATGAAAATACGCAAGACATTTCCACAGACTTTTTGCCATAGAAAACCATTAACCGAAAGTTCAGCTAAACCCTACAGCGGGGCACTTCTGGTCGCTGTGAAAAAGGTCTGTCCATCTATTTACCCTGTACCCATTTTTTTCACAGTGTGTCATAGTCCAGTACAGATAAATTGTATAAGCAACTCTTAAGCCAGTACTGTCTTTATTATTAATTAGAAAGCAATTTATTGTTCAGTTATCAGGTGCACATTAGCATTCTAGTTGTCCACTGTTGTGAAAGTGGTGGCTTCTTTCTGTATGTGGTACCTTGTGTATTCCATGTAAACAGTCCAGCACAGACAGGTTAAAGGAGCACTCCCCCGCACCAGCGTCCCTAAACACAAACAACACAAGTCTGTAAATGTACTGCGAAAGACTACTGCAGTACTTTACTTTATTGTGAAGTATGGTGAAAGTCTGTTGCCATGACACCGACCTGAAGCAGATGAATCCTGAGCAGTTTCCACTGAGCAGACTCCTGTACGCCTCGTCTGGACCCCTTTTCAGGTAAATTACCTGGAGAACAGGTACAACTTTAGTTAGAGCATAATGGAGGTGACAAAGCTTTATATAAAATGCCGGGGTGACATCACATACTATATTTTTTTGGAAAATTCTTGTTAGTATATGGTATTTTAGTGTTACTTTCTTGGTTATAGACTATTTTCAGTAAAACTATTTCAATAATAACTTGTACTGACATTACAGGGATGGTATATGCGTTTTCAGTTGTCAGCACTAGGATTTCAGAGGATTTCCTGTTTAAAATTGTATAAAATAATAATAACAATGTGCATATTTAAAAACAAGGTAAAGGGACACAATAATGAAAGCAGGTTAGACATTGAAAGCAGTTCTTAACAGATCTGAGGTTTTGAGCAGTTTCTTGATGGTGGAGAGTTCAGTGCAGTCATGGATTTAGCTGAGGTAGTGAGTTCCAGAGTTTGGAGGCAGAGATGGAGAAGGCTCTGTGTCCCCAGGTTAGGAGCTTGGTCCTACAGGGGATGGACTGGAGGTTGGCGTCAGAGGAGCAGAGGGAGTGAGATGGAGTGTGGGGGTGCAGCAGCTCTGAGATGTAGGAGGGGGCCTGGTTGTGGAGGGTTTTGAAGGTGAGGAGGAGGACTTTGTGGATGTGCAGAGGGATGCAAGAATGTTTTTCTTTTGTCTCCAGTAAGTTAGACTACTGTAATGGCCTGCTGGTCCTGACTTGAACCAGGAAGTACGAGCACATGCGTCCTGTACTCAGGTCTCTGCACTGCCCCCTGTGGCTCAGAGACTTTAAAGCGTCTCTGCTTGTGTACAAGTCTTTCCATGGTCCAGAACCAAAGTATATCTGTAACATGTTAGTGCTGTATGAACCATCTCGCACTCTGAGGAGCTCAGGGACCGGCCTCCTGCTGGTGTCCAGAGTCAGGACTCTACTCTTACTCTGTTTGAATCCAGACTCAAAACAGTTCTGTTTAACTGTGTGTATGACTGAAAGGTTTTCATTTTTCATTCCGTACTCTTCTCTGTCATTTAATGTCTCTTTCTCTTTTTAATTTTATGATGATTGATGATTTTAATGTATTTCTTATTCTATAAAGCACTTTGAATTACTTTGTGTCCCATTTGTGCTATACAAATGAACTTGCCTTGTCTTTAAAGGCAGCAAATGGAGGTGTCCTTGGCACAGAAGTGCTATTGTCTATTCAAGTCTTCCATTGTAGGGAGCATTATACCTCAGGCCAGATAAAAAGGTCTGCGCTGGAGATGTCTTGGCCCAGTAGTTGAATCTCCCTGTCAAAGATCGTATGTATTGAAGGTTTATATACTCACAGCGTAGGCCCCGATCAGAACAGCAGCGTTGGCTCTCTTCTTTGGGTCATGGGAAGTGAAGTGCACCAGCTTCTTCTTGGACATGGTCAACGACTGTGGAGACATGAACGCATCACTATCGTCGTACATTCAAAGCTCCTTAAATAAACAGACTGTACATCTCCATAAGTGAGTTCTGAGCACTCACCTTGAGCTTCTTGTGCAGTTTGGTGCAGTAGCGGTAAAGCATGGCCAGGTTCAGAGGCCCGAAGTCTGAGTAAAAGCTGAAGGAGAGACACATGCGGGTAGTTAAAGGGAAAAGTTGATACTTTGCAGCTGAAGTCATCAATATTCCCTGCGAGGTTGAAGCTAACTGGAGGGACTGCTCCGTCTGAAGATATGTTAGTCGAGTTAGTTTTAATCTGATCTTTGTTTTAGCACAATCTGACCAAAAAGTCACCAGAAAATGTTTTTTTTTTTTTTCTTTTACTTTTTTTTGGCTGTGTCTTTTAATGTGTGCATTGTGTCTCCATGATAACTGCTGAGCATTCCACCCATTTTTTAAAAATTATTATTTATTTAAACAAGACAAAACTAAATTAACAACACTAACAAAAAACAAAACAAAAATCTACATGTACATATTTGGGACCTGGTGCTCAAAAGGAATAGAATGAAATTTAAAAAAAAAACTTCCCACATCATTAGTTTACACAAAGTTGTATTTCGATTGATTCCAGTGTGTTTGAGTATTCCAGTATTGTCCTGCATTGAGGCTCGAGTGCTTAGAACATTTCTGTTTTCACCTACCCCCTGGCTCCACCCATATCCCTGTATTTAGTTGAAGTTATTCAGACCCTGCATCATATGTAGGGTTAAAAAATGCCACATTGCCAAAAGATATAACATCTTTTTTTAAATGTAAACTTTTCTTTTTCTTACAACATAGTATCTTAAAACATACAATACTATCTTAAAATAATATGAAAGTTTTCTTGTTAAAAACATCATATTATTCAGCTGAAATGTTTTTATAGTTAAGTGCAATTACAGTTTACACTTCCACAGAACGCCAAGGCTGAGGTATCAAAATGAAATAAAAGAAATGGTTACGTCCTAATTTCCATTCAGAAGTCAGCTCCATTCACAGCCTGCTCCCATAATCCTCTGCTCCTCTAATCCTGGTCCAGTTCTTTCTAAACACGCCTCGCACTCTTATATAACACTCAAATCCACTTTATCAGACTCACCGAGCACTCGGAGTTCTCATTACATTACATATTTATTTATTTGTTTTAATCCTGATCGCCATGACTACCACTACTACTACGCCGCGGGGGCAGTGGTCGGTAGGTGACGTCCCATAATGCACTGGGGCGGTAGTATTATCATCAGCCCCGTGTCCTGTTCTAAATCCTCCCCTGTGTCAGAGAAACAGCTCATCTGCTCCTGACCTGGATCTATACACAGCACAGCACAGACACGAAAAAATTAATTAAATTAAGTTTGCACTATGTAACTTTGTGGTTGGGGGTCCGTCACCTGCTTGTTTCTATGGATATGTCATTGCTCTGCCTGGAATGTTCCACAGTATGACATTAAACAGCTCTACCTTAGATTTATTCAATTACAATATGTAGAAAAACAGACATTCTGACGGGGTCACCTCTCCATAGATCTGACTTGTAACTTGGTCTGGTTTGGTCTCTATGAAGGTAGAAAGGTTTAATACCATACTGTGAAACATTCTAGACAAAGCAATAACATCTCCATGGAGACAAACCATCAGAAAAGTTACATTAAATTACATGAATTACATTACTTTACATTACATTAGATCCTGTTGAGTGGGTCTGGGTTATTTGATCTTTTTCTGATCATTGTTTAAATCTGAACAGGTTAAGGTTTCTAGATTTGCATGGACCTGTGTTAGTTCTAGTTTAGACCTGGTTAGGTTCCACATATCAGAGTCCAGGTTTAGATTCAAGATAAACTTTTAAGTTCTGATTCAGACTGCTTGGAATTCTGTGGTGGAATTTGCTGTTTAACTCAGATTGCAGAGTTATTGCCCTGATCATTGACCTGATTTTTGGCTCATATCTCTGTATTACTGGGTCTATCCACATGAAACAAAAACAGACACATATCTTCTCTGTCAGTATAAATCACCAGATTTTTTCTCTAGGAGCTGGACTATGGCTGTGATGGGGGGTCGGGGTCAGGTAGGCAATATAACAGAATTGTATGACCCTGATGATGCAGATTATATTCTCTGAAAACCTCCACATTTTCTTTACATATCAGACAAACTGCATGCTCCTTACATTGAACAAAAAATAATTGGTTGTCAACTGTTCTTTTGAAAAGTCCGCTCTCTCTGTCAACTTTTTGTACTTTAACACTTGCCATTTTACTGTCCTTAACTGCACTACACAACTCTGTGTGAGCGTTGACTCTCACTCTTTGATCTTGAGGTTGTCAGGTGTCGAAAACTTGGCAGCAAATGTAAATACGTTGTATAATAATTTAAATATAAATACTTCGTATAAATATAATTTTTAATTGAAAAAATCTACAAAATACGAGATGCAGACGTGTTATTATTTGCCAAAAAATAAATTAAAAAAATAGGCCATAACAATTTTTGAGGATTGTCTCATAGGGCCAGTTCAAGTGGTGGGGGGCACAGGGGCTGGGGGGCTGGTCATAGGGGCGTGGAAGGCCGGAGTTGGTTGGTTAGTTTGATGACCCCTGGTATAAGTAAACAAAAGTCAAATTATGGTACCATTACGCACCCCTAAAGATGTGATTGTTGTGTTGAAATTACTTTGAGCCATACTGCAAGTTTTTGAAGCTCATGATAAGGTTCAACATTTGTGAATTTCTATTTTGGATATTTCTTTCAAAAACAAAAACTATCCTCCATCAGAAATTATTACATTATTAAATTACTCATACCTTAATACTGTAGAATGCAAATATTTTTTACTTGTGTAATCTTTTTGATCAGACGTTTGTATATTTACTTCAGTAATATTCTGCTGAAGTACCTATGCTCTTACTTGTTTTGAGTACCCACCTCTCATAGACAAACTCCTCATCTGAGCTGAAGTAGTGAATGAAAGTAGAACTCTTTGGCTTGATCCTCAGAGTGGTAAAATACAGACGATCTGTGGGGGGAAAAGTAAAAGAGTGCTTCAATAAGTTCATAAAAGCAACATGATAATAATATGACTTATGAGTAGTCCAATGTAGAGCTGTCAAAAGTATCTAAAATCAGATACTAATCAGTACTTAAACTAATATTGAAACTAGATACTTGCTTTTCGCAGGTATTGATACTAAAAAAGTCCCATTGACAGGACAGAAATCGGTATCGGAATCGGTATTAGTATTGAGTCTATTCCTCACAGTTTTGATTCAACACTATCCAAATGCATTACATAACATTTAAACCCATCAGCCGGTGAACAGAACAGGAATTCACCAGTTTTCACCAGTGTCCCCGAACGCCTCACAAGTTACTTCATCAGATTTATACAACCTAATCCCACATCACCGGGAAGTCATTCAAACACGCTTAACTTTTCAATCAGTGAAGTAATTCTAGAAAAGGTAACTCATTTGAACTTCACAGAGGAGTTTTCAGACACGATAAGTTTATATTTGTGAATGAATAAAGTAGAAAGTTTAGTAGAAACTATCATCAACAGTCATTATAGAGAGCCATCCAACAATTTGTTCAACTTAAAGTGTTAAAAATGCATAATACTGTTGATTTAAGTATCCTCAAAGTCATGTATAAAGCAAAGTGCGATGTATTACCTGTAAATATGCAAAGACTGTTTAAGATGAGAACAGGCCACTACAATTTAAAAGGAGCCTACATTTTTTTAAAGCAAACCCAGATTCAGAACCAAGGTTATGGAGCGAAGCGTTGCAGTGAAAGGAGTTAATTTGTGGAAGAGTCTTGACAAAGATATAAAAAAATCAAATCCCGTGCAATGAAAAAAATATTGCAATGTGTATGTATGAAAAAGAAACTAAGTTGTTGTGCATTATAGTGAAAATTTTCTAAATAATTGTGCCTGAAGTGAAATTTTTAGTAACAGTTGGTGCTGATGTATTGTCTGGAAAAGGGAAAAGGGAAAAGGTGGCAGATAACATAAGATAAGATCTTTCTACTCCTTTTCATTCATTTCTTGTATGTTTGCTTTTTTATACTTTACGAATGAAACAAATAAACAAAAAAGATAGAAGTTAAAAGGAGAAAATTAAGCAGTGAGACAGACCTGTACACACATTCGCTCTTAACGCACTTGCATAATGACTCCACAAATAATTAATCCTTTACAGTTTACATAAAAGTATTTGTTGTAAATCTCCTCGTGATTTAAAGGGCATATTAGGCTATTTTCTGATGTTATAATGTTTTTTCCTCATCACAAACAGACCTGGAGTTGTGTTTTGTTTCATTCACACATTTTTAACACGCAAACCCTGCAGATTTAGGTTCTTCTCAAACAGAAAACACTGTTCCATTTTGCAAAGTCATACAGGATGTGCTCCACTGTGTTTTCAAACTCCATACACCTTCATTAAAATAATTTGGATCATTTCAGCCCTGGAGTTGCCAATTTCTGCTTAATAAAAGATAAAGAAAAATCGCGCACACTGTCTTACTTGAAACATTTCGGCCCTAGGACAAAGGTGGCACGGTTTGTCCTAATATATCTCTCATTTTGCAAGTCAGACAGTGTGCGTAATTTTTCTTGGGCTGCTCCCTCTCCTCCAATGCGCCCATCTCAAGTAATTGACATGCACAATTCTCATTCTTTTATATTACTTAATAAAAGATTAAAGTAGTTGTTAACTTAAAAACTACCACTTCATGACATCACAACAGAGAGTTTTGAGCTTTGTGGATGCAAACAAACTACTAATAAAGTGTTACTCAAACATGTGTGAATGAAACAAAACAAAATAACAACAACAAAACTCCATGTTATTTGGGGAGGTAACAATATTCTAACATGGCTGTAAGCTCACAAGAGTTAACAGGCTCTATTCACAGTTATGTCACAAACCAGGAAGACGTTTGGAAAGATGCGATTACAACTTATAGTGTAATTCCTGACAATGGGCTTGCCAAACATGGATCTATTAAAACCGACTGTGATAAAACCCACTGAAGTGAATGTGATCAACGGTAAAATGAAGACTGCATACGTATGTGTTGTTTAGAATCATCTTGAATTTGACAACTCATCTCTTCTAATCACATGTACCCAGGGCGCTCGGAGTTGTGTGTCAGTTGGGAAATGATGAAAACTGAGGTATGATTGTAATTGTTGATGAGTTAAACATAACGGAGCACTACAATGGCATGTAGATGAAGAAAACTGAGTCTGGGAAGTTGTAATCGCAAATTTCCAAATGTCTTATGGTTTTATGACGTAAGCGTGAATAGAGCCTATTTTGCATAATTTAGAACCTGTAACTGCTTCTTTCCCAAGATCCAGCCACTGCCCAGTACTACAATCCCAACAAAACCTCCAGAATTCCCTCCCTGAGCTGCAGAGGCTGAACTAGCACTGACTCATGACTGGTGCAAGTGCTGGGGTTTTGGTTCGGGAGTGACCATTCAGATCAGACAGAGGCATTTTAGGTTTAAACCAACTGGATTTCAGCGTTGAACCAGTAACCCAAATGAGAAAGTCATGTGAGGCTCATTCTGCTTTCTGATTGGATAACTGTCTCAAACCAAAACAAAATTATAACATAAAGAAGTCTGCCATCATGTCCAATGTTTTTGTAATTACGAATAAATCAGCATTACAGTTGTTATGAGTAAAACCTGTATTTGATTTGAACATGTTTACCCCATAGGTCACGAAATTTGATGTGTGCAAAACATTTTCTACTTTTCTGTATAGTTTTAAGAAACATTTATTTGGGAAACACGCCCTTACATGACTTACTTACGAACTATTACACACTATGTCATCATTATTGAACCTTACTCTATATTCTGTGACACTGTGACATGATTTAAAGTCACACATACATATACAGTCCATGGTCATACATTAACAGAGTTTTTATTATTTGTTTGTAGGTTTGTCTTTTTTGGATTCATTCTAAAATCTAAGTTAAATGTTACATCTAAGCAGCTTGAAGAGGCATTGTGTAACTTTTTGGTTACGGGTCCATCACTTCCTTGTTTCTATAGATATATCATCGCTCTGCCTGGAATGTTCCACAGTATGACATTAAACAGCGCTACCTTACATTTATTCAATTACAGGTGGTCTTATAGCTCAAAAATACCTAGAAAAACAGACATTGTGACTCTGAGTGGGGTCGCCTCTTCACAGATCTGACCTGTAACTTGGTCTGGTTTGGTCTCCATGAAAATGGAAAGGTCTAATGCCATACTGTGAAACATTCCAGACAAAGCAATAACATCTCCATGGAGAAACGCATTTGACGGAGCCTCCACCAGAACAGTGACATAATTACTTTAATACTTTTTTGTAATATCCACCTTTTACTCCAACTTCAAAATTCAAGCAATTCTCTTAGCAATTTTGAACTTTTTACTTTTACTTTTTTTTATGTTTTTTTTTTTTTTATTAATGTAAATATGTATACATTTTTAACAATTTATGAACAAATCAAAAATTAAAATAAACTAGATAACCAAAGTATTGAACAAAAGAGGTTTCAAAAGACAATTAGTTGTAAACATGTACGATAATGAAATGGAATATTGTGTTTACTGTGCAAATACATTATACTATATATAATATTTATAATAAAATTCAAACAAGTTGACTCACCTTTAATTATCTCAGAAGCAGAGCTCTGGTCAAAATCTTCGGCCATGGCTCCAGAAACAAAAGAACTCCAAAAACTAAAGCAAGTCCAGAATCCACAAAGTTTAGAATCGAGTTCTCTGTGGACAGTTTAAAGAGAGACACAGAGAGACAAAGAGACACTGAGATTGGCTGTGTCCAGTGTCCAATGTGCAGATGATGTCCACAGTGAGAAGGAGGAGGAGAAAGAGGAGGAGGATTGGTCAGAACAGTCCAGGCGCTCACACAGGATTATCTACTGCACATGCTCAGTACACACACGTATACACACGTATACACACGCACACACGTACACACTTCTTGTGTTTATCCAGGGCTGGGTCACAGAGGCAGCAGTCTGAGCAGGGTCTCCCAGACTTCTCTCACCCCAGACACTTTCTCCAGCTCCTCTGTGGGACATCAAGGCGTTCCCAGGCCAACGCAGAGACAATCCCTCCAGTGTGTCCTGGGTCTTCCCCGGGGCCTCCTCCTGTGGGACATGAGGGCAGGTGTCCAGGAGGCACCAGGAACAAAGCCTCCTCAGATGCTCCTCTTGGTGTGGAGGAACAGCAGCTCAACTCTGACTGGGACTTTAATATAATATAAAATGGTGGATGGAGCCGTGCCCTGTTGCCCTGTTGCCCTGTTGCCCTGTTGCCCTGTGGCAGTGGTTGAATGGTGAGTTAAACAAACACAGAAAACATTTAACCTACAGGAACAACAAAAAAATCCATTCATTTCAAAAGTCCATCCCAGTTCCACCTCATGATGTATGACTTTGAAGACTACAGGTGTAAATTAGTTCCCATGTATAACCTGCATCTACATTTTTCCTATGACTGTACAAACAAAAAGAATACCTAACATAATACTTATGTATGACCTATGACTTTACAAACACCAGGAGAAAAAGCCATGACTAACTCTAACAGTACAGGTGTAAATAGCTAAATCATGCAGAATAAACCTACATTTGATTTGACAGGAATAAGATGTAGAGTTGCATAAAGTTCTGACATCCCACAGTCCACCACCAGAGGGCCCCAGTTTGAGAATCTACATAATATAGATCAGCCCATCAAGCCTGTTAATACTATTATTTGGGGCATAACAAAAAACAGAACTATTAAATTATCTCCAAATGCACGGTTTTGTTGTTGAGGTGCATGTCTGTGTGACAATCAAAGCCTGACTCCATTGGCTCACCGGGGTGCACAGAGCAGTCCGCTGTCCGCGTCAAGGACAAACCAGCAGCGCTCGTGCCTCTGCCCGCATGGTGACGTCACACAGCCCACCGCCCGCGCGCCCCGTCCGCGAGCATCAACACAAAACTACGGCACCTCCATCATCCACCGTCATGAACCGCGGTTAACACGATCCACGACGAGGACGCACCGAGCGGACGCGTAAAGATCCACGCAGAACCGTGTCCCGATGTGTCCTCGCTGAAGGAGACGAGGAGGCAGGACGGGGAGGCAGGACGGGGAGGCTGAGGTAGGATGGATCCCGGAGGAAGGAGACCCGCAGCATCCTGTGGCCGGGGCACTGCGGATATCGGCGGTGGGACGTGTTCGGATCGACATCTGTGCCGAAGGACGCTGCTTTTACGCACGTTTGTCCGGGATATAACGGTAGATCGCCCGTGCCTCGTTCTGCGCGCGGTGCCGTGGTCCTTTTGTCCGTGGCGCGGTGCCGAGTGTTGCATTGTTTTGGAGACTGCAGTGCCGTAGGCCTGATGCGCGCTCGGATCACACGGGCCCGTACACTCCAACGTAACCCACTGCTACGGTAAAAGGATAGGCCGCGTCTTCAGCCTTTGTACAATACTGAAAATATATTTAGTCACAGAATACTGAATACCTGCATTAACATGTACTTTGTATCGTATTCTGATACATGGGCCAATCAGATTACTGTATTCTGAATGCAATACCTTTACATCGAGTTGCATTAAAATGATAGTGTAAAGAAGCAATTTAGGATTAAAAACAGCTTCATGTTTATTTCCATCCTTATTTCACTGTTTTTAAAGATTTTCCTGTCACTCATTGGAGATGGAAAAATCACACACGCCTCACCACAAGAGCAGTGTTTCATCTTTCATCTTTCTCTCACTGATTCTAAGCAGTTGAAGCCTAAATTATATGAAGAAATACCATAATGTGTTCGTTTGATTTTAGAAAAATGGAACATGATCAAATAAAGAAGTAACTGTACTGGAATATAAGTACTCTTCTGAATACCTATTCTCAGTACATGTATTCAGTTAGTTCCAGACACTGCCAGTACATGCTAATTTAATACTGTTAGACATGTAATTCATAATGGATCACAGTATTGTTTTGTTTTGTAGACTATAGGCTGCTTTTAATGGTGCTTTTAATGAGAAGACTGCGCATTCAATAGTCTATTGATTTTTCTTAATGTACGCTAGTCTGAGGTGGTAGAGTAGCCAAAGAAATGCACTCAAGTAAGAGTAACGTTACTTCAAAACAATATTACTCAATTAGAAATATAAAGTAGTGGTCCAAGAAATTACTCAAGTCAGAGTAACATGAAGAGGACAGAATTTAAAGGACAGAATGTTAAAAAATGTTGCATAAAATCTGGTATGTTAAAGCATAGGCACAAAATTTTAAAAACTAAATTATAGCACTGCAAAAAACACAAATGTTAAAATCATTTTATATTGTCACATAAAGCTTTTGTCATTTTAGACTTACTGACAGTGGGAAGAGGAACCACAACCTTTGCACAAATAAGAGTACTGTTACTTTAAACAAAACATTACTGAAGTAGGAGTAAAAGTGTGCCATTAGAAAAGTACAATTTGTTTAAAAAATTACTCACATAAATATTGTTATCTTTAAGGGATACACTCCAAGGCCACTTTATTAGGCACACTAGACTCTGCCTAACACATATAAGTTACTTCCTTCTGTTGCTGTGTCCTAAAATATTAAGACACAGTTACTCTCGTTTCCATTCCAGTGCAACCTCCCTCTGCAGAAACCTCAGTCTCAATGAAGTTTTCACAGAATTTACTTTAAAGAGTAGGTATTATGCATAACAGACATTATTTTGTAATCTTTTTATAATGTTATAATGTTGTTTCCTCATCAAAAACATGCCTGAAGTGGTTTTAGATGTCATCCGTGCATGTTTGAGTAATCTAGTGATCTCTCCCAGGCCCTATTCAAATCCTGCTTAGGGTTAACAGTCCGATTCTGTCCTAAACTCAGCTCACAAACTTACGTCACCCACGCTCCCACACGACAATTCTCCAGAAATATACAAAAACATGATACAAAACTGTAGACACTTCACAAACCTGATGCGATGTGCAGTAGTTTCATTACACACAGATTGTAATGTGATAGCGCTCTGAAGGAGGGGTAACTGAGCACGGAGAGCAAAGATAGGGGAGGGAGGGCTCAGAAAACTAAAATAAAACTTATAAACATGTTAATACGTTGTTTTCAGTGAATACAGCATTTTCAAAACAATAAAAGGTACCATGGTGATGTAAATGTTATACGGCAGCAGTTAATAGCCAATAAGTGTAATACCCCCTCTTTAAAATGAACCAATAGCCTTCCTACTCCTCCTACACTCTGTCGGAGAGCTGTGACTCTACTCAGAGCTTACCAGTTTATTTTATGCCTCAGCTTCTTGCCTTAGTGCTTAGCTTTGCTCCACAGGACTTATCACTGTAGCAATTTTACTTCCATGGGCGATTCACTGCTTACACGCAACAGATTTAGACTATGTTACCTTTTATTGTTTTGTTTCACTTTTTCATTTTTGACCTTCTGAGTCCCCCTTCCCTTCAAAAGTCACATAATTAAACCACTGCACATTGCATCAAGTTAGTCAAACTTGATGTATAATCTTTTTGTATATTTATTGAGAATTGTCAAGTGGGAGCATTCGTTTGCACACAAAATAATAGTATTTGTTTATTATGCCATGTGGTTTTTAATCTAGTTCTGCAAACTCAAGATGGAAAGAAAAGAAAATTTTATATGTGATACGTGATATGTCTTTTAATTTGTATCGATAACCGCTTAAATGAATTAGTTCTAATACCAGTTCTAGTATTGACAAGTTCTAGTTCTAGTACTCTAGTATCTGATTTTCATTTTAGCCCTCACTCTGGACCCAAAAAGCAAATATTCATCTTACATTTTAATATATTAATTTTTAAATGAAATGCAGTTGAAATGCAGAGTTCTTGGTCTCTCTCTGAGTGTTCACAGTGGACCTTGATTTCACATGAGTCAATTAAGGCACGCGGTGAATGCCAAGAGAGGACTGTCCTGTCATCAAATGCAGAAGTACAGATCACAGGAACTACTGTCACCATACTAACTCTTCAAACTCCATTTTGAGAAAGAAGTCACTCAGTCATCAGAGTACTTTCTTTTCTATTCCTATGTGGTCTTATATGTGTGTGATCCTCAGTGGTCCAGGTAGGTTCCATAGTGGTCCATGGGTGTATACTATCTAATCTACTAATCTATGTGCTCTTAAACTTGTTCTGATACAGCTCAAGACATTCAGGAAAGCTTCATTTGAACAGAAATTAACCTTTCCTGAATGTCCTGAATGTCTTGAACTTTTTTGTATCAGTACTTAACTACTAAACCAGGACTAAACCTTTGCCGAAACCACAGGTAACAATTTTGTAAAGAGGTAGACTCATTCTTGGATGCATTTTAAAATGATGGGTGTCCAGTTGTGTCCAGCTGCTACTCAGTGTTCCTCAAAACATTACAAAGTGTGTGTTTGGGGTATAATTTTTATTTTTATTTTTTGTATATTTTAAAGTATATTTTCATTCAATAAAGACTCTGAAATCAAACTGTTTACTTGAGTATGTTTTGATTTTCCTTTACCAAATGTGAAAAAAAAAGAAAAAAGACTCATATATAAAAAATACTATGAATATTCATATATAGAATACTCATATAAAAGAAGACACATACATATGGTCTATGTACACTACCAGCATCACCATAGCAACGGGTAAACAAAAAATGAACCACAGTTAGGAGGGACTAGCTTCAACCAAAATAGAAATAAGTAATGCTTTGAACATCCACAGACAGCCAAAAGGATGTCACAGTTAAACGTGA